TACGCGAGGGCCTGTCCCGAGACACAGTTAGATTGTTCTAACTCATAGGCGTCGGAACCGGGGGGGGGGGGGGGCTAGGGGGCTTAGCCCCCCACTTTTTTTCAAAGATAGACAAAATATAGACATTGAAAACACGGGCTTACCTTTTTAAGTTGGTTTATCCCCCCCCCCCCCCACTTTCAATTAGCCACCCCACTTTCAATCTGCTTCCGACGTCTATGTAACTAAGGGTAATGTAGTAGTGTATGAATAAATAAAATTTGGTACTGAAAGAAGTTAGACCCCCCCCCCATACACACACACAAGCGCGAAATAGGATTTTGGAGTTTGGACAATGTCCGGGGGGGGGGGCTTGTCAAGTTTTTTTCAGGTAAGTTGATTTTTTTTTTCTGGTTGCCCCCCCTACCAACTTTTCAAAAAACGATGCTACGTTACTGTAGTTCACAATTATTATCATTTTTCAATGAGAAATTAACATTTATAACTAATGCATATCACAGTGCTAGACTGAGGAAAGGATAATCAAGTCCCTTCAAAATGTAATATATGTCCACAAATGTTTTTATACTGTTTTCCAATTCTTCAATTGCAATGCAAATTAATCCAAATGGATAATGTATAATAAATAATATCATTTTTAAGACAAAATCAAATAATCGTCATATTTGGATACGTACGCTGTCCATTTGCGTGGTTTTCGTAGACTGTCTCGATACCAATCTTTTCTAAAAATCTGAAACAAACATTTTATTTTAAAACCAAAACAAAAAAAAAAAAACAAAACAAAAAAAAAAAAACATATATATATTGCCATTCATATCATGAAAAATCATTCTAAACTAGTTGATTTTTAAGGAACATTTTCTTTAAAAAAAAAAAAAAAAGATTGAAAACAAATGTTTTGTTTTCAATCATTTTTTTTATCATATAATACATCGTAAACCTGTCGAAGACAGATAAATATAAAAAGGTCAAAGGGTCTACACGGGGGTTGTTGTTGTTATCCTGCCCTCAAGTGCCAATATTACAAGGCTATAAAAAATTTCCAGAGGGAGAGTCAGTGGTTGACAAAACAAAAAAAAAATAATTTTATGCTGTAGGACATCAAAATCCAATAACAAAGAGGGGTGATTTTTGTACATTACACGACATGCAGCTGCTCACTGTAAAACATTAAAATTAATTACTCCCTTTTCAAGGATAGCGATGCACCCATTCTGGAACATATGTTACCCATACCCACACCTCCACATCTTTCAGAAAGTAAACACTAAATTGCATATTGTAGACTTAAAAAAAGAACCGAATCATTATAATACACTTGGTAAAGTAATACCGTTTACTTTGTCGTACATGTATATTTTCACAGGCGAAATACTCGATCAAACACCGATCAACTCTAAACTTTTTGCTACATGCAGTGGCGGATCCAGGAATCTTGTAAAGGGGGGGGGGGGTCAGTTTGGAGTCGGGGTAGGGGCCCACGGCCACACCAAAAAAAATGATTTATTAAATCTAATGTATATTTTGGACACAAATGGGGTGGGGGGGGGGAGGGGCTGCCCCCTCTAAATCGGCCAGTGACACTTCTTCATACACAGATAAGGACTGTATAACTCAAAATTTCGTTATTGTAACGAAGGGTTTTTGGTCGGTTACTGTAGTGATAGTTTCTGAAAATAGATGACCAAGATGAAAATATATTTCTATGATGTTTTATTCTTGGTGTTCCAGCATAAAGTGACGCGCTGGGTACCCGACGTAGAAATTGACTTGGTCAAGGTGAGGGACACAAAGGGAATTAATTAGAAAAAACACTGAGTAAACTGTTACATTTTCCTATCGAGGGCCTCATTAAAAAAAGATAGGTCAAATTGACCTGATAAATTTTTATTATTCTTAATATTTTAATAATTATTTTGAAATTCAATTCATGAATTTTTATTATCTCATTTCAAATTGCCTTATTTGGTTCACTCATTTTCCTGTCACATGTTTTTCCCAATTTTCTATTTAATTACAGACAATGGCTATTTGAACTTTGTATCTAACAGTAAGAAAATTAAGAAGTTTCTCATAATTATCACCTTTTGGCTGTCATGAGTACATCTACCATTATTTACCAAAAATACCTTTACGCAGTATTATGCAATTCAATTAAGAAGTTCGTTTGATGTCAGATTGACTCAATTAGTGTCAGCCCATCGGATTACCTGTCTTTGTCCTCTCGCCTTTGTACCTATCTTTTTTTAATGAGGCCCTCGATAGGAAAATGTAACAGTTTACTCAGTGTTTTTTCTAATTAATTCCCTTTGTGTCCCTCACCTTGACCAAGTCAATTTCTACGTCGGGTACCCAGCGCGTCACTTTATGCTGGAACACCAAGAATAAAACATCATAGAAATATATTTTCATCTTGGTCATCTATTTTCAGAAACTATCACTACAGTAACCGACCAAAAACCCTTCGTTACATTATCATTAATATTTTCGTTCTGAACTCACAATTAAGATTTCTCTAGGTGGCCACCATGCAGACTCAGTTCATGTTCAGGTGTTCATGAAAAATTGTGAAACCTGACTAGCATTTGGACAAATGAAAGTATTATCCATGGACGTACAGAACTGAATCAGTGACGCTATGATCGCATTTTATCAGAAAGTCAATTCATAATATGAACATGTTTACCACTTTGCATCTTACTGTTCAAGATTTGAAAAGGAATACCCCTTCGTTTTCCCAAGCGTAATTAATTTTAAAATTATTAGAAATTTGGATAAACAGCAAAATAAAAAAACAAGATGTGTTTGTGAAACACTGATGCCCCCGTATGGCAGCTTATGGCGAAGGTTAAAGTTTCTTCAAATGCAAGTCAAAATCCGGGCCAAAAGATAAAAAATGTTGATACCCAAAGAAAGGTCTTGTCTCGAGGAATACACCTGTGAAATTTGAAAGACCTAGATACAACTGTTCAAAAGTTATGGCGAAGGTTAAAGTTTTTTAAATAAAAGTCAAACGTCAAGGTCAAGGTCAAAGTGGTTGGTATCCAAAGGAAGATCTTGTCACAAGGAATACACATGTGAAGTTTGAAACCCTAAGCACCAACCATTCAAAAGTTATGGCCAAGGTTAAAGTTTTTCAAAAGTAGGTCAAACTCCTAGGTCAAGGTCAAAGGGTCAAAGTGGTTGGTATCCAAAGCAAGGTCTTGTCACAAGGATTACATATGTGAAGTATGAAAGCCCTAGCATCAACCATTCAAAAGTTATGGCCAAGGTTTAAGTTTTTCAAAAGTAGGTCAAACTCCTAGGTCAAGGTCAAAGGGTCAAAGTGGTTGATATCCAGAGGAAGGTCTTGTCACAAGGAATACACATGTGAAGTTTGAAACCCCAAGCACCAATTGTTCAGAAGTTATGGCCAAGGTTAAAGTCTCATAAAATTTTGCAAAAGTGGGTCAAACTCCAAGGTCAAGGTCAAAAGGTCAAATATGATGGTACCCAAAGAAAGGTCTTGTCACAAGAAATACACATGTGAAATATGAAAGTCATAGCTCCAACCAATCAAAAGTTATGGGCAAGGTTAAAGTTGACAACAAACAGACAGACAAACAGACAAACGGACAAACAGATAAACAGACAAACAGACAGACAGGACAAAAACAATATAGATCTTTCGATCCGGGGGCATAAAAATGCTGACATGCCAAGAAAGTGAATGGCGTGATTCCGAAATACTGTTCTTGTTTGTCCAAACACATACACGTAGGTGGCTAAGATACGAAAATGCATTTGGGGGGGGGGGGGTGAATGACTGCAATTTTTATTTTTACGCTTCAACAAGGATAGGGAACCATGCACCCACAACAATAACAACAACAACAAAGAACACCGGCGAATAAGCCGAAAAATGCTCACGGTTCAAATATAGGAGAGTGAAAACTTATATCTAATTACTACATTTTTTTTTTACTTCTCGGTTGAGCTGCGTGGTTTAGTGGTTACAATGTATAAAATCCGTCGGTCTCAGTGGCACAACTGAAATTTTTAGATTTTTATCCTTTTGTTTTCAATCCCCACAGAGACCGCGATTAACTTTCTTATTACCCAAATTATATTTTTTGACGAATTTTCTACAGAAAAGTATTTTTATCATACTGTTATACCTACACATAATATCAAAATATAAAAGTATTCCCTATACATACTCACCTCTGCAATTAATTTGAATTTTATTTTTATACACTCGAAGCACAGGCACCTGTGTCTGTAATCAATTTTTTAACCCATAGTATGATTATGTTATTATTATACTACGTATGGGTTAAAAAAAATTATTACGGAAACAAGTGCCTTATATAGGCATTTCCCACACCTTATTCAGCGTTAAAGAGCTTGTGATGTTTGGCGGGGAAAATACACCAAAATATTGTGTTTGTATGCTTGTTTTGAATATTGTGCATTTTTAATGCATGGTTCCCCCATTTTCTTATCTGAACCAGGATAACTGACAAATATTAAAAAACAAAAGGCATCACCGTTTAAGAGCAATCGATAGGTCACTGCCTGTCCACCAACACACGGGTGATAATGCATAGTATTCGGATCTTGTCTGACACAAATAAACATCTGTTACAGATTACATGAATTAGTAAGAGGCTGTGGGAAGGGGAATCCAAAAATACGCCACAAATTAATTATAATTTTTTCCCAACACAATTTATGTAAATTGTCTCGCCATGCAAGAGGCATGTCGGAATGCTGTTTGACGAGGTCGCTTTGCCCGCGGACATCCATCACTTAATGCGATACAACTTTTGTATTGTTGACGTATTAACCCCAGGGGGAATCTCGCATCTTTTTTCCAATCTCTCTATCTGACTTCCCTGCGCATGCGTTCATATTCCAGGGGCGTTGGCCGTACAAGTAAGCAAAACTTTTACTAGACAATCATCATCACTTTGTAAAGTTTGCAAGTGGTTGAAGAAATACCAGCATCATTCAGAATGTCCGGGGAATGGCAGCACGGATTGTTTGGATGCTTTGACAACTTCAGCCTGTGTTTAATTTCCTATTTTGTACCGTGTTATCAATTCGGAAAGAATGCAGAGTCGGTAGGAGAATCATGCTTATTATGTGGTGTAGCTCTCCTAGTTCCTCTAGTAGATTTGTGGGCCGTCATCAGCATCCGAGGAAAAATAAGGGAATCTAAGGGAATTCAAGGAAGCTTAGTAGGAGACTTGTTGACTTGGTGCTTCTGTCCCTTGTGTGCCTTAGTCCAGGAATCTCAGGAAGTTCAGGGAATGAGCCCCCAGTCCATGGCCCGGGAGTAGGGGGAAAGCGCATCTGTGACAGTGGTATTTTTGTTTAAATTCTAGTTTGCGAAAAATTGGAGGATTATTCACATTTATCGATCAGATTGTAGTGAAAGTTTTCTGTAGCGTTGCTTAAGGTTGACAGTAATATTCTTGCCATGTGTGCAGAGATGGATGTGGCCTGCAAATTAGGGTCAGGGGCACCCACGGGATGATAAGATTAGGAATATCGAGAAGAACGTTATTATGTTTGAACTTGCATGCCATAGCTTTGGTTTTGACATTTTATAAATAACTTCATTATCCTAGTCAGTAGTTTATGTATGTGTTCTTTTTTATATATGTATATTTGTAAGAATGTATCGTCAGTAATAAACAATATCTTTTCTCCTTGTTACTCTTGAGTATAAATCAATTTAAAACTAAGGATTCCGATTATTTTTGTATTTTTATTTTGTTGTTTTTGGTTTTGTTGATATTTTGAGTGAAAAAGATTTACTTAGGAAGTATTCCTGCATATGAAAAATCAGACAAAAACGACGGATACTCGAGTATACTTTTAAAAAACACAGATCCAACCACTTAACACCACAATTTGTCGGTTTTTGAATTTCCGCACTTACGAAAAGGGAACACTTTGTTTTCCTCTAGTATTTCCTATTTATATTTATATATATACTTGAGTGATGGTGAATCAGATGCTCCTATCTGACGTAGATGTCATGTCCTATAGAAGCACAGTCACTTGTTTCTGTAATTTTTTTTTAACCTATAGTACTTATAATAATAACACTATATTATACAATGGGTTAGAAAAGTTATTATAGAAACAGGTGCCTGTGCTTAGAAGACACTGAAGATCAATTACATGTAAATGAATTTGGACTTCCAAATCACCCAAAGATATATAACTTCCTGAGGTACTGATAAAATCTGCGGCCCTAGGGTTTACAGGATTCTCTCACTGTTGACACTTAAATCGTTCTCAAAGGCGCTGTGTACTTTTCCCTCGGGTTTCAATGGAACACGAAATGTGTTTCAGTGTAGGTTCGATTTATATAAAATTTATATAAAATCAAAATCAACAGAATTACTTAAAGAAAAACAATTATGATCGGCCTACCATATTAAGGTCAGGCGACACGTTTCTCAACATGTATAATTTTTCCTAAGAATTTGTCATTGAAGTATTGGTACTTTAATAATAACTTTCCTTTAAAAAAAAATAAGTACATGTACCTTATCAGGCATTTGCGCAAGGTACTGTCCTTCCTGATATACTTTATTTTGACAAATAAAATATACAACATGCTCCTATCTGACGTACATATCATGTCCTATAGAAGCACAGGCACTTGTTTCTGTAATTTAAAATAAAGCATATCAGGAAGGACAGTACCATATTATGGTGTTTTCTATAAAATCCTAATGGAAATTTCTTGAATTGTCAATATCACAATTTTGGAAGTATTTATTTTTTAAGACAGTTTGAAAACAGTTTAAAATGATAATTATGATTTTTTTCTAAATATTATGAAGAGATACAAAACAGATATTCGCGGTACAAAACTTTGACATTGTGAAGATGGTTCAGAATAAACATGGCCTGTTGCTCACTACAGGTTAGATGGCTAAAATTAGAGAAATGAAAGTAGTATCATGTTAAATCTGTACATTTTTATTTACTAGGTGAAAGCAGGGATCTACACACCATACCTCCTTCGTGTCCAAGTAAATGCAAAATTTACAATGATTATTATTGTGAGTCGCCAAATACAAGACGACCTTTTCATTCTAACTTTTTTGTCATTTTTGTGTCGCATGCAGAGCAGAGCGACACTTATAGATCACTTTGCCAGGTGCGCCTATCTGTCTGTCCGTCTGTCACACTTTCTATCTTGAAAATTGTTAATGATGGGTATTTGGTATTTTGTTCATTTATTGCTTCGAACAATGGCTTTTGTAAAATATGAAGGGTTACCGACCCCCTGACCTTTGAACTTGAGATTTGACATTCTTTTCAAAATACATGTATACCATGTCAAATAAACATATTCTTAGACCTTTGAGAGGCAAGTCTGTGTCATTAGGCAAGTGTCCTGGCTTGTCATAAGACGTTTTGAAAAAATTTCATTGCAACTGGCAACTTTGACATTGACCTTTGACCTACTTTTGAAGATTACTATGAACCGTTAACTTATGATAGGCAGGGTTTTAGGTACGTTTTCAAGCATCGTTTTTAAAAGTGTGGGGGCAGCCAGAAAAAATTTGCCACCTTACTTGAAAAAAAAACTTTGACAAGCAACAAAAAAAGGTGGGGGGGGGGGCTAAATTATGGGTGGGTGGGAAGGGGGAGGTTGATTGGTTTCATCTTCTTTCACAACCAAATTTTATTAAAATATTACCACGTTACCCTGATTTGTCGATACTGTGCATAACAAAATGTGGGCTAGGGGGTGGGGGCAATCAGTCTTCCAATGAACATTTTCAACAGTAAAGGGTTATGTTTGGAAAAAAGGAGGACAGGCCCCTGCCCCCCCCCCTCCCCCCGAGACTACGTGTCTAGGTTTTTATCGCTATCAAATATCTACTATTATACTTTTATATGCCATAGTTTCCAATACAGTGGGATTGACAACTGTCTTGGTGTCATGACAAGACCTTAAATGACCCTCTTGCCCGAAAACCAATTCCCCGAAGTGCACTGCGCACAATATTTGTCCAGATATGAAGTTGGTGATTACCGATGGTGGTCCATGAGGTTGCAACAGAAGCAATTTCCCAGTTAAAAATCAAATAATATACAGCGATTGACTATCATGTCGCCTAGTAGTCATCGGTGCCTTGGTGTCCATACCCAGTCCACAACAACTTCCGGTTGCCTCAGTTTTGTGGAACAATCTTGAAATTGTCGTGTGGTGCTTTCTTAATGCCGTAGCTATCTATTGTAAACATTTTTATGTTTTTTGAATCTAGTTGCAATATTTTTTCACTAGAGGAATAAATAATCTTTTAACTGTTTAATTTTTAACAAATTTCTCCAAAGGAACCCCTGCAATCACCTTACTGACTGCTTTATCACGCTCTTATAGGGTTAAACGCCGCATACGGTGTAATTCCCCACAAAACCAAACCCTTAACTATATACAGAGTCAAAAGATGACATTGGCGGAGAATCCAGGTAGTGATAAATGTTTTGTAAAGCAGAATACAACGGCCAATTACTAAACAACAGATTACTGCATACCAACAGGGATCTATATACTAACTTAGTTTATAGGTCCCTGATACCAAAGACTAGATAAGTGAACAACTTTCAGACTTATTGACTGTGCGTTAAATTATTATTAACTTATGAAATTTACAAGAAACGCATCTGATCCATGTTATACAGGCCCGTAGGAAGCAATTTCAGTTGGGGGGGGGCACAGCCATACATTTTCAGTTGGGGGCGGTATCAACTACCAAAAATTCCTTGACAAGCAAAAAAAAAAAAAAAAAAAGTCATCAGACATTTTTATTGAGGGGGCACAAGCTAGAAGTAGCTAAATTTTCTATAGTCATTTATATATCGGCAAAATTATTGGGGTGGGCACGGCCCCCCGTGCCCCCCCCCCCCGGTTCCTACTGCCATGTTATAATTTCTCATCATACATGGAAACATACACTGAGTCTTTTAGACGATTAAATGAATTGTAAATAAATAAAATATACGTTTTGCTTTAGGTTTCTATAATTATTCTTTATAGGCCTAATACGTCTGTACAAAAAGTTTTTTTTTTGAATTGATTAGTTATGAAAATTGTGAGAAATTCAAAAAGCCTGGAAAACGTCAGATATTTCGGACTCCATCTCATTTGCATTGACTCTCTGTCACTCGACAATTCTGTATAGAGGGTATCATAAGTTAACCCTGTAGTCGGGTTAAAAATTAGATATATGTTTTATTTTCCAGTGTCGCCCTCCCTCACTTGACAATTCGCGGGTAAATACTGCATAAACCACGTGGATCCAGTTTGTTTACGCATTGCTAAGAGGAGAGAAACAAGCATGCGCAATATCTTATTTACATCCGGGATTATCGCGCGAGATTAAACAAGTACCCGTAGAAGAAGGGACGAAAGTAAAATAGGAGGAACTTATTTCGAAAATTTGTTGTGTCCCCAAGAGTTAATCATGTGATTTTATGATGGGATAACATTATATCAGTTATGTGAATTGTTTAATATTCATTTTCGTACAGTGTTTTGTGTTGTTTCGTGTTTTTGTGATATTTACTTTTGCTACTCCCGGGTGCAAGCCGGTCTTGCAAAATAAACCCGGAATGAAATACGCATTTCGTTTGTTTTTCGTTGTGGTATGCTGGTCATATGCACAACATGTTGTTAATGGTAAGTTAAATTAAAATAAATGAATTTCGAAATAAAATCAGTATTTAATGTAATTTTAATTGAGAAGTGAACACGACTATATGGTCTTATAGAAATCCCAAGTACGATTGACAGCCAAAGCAGATGAGATGGTCGTCCGAAATATCTGACGCTTTCCATTTTTTTCTTCAGGATTTTTATATTTGACGTGCCAGGCAGTGATCGATGCACATTCCTAACTCATGGCATGTCAAATATCAAAATGGTGAAAAAGACTGAAATGATGCTAGGGGATTTATATAATATTTTAATTTTGTTATTTCTTTGGTAAAGGAAAAAACTAGTTAACTAGATAGATCCCTATATTAATTCAAATGACCTTATATCAGTATCTTATGTGGACTTAATTAAAATTCAATTCTCAAATATCTGCAAAAATATACCGATGTAAATGCAGATTTCTTTACTTTCCATGGTTATGAAACTATAAAAATTATGAAACACATTGCCTGGCAACCAGTTCTTGGAACACTTTCTTTTTTTAAAATTCTGATGTATCCAACCCAAGTCTTGCTTCCAAGATGGATAGATATTTGAAAAAAATTCTTTTTACATTTTGGGAGCAAGCCTATTGTTTCAGTTGTTACTTGTTAGTTTGTAATTTTTTTAAAATAGCTATTTTTAATTTCATGAGCCCATGTGGTCTTTCATATTCATTTTCTTATATTTTCTCTTAAATATTTTGCTCATTTGAAAGGTTATAGTATTGTAGTTTGCATGTTTATAGTTTAAAATATATTTATTCATTACAAAATGAAATGGATTGAACAGCAGGCATAATGCCTATAATCGTTCTCTCCATAGGTCAAGGTACATATAACAATTATTGGTACATTTAACATTGAAAAGCAGTATGTAAAATAGATCATTAATTGGTACATGTATAAAGTGAATCCACAGAGAGTGTGAGAGAGAGAGAGAGTAAAATAAAGAGAAAAAAGAACATAATAAAGTACAATTAACATTGAAAAGCGGAATGTAAAATAGACCATTAATTGGTACATGTATAAAGTGAATCCACAGAGAGTGAGAGAGAGAGTAGAGACTGAGAGAGAGAAAAAGACCATAAAGAAAAAACAACATAAAGTTGACTCAGAGTGGAAAAAAATTCCTTAATATGCCTAAAATGAGATAATACTCTTTACTTGTTTGCAGATAAAGCATCAATTATTGGACTTTTTATAAAGATTGAATCTTTTTCCAATTAATTGATCAATATATGGTAGTGTTTCATTTTGATTTATATTGAAATTAGTTGAAAAAAAAAATCTATAAGAAATAAGATTATCATTTTTAGATATAAATATTATATAAATATGGTCTCTACATGTGTTATCAAGATGTTAATTGCATTAAAATTTTGTCTTTTTTCAGCTCAATGTAATTGTGCCACAGATTGTGTGACTAACTGCCCGGCTGGTACTCACTATGACTCTGGTGGAAGTGGAACCTGTGTGACATGTCCTCAGGGGCACTAGTAAGTTTATTCATACACAAACTTTATCACTTGTCTTAGGCCATTGAGAGAGAAAGTGGGTAGGGAACACGGGTTACACTATAGGGAACACCCAACCTAGGAAAATAGAAATATAGGAAAATGAAAGTAAGGTCCAGTTTTTCATTATCTTTTTTGTGGAAAAGATGAAATGTATAAACAACTCAGAAAACAGCATGTGTACAAGTTGAAGAGTAATTACAGTCAAACCTCGTTATCTCGATCTCGATGGGACCGAGAAAAAACTTCGAGATATCCTAGGGTACTAGATATCCAGGGTAAAATGCTCAAGAAATATGTGGTTAGGACTTCCCAGTCACTTCAACATATCCATAGTACCGGGTATTTGAGATATCCATGTTTGAGATACCAAAATTCAACTTTACTTTGTTTTTGTTTCTTTTCATTCAATAAAACTAATTGCTAATCTAACACACAGTCCATATAAACCTTGTGTAAGAGATGTAATTTCCTGAGTCATTAAAATCTTAATATGTAACTTAATTATTATTACTCACTTCTTGAATTATATTAAAATCAAAATTCTAAAATTCGCTCTGTTTTAAATTGAAAGTACCCAAATGACATTTTCCCTAATTCATGTGTTACTACAGGTTTAAATAAACAAAAAAGATTTGTTTTTATGCCAGTGTGATCTTATATAATTTGAATGATTTATCAGTAGCAGTGTCAAATCAAAGAGTTGCACATAATTCCTATCTCAGTGTCCAGTTGAAATGAGCAGTTAAAAAAGGGGGGGGATATTTCATAACTCCAGTGAAACATGGACGGCATTTGATTTTTCAAGGTTCTGGATAAGTGCCAATAGAATATAAAAAGTCAGTCTATCCAATTTACTTATCCATTATTTATTATATTTCTACAGATTTAAACTTCAGGTTCTGGTGAATGTTGTTTATGAGAGAAATTAACTGTTAATTGAACATACTTACCAAAGCACAGTGAGACATTTAAATGTCTCCCTTTTTTCAACTCATCTTGTGCATCTGGATTGTGGATTACTGAAAATGAACATGTTGAAAAGAAAATAATTTGAGGTTTTAAATTTTGGTGATTTAATTGTTAGACACACATTAAATATATGAATTTAAAAAAGTCCACTATAATATGTACCCAGGTGTATACACAGTACTGCAAGTTTCAAATCTAACTTAATTGAAGCATTCTACGTAAAATAAAGCTATACAGTTGAACTTCAGTATGTTGAACACCGATATCTCGAATACCATGGATATGTAGAAGTGATTTGGTGGTCCTTACTGCTTATTCTTGAAGTATTTTACCCTCGATATCTTGAATCCTCAGATATCTCAAATGTGTTTCTTGGTCCCATTGAGTTTGAGATAATGAGGTTTAACTGTATATAAAATTTACTCAATAATTATGGTCCTCCCCCCCCCCCCCCCCCCCCCCCCATTTGTTAATCTTAAATACAAGCTTATCCAATAAGTTTCTTTTATTCATTGAATAATTTAAATAATTTGCCTAACTAAATATTTCATTTCTAAGTTAGATACAAGCTCAGATTACTTGTGACCTTCAGCTTCTTTTCAGTGTTTGGCAGTCAAGTCAGTAGAATATTAAAGATTGCATGTTGCCAGTCTTTTGAAGGAATCTGATTCTACACTTCAATTACTTAGAAATGTTCACCTAGGTTGCTATTCAAATATTGTATATCTTCAAGGTAAACAGATCTTTGACTTTTATTGAGACAATTTATGTTGAGAAAACATTTGACGTCAGCTTTCACCTAGCCTTTTACATAAGGTGTTGTATAAAGTAAAGAACCCTGGTATTTTAAACATTATAAAATGATGGAGTTATACTGTTAAAAAGTTCTAATACCTAGAATACACACGACAAATTTTCAATAATTGAATAAGTAGAAGGGTCTGATTTTGGAATTTTGCATCGCCGTGGGACTTTAAACCCATAAAGTGCAGAATGAGAAATGTGCTAAATCTATAAAATATCCATGCAATGTGAGAATTAGACATTGTGCCCAAATTGATAATATCATCTAATTTATTGATTGACACTATCACAGATCAGTATTACATTATGTAGGGCTGTCCCAGTTCCCCGAAATAACCAAAAACTGCTGCCAAGTTTTTTGGTTTGGTTACAGTTCCATTTTTCTGGATTTTGTTTCGGGTCTGATTTGTGTATTAGAATCTGCAGTGATAAATAAAAATTACAACTAAAATCTTTTCCATCCATGACAAAACACTTGTCACTAAATGGGATAATTATCAAAACGAGCAAGAGTGGCAATATTGTTGCTAATAGTCAGCCTAGTAGTACTTAACACCAATGTGAAGAAGTGAACATGGATAAGACTTGTTTTTTAAAGTGAATTTTATGTATCAAATAATTTCATGTTTAATTTATGAAATTAAAGTTTAAAATAGATGTAAGAACTGAACCCAAAAAAACCCGAAACCGGACCGAAAATTCACTAAACCGACCTGACCAGAAATGTTGGAACCGTAATATCCCTAACATTATGTCAATTTTTAAAAAAGGGTTCAGAAAAGAAAGAGGAAAAGATTTTGTGAATATGCAAATTTTGTTTGGGGGGGGGGGGGGAATTTGTAAATGTTAACATATTTTTCAAAATGGAAATTGAAGTCTGCCGTTTGGTCTCATTCAATTTAATAATAAGCATGATAAGACAAATTTGTAAGTTTGAAACCTTGGTATTCCAACTACATGCCTTGAGCTGTTGAGGGCTTGTATTTATCATGTTTTCTTTTTCAAGGGCACCTTTCTGTGTCTATCAGAAATATCTTCAGTTAAAAGAAATACCCTAATCCCCCAGGGGGAGGGAGGGTATAAGATAAACCCTTTTCAGTTGAATAGTGTAACAGGACTAATCCTAACCACTTGTATGGATGCAGATCTAACCTGAATCAGTTAAATTGTTTGAAAAGTACTAAGCCTAAACTCTTGGGTCTAATGTTGTATTTCCTCACTGATCACTATCAATAAAATACTTCCTAATGTGACGTCAGCAATCCTGCAAGCTAGGTGAAAAAGAGTAATTTGATTCATTGTCAACTGTCTATGGTCAGCAGTAGATTAGAATGTCAACTGTCAACCTAGTCTGAAATATCTGACGTTTTCCAGGCTTTTTAAATGATTTGATATTTGGCGTGCCAGGAAAACCAGAAAAGCCTAGAAAACATCAGATATTTCAGACTACTGTCAACCATGTAAGGTTGACAGTAGATTAAGTTGGAAACTGTCAACTTTGTAAGGTCAACATTAGATTAGAATGGAAACTGTCAACCATGTAGGGTTGACAGTAGATTAGAGCAGAAACTGTCAACTGTCAGCCATGTAAGGTAGATAAGACTGGAAACTGTCAACTGTCAAGCGTGTAAGAATACATTAGATTAAATTGGAGGCTATCAATTTTCAACCTTGTAAGGTTGACAGTAGATTAAATGGAAACTGTCAACTGTCAACCTTGTAATATGGTTGACAGTAATAGGGTATACAATCAAACCTTAAATTTAAGGTTTTTATAAGTTTAATTTTACAAGTGAAAACCAAATTTACAAACTTCTGCATAGGGACTACAGGAGTTGACTCAAAGTTTGTTAGAATTTCTACACAAGAAATTTTGATCCAATTCTTCACAAGTTTCATGTAAATATTTATACTAAATGATCAGAATTTCAACAGAGAGCAGCCACAGTTTTGAAAACTAGTATAGCAATACAAAAATAAATTTTACTCAAGAAGTCTTGAGTAGGTTCATGATTAGTCAAACAAACATAAGGTTAATTTGAGTCAGAAATGAGAGAGAAAGAGAGAGAGAGAGAGAGAGAGAGAGAGAGCACAGCTATCAGATTGTGTAGTAAATGTATATATTGATTTATCATTACAGCACTAGTTAACTTGTACATACCTATATACATGTACTTATGCTGTGTTGAATTATTAACAGTTGCATAGTAAACAATCATTGTTTGCAAAATATACAAAATATCAATTAATTGAATGAAACATCTTATAGTTATCAGGATATATTAGCATTGCAATATTTTACAAACATCCACAGTTCAATAATTTGTACAACCAAAAGCAAACCTGGGCTTTACACCTGTTTTAAACAATATCAACACACAACCTTTCCTTTTTGTCAATTTTTATTTTGGATCAAAAGGTAGACTGCTATTGGTAGACAAATTTCAGTGATGATTTGAATAAGGAATACAGTGTATTCCTTATTCAAATCATCACTGATTACACTGCATAGTTCATAATTCTAGAATAACATACATGTAATAAGAACCTATGTACCTGTGTTGGGAGGGTACTCTGAAATAAAAAAAGATTTCCATGAAGAAGTGAGGTAAAACAAGTGAAAAGTATCAATATTTGTTTTTTATTTCATCCATTTCAAAGTATTAGAGTCAATTTATTGGGGATTAAGGTCATCATTAAAAAAAAGTTTGGTTTGATGTACTCCTACCCATATTTTCCGCGGTGGGTAGGTAGGTATTTTTTTTTTAATGCTAGGTTTTCTAATACAGTAAAACTCATTTAGTATGAGTACAGATAAAGCAAATTTACAGATATACATGTATAGCATAGTTTTCTGCAATCTCCAGATGAAATTCCTTGTAAAATTTTATGGAGATATTGAACTCGGATATAGCAAATTTAGAGTTATAGCGAACTGCTTTTGTGTCACCTGGAAGTTAAAAATAATATGATTTACTTCTATTATAGCAATTTTCAAAATTTAAATTGTTGAAATATTGAACTGGCATTAATTTTGTAAATTTTAATGTTCATCCAAAAAATTTTGAACTCCAAGGTAAATTTTGTATTTTAGGCTTCCCTAAATACATTTGGTACTCGTACTTGAATGGAAAAATCTATATTGTGAATTTGTTAAGTTATACTTTAAGTAATTCGTTAAAAGGATATAGCGAATTATGGATATAGGGAAGTAAATTGGCTGGTCCACAGAACTTCACCATACTGAGTTTTACTGTACTTTGATAATCATTATATAAACCACAGACTTAGAAATGTTCATGATAGACACTGGACAGCTAGACAGATTTGATATCTACTGCTGCAAAAACTTTAAATCTAAAAAAAACATTTCAGAGAAATGATAGATCTTAACTTTAAAAACAGTACAGATAATCTGTATTTTCAAAGGGGAAAAAAATAGAATTTTAAAAAACAGAAGATGTGATGTGAAAAAAAACCCAATTGATTTGGAGGGGTAATTTTGATGGGTCAATTGGAAAAGATCGAACAAATCATTATTATTGTTGTCCTAAGTAATACGAATAGTGCGGGAAGTTTAAGATGACTCGTGCACCTTAAGTGTAGTGATACTTAATTGATACTAATTTTATTGGAGGTCATATCTGTAATTCACTGTCACATAGTGCAGGTAGGCTTAAGGTAGCTCGGACACTTTTAGTTTTATGTGTGTTACAGTTGTCCTGGAGGAAGTAGTCCCAAAACAGCATGCCCGGGAGGAAAGTACATGGACACAACGGGAAGTGACCAGCTCTCCGACTGTAAGGTGAGGCAAGATTTTGTTTTTTTTGATGAAACTAATTTATTTTCTATTAAAGATTTGGAATGGCCTTAAATCATTTATTAAGCAAAGCAGAGAATTTCTGAAATTATGTTTTCTCTTTATCATTGTTCATTTAAAAATCTTATCAAAAAATTTTAATTGTATCTGTTGGAAAATTTTATTTAATACTGGTATTTGTAAGTTTAAAGAATTTACAGATGCTAAAATTAGAAAAGTACATATTATATATTTAGACTTCATGGGTGAAAAAAAAAATTGCAGTTGCTATTCAGTTATTGTAGATTGTGCTCGTAATTAAAGTTTTCGTTAATATTGTTGATATCTACATGATTGAGTATATCTAAAGCTTCATCATCATATTTTTTTCATTGATATCAATGCACCTTACATGAATTTGAGAAGGATATAATTTGAAGAACATATCATATATAATGTTTTGACAAAAAAGGCTTTGTCATAATTCCAAACAAGGGTATTTGGTCTGCTGGTGTCGGGGCTTTTTTCTTTCCTTAAGGAACTTAAATTGAGTGAAAAAAACCTTCCCAGAAATAAATTTTTTACCCGAACTTTTCCACCAAAATTTTCATAAATTTGCTCAAGGTTAAAGTCATGAGGATTGACAACATATATATGAGTTAATGTTCAGGTCCTAAATTTGTATTATGTCATAAGTTTTATGTGTAAAGCAGAATGTCTTTTACTCAAAAAATAAATATTACTGAGAAAGAAAATAAAGTTTACATAGGGCCAATTTTAAGAGGGTTCGGACTCCTTAGGAAAGGTTTTCCTTTTAGAACAATTGAAGTTTTTTTTGCAGTTGTTTTTATTCTTGCCAAAAATATGTAACAATTATTCATTATGTATTGTACAATAATACATGCTAACCAAAAATGGGTATTCCTTCTAAGCTACATAATTGTTAACCATTTGTCCCAATCTATTCACTGCTTGTATGACAGATGCAAAAGTAGTGACAAATTGATTTCATTTCTCTTCCTTCATGGAACCTCTCATCAAATGGAATAATTTGTTCCCCATTATGTGGATCTGAAGCACAGTCAAGGATGCTGAATTTGCATGTGATAGGTATTAGTCTTAGTCTTCATCAACAGATATTGGAAATCTGATCATGGGGGACATTGATATAAAGGTCAGATGCTTTTAACAGGTTTTAGAGCATACTGGAAATTCCAAGCAAAGATATCTCCTTGTTGGCTTAACATTGCTTAAATAGGGGTTCTTGTCTGGTTTTGTGAAATAAAAAAAAATCTGGTTGTTGCTGCAGAAGTAGTCATTTAATATTTGCATGCTGTAACAAAATTTCATGTTTATTAACTGTAAACTTTGAATATTTGTCATGTCATAAAATGGACAGCTGTGCAGACAAATTTTCATAATGCGTACAATTCAGTAGTACTCATTTGTGTACATGTATTACATTTATTGATTTCATGGCAGATTGATAAATTGTGGCTTTATGTCTGTTTATGTGATACGCTCTGCACTTAGATAGCTAAATTGAAAGAGTGTGAGCATGAATTTTGATTTTAATTTATGACGTTGCACTTTTTTAGCATTCGACATTGTGACTTCAAAATAAAAATCAGGACTTAAATCTTTGACCTCCCTGTCCATGTTATGGCATCAAGAACAAAAAATGAAATTGCTATAATTACATTTCATAAACAAGTTGATATTTTTCTGACCAGTTAGAAAACAGTGGATTCAAGATAGACATAAAAGAAATAGTAAAAGAAAACATGATCTACATTTTTTCTTCAAAACATTTCTGACAAATTCTTAAGCAGTAACTAGCCAGTAAGACAACAGTATGGGTGAAATGTATTCCTAACATATTTGTCATTCCACAACTTTATTATCTTTTCATCCCAGATAAAAAAAAAATCTTGTACATGCATGTACATTTATTTAGTAATAAATTAAGATGCTTTCATTTATAGTGAATAGAGCACACTATCATAATACTGTAAAAATAATTTTTACCCAAGGGGGCAAAATTCCCTGGAATCAGAATTTCTGTTCAATCCTTGGGTAGAAAATTACTTGGATTTTTTTATATTGCTACTATATGCGTTATATATACTTTAATATGCTTGGACAAAGGAAGAGGGCGTACAAGGCAAGGACGATTCCCCGCTCTCAGGGACAATATATTTCTCAATTTTCAGAGTTCATGGAAAATTAAGTTATATTTTTCTATGATAATGTTTTCATGCAGTAATGTCATCTTCAACACATTTTATTCAATCATTTTATTGAATGACTTTTTGATTAATAATTTGTCATTAAAGTTGACAGTAAATCATATATTATTATAGTGCAAAATGGGCTAATTAGAGCCATAAAATTGATTTTTGAATATGAATGGGTCAAGTCTCCATTCTTCATTAATGATAAAATAATGGAAAGGTAAATGTAAAATCTATTTCATGTTTCAAAAAAAAAAAATGGAGTCTGAACCCATTCTATATGAAAATCAAACATTTCTGGAAAAAAATTTATGCTTCAACAAACTCGCTTATTTTAATTATACACTGACACACAACAAGACAAGTAGACTTTGAAGCACAATGGTTAATGCGTATAGTCTTATCCCATGCTTAACCGTGTGGCACTGAGCTTTGGAGAGAGTTTGAATCATGTGTGAAGCTTTTTTTTCTTTTTCACATACCTTAAAAGCATTAGTGAAAAAAATATATGTCAATAAAAATATATGTCAACAAAATATAGGAAGCAAACATGTAAAAGATTATATTGACAAAATAATTTTTGAAAAAAAAACTTTTCATGAAATTTTATTGAAAAATGTCCTCTCTCAGAGCGGGGGATCATCCACGTCTTGCTCGCCTTCATTCTTTTCACAGAAAAGTATGACTGCATACATAGTTTAAGTTGATACCAAGCTGAAAAAAGTACTTCTTCGGTACGTATTTTCGATTACATATACCGTTACATGCTCTATTATTTTTGTTGATTTATAAATTCTTAAACTTCTTGCTAAATATGAAACTTTCATCAATAAGGCAAAGTCTTTATGTGTATCACACACAACCCGACACAGGTGTTCACTATATCCACTGGGAATTTGGAAATAAAGACTAAGAAGTATAGATAGTTTTCGATTGGCCTGAATTTAGCAAGAGTTATTTCCCGTTGGTCACCATATTGGAGGTATACATGCCTGATTTCCTTCTTTATTCAACCAATTTAAACTTGTCATACTGGGTGAAGATATCACAATTTTTCTTACAAATCTATGTTAACACAAGCTTCCTTTAATTTGTAATTTTGGTATTTTAAGATTTTTGCCCTTATATTTCTGCCATCCAAGTTTAAAATTGGTTGTTCCAAGAGGAAAATTCGCTAGTTGGACCTCCAATATGGGGGCCAATGGGAAATAACTTTTGCTAAATTCAGGCCTATTGAAAACTATCTATAGACCTGTATTTGCTATGGATTACATGCATGTTAAAACCCTGCATTGAGATGCATCTAATATGCATGTTCAAAGGGCAGAATAAAGATGTTTAAGCTCAATGGTTTTGGAATACCCAGAGATTAAGACAGCTTTATTGGTTGAAGTCTAGAAAAGCTTATGCCATTACAAGGTCTTCGTCTGTGCCCAGTGGTCTAGCTGCCTGTCTGTAATAATTTTTTTTTTTTCAAAATGCAACTCTTCCTAGAATTTTGGTCTGATTTTATAAAAACTTGGTACACGTAGACTACGCCAAGATTTATTATTCTGATTATTATAGTGTAAGTTTTCAGTAAGTGATGTTTCTTGGAAATTTCTATGAAATTCTTTCAAAACACTTATAAATCTTGAAGTTTTGATCTAATATCAGTTAACTTTTATACACATGTAGACTTCATAATAACATGGCTCATAATTCAAATAATGGGGTCAATATTTATAGATGAATGGTGTTTCCATGGTTAATGTAAAAAGAATAATCTGTAAATTTCTTTCAGTTATATACTCCTTTCAGCATTTTGGTTTGATTTCAATAAAACATCCCTGTACACTAGCAGATCTGTATATGTTGACCAAACAAAAGAGGCCTTTTAAACTGTCCAGGTGCAACTTTTCTTTCTCACTCTTTTAGAACAATCTACTAGAGCTACATTCTCATCAGATACTTTTGGTTCATTTTGAATGTCATAAAATCAGTATTGCCACCCATAGTGTATACAGAAAAGAGTGCTTCATCTGCATGATGCCAGGGTTGGCAAAAAAGCGGGAAATACTTGTATTTCCCAGGACAGTTGGAAATACTGGTAATTACCGGGAATTATTGGTATTTCCCGGGAAATACTGGGAAATAAGAAACACTTGCATATTTCATGAATTTAATTGGGGGTATAGACATGTAGTACACTTTAATGGCTAAGATATCTATCTGGTATCACTGTCCCTGATTTAAAAATATCAGGTTTCCAAGTAATTCATTTATATAATCATAATATTCATATACCAGTCATGTCATTTGTTTCGTGATTGTGTCAGATGTAGTCTATAAAGGTCCATTAAATGAACCCAAAGATCCAAATTGGGTTTTTTATGTAACTAAAGAAGGATCTAAGAAAATTGTTAAATACATGTATAGAGTATAGAGTATGGTGTAAATATCAAACCTAAGAAGAAGCCTTTCAGTTCTACTAAAGGTACTAGTAATTATATCTCAAAACAGGAGCACAAAACTGTCCAGAGCAATTTGTTAAAACAACATGATTGATTATAATAACTACAGTGTTTATAGAAAACAAGTTTGTTTTGTTCTTGGATTTATAATTAATAATCTAAATAATTTTACAAAACTTAAAGAAACTTGACTTGGAAAACTGCAGTTTTGTTTTTTTAATATACAACCATGCAGGGAAATGTGTACTACTTATGCTTATGGGTAGGGGACCTGGAGTAGTGATACATTCTGAATATGTAAAATTGCAGTCATCTGCTGCATTTATGTTTTTTTTTATTTCTGAATTTTGTATAAGATGGAATGAATTAAAGAAATAAAAAACTTTAAGTTCGTATTTCCCAGTTTAGAGAAAATTTGTTGTATTTCCCAGGACGGGAAATACCGGTATTTACCACTGGTAATTCCCAACACTGGTATTTCCCAGCCAACCCTGCATGATCCTGTTATATTTCTACACCAGGCTCAAAGACAGAAAAAATTGCTGCATTAATATTAAACTTCCTACCAGCTCAGTTTTGCAGTTGCAATCTTTTAATGCCAGACTTTAATCCTGATTCATTTTTAGCTCACCTGAGCTGAAAGCTCAAGTGAGCTTTTCTGATCACCCTTTGTCCGTCGTCCGTCCGTCTGTAAACTTTTCACATTTTCAACTTCTTCTCAAGAACCACGGGGCCAATTTTAACCAAACTTGGTACAAAGTATCCTTGGGTGAAGGGGAGTTTAAATTGTTAAAATAAAGGGCCAAGTCCCCTTACAAGGGGAGATAATCAAAAAAAGACAAAAATAGGGAGGGGTCATTAAAAAATCTTCTTCTCAAGAACCACTGGGCCAAAAAGGCTGAAACTTATGTGGAAGCATCCTGGGATAGAGTAGATTTTAAATTGTTAAAATCATGACCCCTGGGGGTAGGGCGGGGCCACAATAGGGAATCCAACTTTTACATTGAAATATATAGGAAAAATCTTTAAAAATCTTTGTCTCAAGAACCAGTAGGCCAGTAAAGCTGAAACTTGTGTGGAAGCATCCTGGGGTAGTGGAGATTCTAAATTGTTAAAATCATGACCCCCGGGGGTAGGGCGGGGCCACAATAGGGAATCCAAGTTTTACATTGAAATATATAAGAAAAAATCTTTAAAAATCTTCTTCTCAAAAACCACTGGGCCAGAAAAGCTGAAACTTGTGTGGAAGCATCCTGGGGTAGTGGAGATTCTAAATTGTTTAAATCATGACCCCCGGGGGTAGGGCAGGGCCACAATAGGGAATCCAAGTTTTACATTGAAATATGTAAGAAAAATCTTTAAAAATCTTCTTCTCAAAAACCACTGGGCCAGAAAAGCTGAAACTTATGTGGAAGCATCCTGGGATAGTGTAGATTTTAAATCGTTAAAATCATGACCCCCGGGGGTAGGGTGGGGCCACAATAAGTATTACAAGGGGGAAATCTGGTAAAGAACAGCATGGCCAAAGTTACTCAGGTGAGCGATGTGGCCCATGGGCCTCTTGTTATTTTAAACTCTGTGTCTTGAGCTATGAAAGATAAACAACTTAATTGTTTTTTCTGTGAATGACAATTTGTGTATCATAATTTATAGCAATGTTCAGTTATAAGAATTGTTCTTGACTTCCAAAAGGAGACTTTATTATAATAGTCATGAAAACATGTTCAAAGTAAAAAATAGGGTCTCCTTTATTATTTTACAGACATGTGTGACAGGAAAGTATAGCAGTGCAGGGTCAACAACATGCCTGGACTGTCCAGCTGGAAAATCCTGTGGGGCAGGGACAGAGACTCCCACTGACTGTAACGCTGGTGAATACTCCCTACTGGGAGCATCTACCTGTACGGCCTGCCCTATAGGCTCCATGTGTACTGCTAAAGACCAGGGACCAACACTATGCACAGAAGGATATTACACATCTTCAACCAGTATGTTAATTGTTAATTAATTAAATGTATGAAAAATAAAATTTGTGAAAGTCATCAACACAGGAGATGGTAACACACTAGATTTTACGTTATCACTGTATATATATATATATATAAATAAATATATATGACTATCGTCATGAGAAAAGGGCCCTTAAGGTCAAAATTTCACAAATTGACTTTTTGGTAAATTTTGATAGCCTGACTCTTTCTGAATGTAAATATACATCAATATTTAAAATATCTCACTTTTTCAGTATTTCATGAGCATTTTAGTAAGGCCGCTTCAAAACAACGTTGACGTTAATTACTGAAAACGTAATGACGTCGCGTGCGTCACATTCAGTTTCCAAACATTCTTTTAAAAACTACATTTTTTAAATAACCTTAATCGTTTTGACTCATATAAACTTGAGATTTTTTTTCTTCCAAGCAACTAGTATGTAATTATTCATGAGGGAAGTCGCATACTATTTTCATACTGTATTAGAGCAAGTCTAGTAATTTTGTAAAGGGTGGGCTGAGGATCTAGACAGGATCTAGGGACGGTTTTTATTCAGTCGAAAAATTAATACTTGTTGAATTCCACATCATAAGGTATTCTTTTTTAAATTCATACTCTAGCTCAATTTGTAAAAGATATAAAGCACTCTTATATTAAAATATCAAAAAAATCTATATAGATGTCCCAGAAGGTCACCTTGTGCACTTAAAGCGGGGCATCCCCTCGCGAAAGAGCACATCGATCCCGATATAAAAAAAAATATTTTCGGATGTAACCACGCATACACTCACCCACATACACGCACGTTACTTTATCCCCTAAAACTTTGTTACGAAGGGATAATAACACCTCATGTATTTTCTGTATCACCAAAAAATCCTAAGGGGAAATAAATTAAGATACGCCATGATGTGTAATTTTTTTTCTTTCTTTTTTTAAGTTTCATTAAAAAAATCATAATTAATAACAAAACAAAAGAAAAAACAAAAACAAAAATCTGTTCACTACTTCCAAGGGGATTTTTTTAATTTAGCTTTTTCTTAATTCTTAAATTAAAATGTTTAAATAATTAAGTTTCCATTGTTTATACAATTCAATTTCTTCGCCTGTCTTACATGTAGTTATGGAGTAGAAACATAACAAAGAGGCACATAACGAAGTCAAAGGATTGTATTATGAACGTTTATTCTGTACTTGAAAATTTTTTTTTTTTTGTCAACTACTTACTTTTTTCAGTAAATCACACTTAATCAAAAGCGGTTAAAAATGTTTCTGTCCTTTTTTTTATTTTGAGGAACCTGTGCCCTCGACGCTACTGCTGTATCACTTGAACACAACAAGTATCGTTCATCATTTCTTAAAAGTGCCGCTAATCTAAAAAAAAAACAAAAAAACACCCTGATATACACACAAGCTAAACTGACTTTTCTGAGCGAAATGAAATACAGTTGCATTACAATTTTTTATAAAAATCTATCTGAAATTGAAACCGAATATCATGCGAGACTTGACAGACCCGTAGAACGCCGGGGGGGGGGTTCCTCTTATACATGCTGGCCCCCCCCCCCCAATTTTTGTTGTTTTAAGGTGAAGCACTGGTAAATTCTAGGATTTGTACAGATAAGTTTTTCCCTTTTTCTGCTTGTCAGGTTATTTTGGGAAGTTGCCCCCCCCCCCCCCCCCAAATCTTTAAACAGTATAGTTTTTTTTTTTGCTTTTAAGATTTTTGGGAGAAGTTGCCCTCCCACCCACCCACCCCCCCGAACTTTTGAAACCAACTACAGACCTGCTTGAATATATGTGTTTGGATAATTAAGATCATCAACTCATCTTCCTCTGTGGCATCAGCTAACCTGACACATATAACAATAATCAAATATTACGTCTAACACAGGCCCGTAGGAAGCAATTTCAGTTTTTTTTGGGGGGGGGATAGCTATACATTTTCAGTTGGGGGGCACTATCAACTACCAAACATTCCTTGACAAGCAAAATAATAATAATAAAAAAAAGTCATCAAACGTTTTTATTGAGGGGGCACAAACATATAGTAGCTAGTAGCCCCCCTGTGCCCCCCCCCCCCCCCCCCCCCCCCCGGTTCCTACGGCCATGTAACACTTTTTGTCTTTTGTCTTAAAAGCTAAAGATAAAATAGACAAACCAATTTTTCCTAGTTATTGTTTCAAAAAATAACAATTTGTCAGAATCTCGAAATTAAAGAGCATGATCTCTTATTTTTGCCTGTTACATGTACCACACCGCTGAAATAGAAACATTTTTTTTCTTTAAAATCAGAAAGATGTGTGTGCTTGTTTAATATTTTCCTTCAGTATCCCTACATCAACGGAACTTTCAAAAATGTCGAGATATCCGGGGTATCGATATATCAGAGCTGAGACTCGACGTTCAAGATTTCAACACGAAACGTGACTACATGTAATTCATTACATACAGATGTACATGAATACAACAGTCCACAAGCACTTGACGTTTTTAACTTTTCTTTTCATAAAATATTCTCCATACTATTATAGTATGGAGAATTTTTTTAATTTATGAAAAGAAAGGTTAAAAACGTCAAGTGCCTGTGCAACATTCAGCAAAAAAAAAAAAAAAAAAAAGAAAAAAAAAGAAGCCTTTTTTAACATATTTTATGGTCATCAAAGTTTTGCCTGAACCTCCTTTTTTCCACTCGAATCATCACCAGTGTTAATTTTTTTTTCATCTTTATCAAAATTTCTTTACTGTCTTTGTTGTCTTACGACTGGTGTGGTTGATGTTTTTTTTTAACATTTGAATTTGACACCACTTGTTGCTAGTTCTAATTCCCCTGTCGGTGATTTATTCTTAAAAGATGTCGCCATATCAAAATTTATCAGACGTTTGTAATTTCTTTACAACCTAATGTATTGTTTAATCTGTTGGTTCTTCTGTTTCATAACTATTTTTAATCCTAATATCACCATCGATGTAATTGTTATTTTCTTCAACTTTGATCATAATGCTTTTGGAAAAAGTCCACATTAGCTGTATTTATTTCCTGAATGTATTGCAATTTAATTTCAAGTAAGCTTTTATCGGAACAATTAAAGAAAATTGATACAATAGTCATTTTTATCAGAAACTACTTTTTTGTATTTATTTGATCATTTCAAAATGTTTTCTTAATCATAATTTATTTTTTGCAAAATTTCCGTGGCATCCCCCTCTTCCGTTTTTTCCCTTAGCATATTCTCTTGCTGTTAACCTAGCAAAGAATTATCTATATAGGGGCCGTTTGCCCCCCCCCCCCCCACCTCCCTCTATCTCTCATTAGTTGCTGTAGTAGGAGGTTCGAATCTCCCATAATACCAGATACCAGTACTATACGCCCCCCCCCCCCCCCCCCCCCAAAAAAAGTTCTCTTTTTTAGATTGAACTTTTACCGATTGCTGTTTTATTCGCAGATTTTTTTTCCCCGCTTTTCAATGATCTGCATCCCACCCCCTCAAACACATTTGGATATCGACGCTTCACCATCAGTTGGTGAGCTGGTCTAACTGCGCATATCGATATTATTAACTATGGATCAATTAAAATGGCTAAGTACATTTTACATTAGGTGTTTTTTTTTTTTAGAATTAAGAAGTGTATACATGTACGTGCATTGCTCCCCCCCTCTCTCTCTCTCTGAAAAAAATATTCGCGTATGCAGAATACCATTTAATATTAAGACTTATAGTCTACTAAATATGAGTCAAATTTAAACATTTGTAAATTGCTCAGAAAACTTAAGCCATGCATCATATATACACATCGCTGTAAATCGTCGTAATTAACAATGAGTTCAATGTTGCACTTGGCGTAATTATGTGATATCAATTAATACCTAAACAGAATAATTAATAAATGCATGTACTAGTGTGTAATTATATTATTTATTAAAAATGTCCGCATCAAATTTCATATGATTTAATGTTTTTCTTGTAACACCTGGAAATCCAATTTTATTTTTTGTTCACAAAACACAGTCGGCAAAAATTACTTGGAACCGTGTTTACAATACCGCAACTTTGACGTCGTTTTCTGCGCATTGTGACGTCAAAAGATAAGGGCCCTTTTCTCATGACGGCAGTCATATATATATATATAGAGAGAGAGAGAGAGAGATCACATAAGATAAAGTATAGTACTTTTCAGGCCCCTGTGGTCATCAAGGTTTCCCACAAGTACAACTTTGGAATCTTTGAGAACAATAGTTTCCTGATCCAGGGGCAATTACTTTTCATTTACAATTTAAATTTAAAATTTTATGTTTAAATAAAGATTCATAACACATACTGCATGAAGTATAAGAAAAGTAAACTGATAAAGTATCTTTGAACACTTTCTCATGACTTTGTGTATGTATTATAGTAGCTTTTCTCTTTATATTCTGCATCACCACTTTTATATTGACTGTTTTTACAGGCCAGACATCCTGTACAAAATGTCCAGCAGGAAGTGAGTGTCCAAACAGAGGGACACCTGTCCAGTGTACTGCTGGCCACTACTCTGTGGAGGGATCAGGGGTCTGTGAAGCTTGTCCTCCAGGATTTTACAGCTCATCTGCTGGTAAGTCAGAGAGCAAAGTACATTGGAAAAAAGCATAGCCTGTTTACTCAAATTAAATATTGAAAGATTTGATATGGTATCATGTTTCACTTCATGAAAAAATACTTCGTAATTTTCAATCTTTATAATGATTTGGAGTAAAGGTAATCTCTAATTAAGTTGTCCTAGTAAAAATTTTTTAAAATATGAAATCAAGTTCTCATATTTATCTCATCATTTGAACTTATATGCAATTTTCCACATATTTTTAGGTGCTAGTGTTTGTTCATCATGCCCAGAGGGAAAATCTTGTGCTGGTAACGGAACCTCTACCCCAACACCTTGTGGAGCCGGATATGTAGCTCCAGCTGAGTCCAGCTCCTGTACTCAGTGTGCCTCAAGTACGCTATCATACTCAGAATTGATATTCATATAGAATTATTCATTGTTTATTTCTTTAAAGTTTAATTATAGATAATAGCATCATATTAATGTTTGCATCTTTCAAATTGAATTATAGATTATAACATCAAATTTATTTAATAGTTATTTGTTTAAAAAAAGCTGATTTTATGAATTTTGATGATTGCTAGATGAAATCCCTGATGGTACTCAGAAGTTGTGCTCAGGTTGCCCCGCTGGGAAAGCCTGTAGTGATCCTGCGTAAGCTACCCACATCTGTTTTTGACACTACCTTTGAAAATTTATGTTGTTTAAGTATTTGCAATCAACAATCTTCAGATGAGATTCAAATGAATTTGTGATTTTTGTTTCCATTAGAGCCACACCAACTGACTGTAACACAGGAGAATATGCAGTTCTTGGAAATGGAACCTGTACTCGATGTCCTAGGGGAAGTTACTGTCCCACAAAGACGGCTGCACCTCTGGCCTGTTCCTCAAGTATGTGCCATATTCCAACTTAATACTATTGTATTTTTAAAGAAAAGTAGAACTCTCAATATAAGTATAAAAAAAATTATCTACATATTAAAAACAGACAGAAAGATAAAACAATTTTCAATTTTGAGTTGTGCTTTAGCTTAATTTCTTCAAAGATTTATATATATGAGCATTTGATATTTAGTCTTAGGAGTATTTTTATTTCCTGTTATTAGCCCAGTATTCAGCAGAGGGAGAAACATCTTGTACAGATTGTCCTGTGGGTCACTCCTGTCCCACCCCAGATGCCACCCCAGTTCAATGTGATCCTGGCCAGTATAGTGCTGCTGGAGGTAAGCAAAGTATAAACAGAATGTAATAAAAGTTAATTCTGTAGCATTAGAATACATGTAAGTTGACATCTTACAATGACATGAATTATTTCAAAACCAGCAGATTCCACAATAAAGATTCAGTGTTTTCACACACACATATATTACTCATATCCATTTATTTAATGCTTTGTGACTAATAAACTAACTGTAAAACTATTATAAATAAATGATTTATTTAATTTCCTGTATTTTCAGTGATCACCTGTACAGACTGTTCGGCTGGGAAGTTCTGCCCCAATCCCTCAGCAGCGGAGACAGACTGTCCTGATGGGTTCTGGTCCGCTACAAAACAAACAGCCTGTACTCAGTGTCCTGCTGGGAAATACTGCTCCAAAACAGCCGAGACTGATTGTCCTAGTGGTACCTACTCCTTAGGAATGGCTACAGCCTGCTCCTACTGTCCTGCTGGTATGTCTCTCATGTTGTCTAGTAGTACTTCTGTTTGTTACTCAAAATAGGCCCATGGTTTGAAATTACCACAGTGTGTTTCAGTACCATGCTAGAAGTACATAGCTTTGTTGGTTGCAGATATAGAAAAAAAAATCCCAAAATTTTTCTGTACTTATTTGTATTTATCATAAGTAACAAATTCAGTTTTAGTTAAAGGTTACTTTTAATCTAATATGCAGAATCTTTCATGTAATAATTAAAATTAACAGAATATTTTCTGTTCTAATTAGGATATGAGTGCACAAATCCTGCTACCTCTCCTAATGCATGTAATCCTGGAGAATATAACATTAATGGATCAACATCAGCCTGTACCATCTGTCCAGGAGGGTCAATGTGCCCGGTGACCACTGCTGCCCCGACACCTTGTGCTGCAGGTAGCTTCATTGATCTACTCTCAGACTGCTTACTAGTATTCATACTGGGTGCTAAGTGCATTAATGACATATTTCAAAGATTTTATTAGAGTATAGAAAAAATCATATTTATGTGTAAAAACCTATCAAACTTTCTGAGCATAGCATAGCATATAAAAGACAAAAAAAAAAAAAGATAGCTTTACTTTAGAGATTTGGTTAATAGAACCAAGCTTTATTTTATACTGTTTTTAGTGGATCTTTGATGCTGAATGTTTCCCATTGTTGTCTGATTTAAGAGTACATATTTCATATTTAATTATTTTGTTGAACCAATGAACTAGTGATACATACAAATTGAGTATTTCAAGAATGACACCATACAAATTGACAATGTTAGGTTTCCTGAGTGGCACTGGACAGAGGGAGTGTACACAGTGTCCAGCTGGATATGCTTGTCCAGATAATACTGACCCCACCAAGAACTATGCCTGTCATCTTGGATCCTACTCCATTGCTGGACAAATGGACTGCACTGTCTGTCCTGCTGGAAAATACTGCCCCAGTACAAGGTAAGGCTTCAGTATGACAGATGTGAAAATGCAAGAATAGTTGCTGCAAAGGAAGTTTAAGTATATGTTTATCTGTATAAGTTATGGACTTTGAATTCAAATTTTAGATCTTTATTTCTATTTTTTTTTTTATTATTATTATATTTTTTTCCTTTGAACTCAAATTTTAGATCTTTATTTCTGTTTTTTTTACTTTGAACTCAAATTTTAGATCTTTATTTCTGTTTTTTTTACTTTGAACTCAAATTTTAGATCTTTATTTCTGTTTTTTTTACTTTGAACTCAAATTTTAGATCTTTATTTCTGTTTTTTTTACTTTGAACTCAAATTTTGGATCTTTATTTCTGTTTTTTTTACTTTGAACTCAAATTTTAGATCTTTATTTCTGTTTTAAAACATACCTTTGGAACAGAAATAGCAATTAACATGTAAATATATATAACCACATTATGCATAGCACAGTTGACCTTTTTAAAAAAAAAATCAACTAGGTTTTTAACAAAAACATGAAAGAGAATTCTTTTTTGTGTTAGTTCATCCAATGAAATTCCTTGTCCGGGAGGAACCTACTCCACTGGTAACACCTCTTCCTGCACCAAGTGCACCCCTGGGGAGGTGTGTCCCAATGCAGATGGAACAGGAATCCAGACCTGTCTCCCCGGAACATACTCTGTTGCAGGGTCAGCAGCCTGTGTGGACTGTCCAGCTGGATCTGCGTGTCCCTCCACAAACTCCTCCCAACAGATACAGTGTCTTCCTGGGACATACTCACTGACAAAGGCAACTGAATGTTCACCTTGTCCCGCAGGATTGTAAGTGTTCTGTGTGTGAAGAGACAAAAATTCTGAAAAAGTTATATCTCATGTTGCTGAAAAATAAAAGTTGAATGTTTGTGATAGTTTTTTTAAAACTTTGCTGGAATGGAAATTTGCTCTCTCTGTCCTCTTGGCATCCAGCCCAGCAGATGTTCAAGAGACAATATGGCAGTGAAACCAGCATTCATCAGGGTATTTGATTTTCTAAGTATTACAACTTGTCCCTTGTAACTTTCAGTGCTTGTCCAATGACAAACAAAGCCACCCAAGTTCCCTGCCAGGATGGGACTTATTCTGTTGGTAACCAGACTGCCTGTATTAGCTGTCCATCAGGATATGAATGTCCAGACTCCTCCACCAACAGCACGTTAGTAACAGGGTTTATTCATAAATTCTATAAAATGTGCATGATAAGAATATTTATTATATACCCAACTGTTTGTCACTCAGTTTCACTGTTAAATTTATGCAATCATGTGACGATGTGATCCGACGTTCCGGATCACCACACTGTGATTTTCTGAATCCATATCACCCCTCTCTGAAACTGATGACGTAGTACACAGATAAATGGCGTTTTCATTCTCGCATATCAAAAAGTTCCTCGACAGATTGGTTTGTTAAATGGATAAAAGTGAGGTATTTGATCCAAAAAGTTTCCATTTATTATATTTTGCTAGTTGTAAAGGAGTATATAATAAATTTATCATTATAACAGTAACTTGATCTCATTGACAGGCGCGGATCATCAGATCAAACTCGTAGTTTCGCGTCTCGTTTGATCTAATGCTCCACTTCTGTCAACTTGACGTGATACGACTCTTCGGATCAAGTTATTGTTATAATAATATATATTGAGTTGATATTTTGATCAGAAAACTTTATATTGAATGCATTTTAAATTGATCTAATGCTTATTTATTAATCAAATGAAAGACTTGTGATAAATTTTTAATGATTGAATCTTTGTCATCTACTTGTATAAACAAAATGTAGACCTTACAGGAAAAAATAGATTTGTCAACATGAACTTTAATTTTCTCAGCACCCCATGTCAGCCAGGCTACTACTCCCTGGGAGGCCAGAAGACCTGCACCATGTGTGATGAGGGTTACAGGTGCCCCAATACATATGAAGGTCAAACAGTGTGTCCCCCAGGGTTCTACAGTGCGGCAGCCTCCACGAACTGTACCGGATGTGAACCGGGATACTACTGCCCAGAACCAGAACGTAAGAATGTAGAGGAATTGTTATATGATACTTGTTATCTTTAAAGATGAATCTAGGATAAAAGTAACGGAATGATTAAACCAAAAAAGCAACAGAAAATGTACTTCTTGTTATGATATTTGGTTATTTGGATCCTATAAGAATTTGCTACAAAAGTCTAGAATGCAAAATGAAGTTTGGAGTACTTTGCAAACATGTAACATAAATCATTGAATTAATTTGTAAGGGTTTTGTTATTGTGAAGAGTCAGGAACAACAAGAACACCAGAAAATATTGAAGTTATGGCCCTTTTCTAATACCAGTTTAACCTCTGTTTACAGACTCCAGGAGAGCAGAGTGTCCCCCTGGATACTACTCAAATGGTGGAGCCATCTACTGCACTCCATGTTATGCTGGTTACACCTGTTCTATGGGGTCCACAAATGCAACCCCTGCTGCTGACATATGTCAGGCTGGGGGATGGTGTGATGGCAAGAACTTCTTTCGTTGTCCAGCTGGAACATACAATCCTAATAATGGATCCATTGCCTCAACTGATTGTTTCCTCTGTCCTCCAGGTAACCTCTTTCATCACAAAGAATGAATCCTCATAACACTGCTTTCTCGCCCCTTTTTAAATGCAAAATTTTACCTTTTCAAATCAGTATATTGTTATATTATAGCTAAAGTCTTCAAGCATAGTCTGTATAGATACTCATAAAAGATTTTTTGGGGAAAGAGAATTTCAATATATACATTATATCGATTAAATAAAATCGTATACTTCACTGTACAATCCCGGTGTCGCCATTACAGCTATGTAGGTCATTGTATTATTTGAATGAGAAGGCGGAGCGTCTCTCAAGCGTGCGATTAGTATGAATACATTAGCGTGTGTTCGAGGTGTACTAATTTTTATGATTAACTGACACGTAAAAAAGCCTTTTTCATGCTAGAGACCGACAAAATATAAGCATACATTTTTAATTTGGTTGGCTTAACTTTGATTTCTTTTCTACTTAACTTACGAGTCGTATTTGAAATGATTTACTAGAAATTCGTTAAATTATTTATGTATTAAATACACAATGGAATTTGGAAACAGAACGTATAACGAAGGATACACTATTTTTCACACTTTAAAGAAACTTTTTTAAAAAAAAGAAAAAGAAATAATTAATCCATTTAAGCTTATTACGAACATAATTAGAAATTGTTCATACATATATATATAATTTTGCAAAATCCGAGTGCTACAACAAATACACGTAGGTGGTTGAATTATGAAATAAAACTACACTTGGTGTATGAAAAATAGATAGTTAAGAAAGTGAAAATTTAAACTTCAATTAAACGTCAGTTTAACGTCAGTATCATCGCTGGTGGATAATGAAACATCCGTGTCAGTGTACTTTGTACAGTCCAAATTGCATTGCTTCAAAAATCCTGTTTATTCATGCCAGACAAGTTAATATGATCTTCCTCATTTAGGAATTCATTAATTGTCGAAATCCACTCCTGTACTTTTTGATTTTAACAAACTCTCTCCCTGTTGTAAGATAAATAATAAATCACTCCGAGGTATTTTTAACGCCCTTTTTCATTCGACTGATTTTTTTTAAAACTAATATCTAGATCGGACATGTGAAAGGGTCATACAAATGCATGTTCTTGCTTTTAAACATTATGCTTTAAAAATACCTGCGAACATGGACTTTCTTTTACATGATCTGCCAAAAAAAAAAAAAAAAAAATTGTGAAATTTTGTGCCAATGTAAAAAGTTATAGTTTGCTTCATAAGAAACCTGAAGCTTCCTTCTATTCAAATTAGGGGTGCTTTTTGTGCATCCAGTGACTTTTCATCCGATACACGTTTTTTATCGAGCGCTCCGTGCTTCAGTTTCTTTCCATAAAGGTTTCTTCTATTGGAAGTATGCATTTGTGCACTTGTAACAAACAATTTATTTTTTTAAAGATATGATGAATTAGTGTTTTTCAAATAACAGACTATAAAATCGATGACAGTTTTAACTAAAAAAAAATCTTTCATATCTGCCAAGGCAATGAACGGAGCACAGATGTATATTTAGGAACAAGGGCAAATGTATAATATATACCCACAGTAATTTAAATTTTAAAATTCTGTATTTATGACACACATGCAGTAAGTGCAAGCTATATGCTACAGCACGGACTTCAATATAAATTGATATATACCAAATAAAAAAAAAAAAATCAAACAAAATCGACTGAAAATATTAACACATCTTAATCATAAAAAAGTTTTTTCCCAGAATTTTAATTACCCATCTGAAAAATGATTTGACCATCAATAGCTCGCAGACACTAGATACAATGTCGCATAGGTGTGCTCAAAGCGTGGAAGTGAATAGATTTGAATCACGTGTTCAGTGCTTTGTTATTCATGAGGTCAAAGACGGGTTGAAATTTGTAAACAAGGTGCCTTTACTATGGAGACAAGCACCCGTGATTTTGCACCTTTTTGGAAAATAACAAATGAGCGCAAGTCTGTTTCAATTTCTTTCATGAACATAAATGACTAGTATAACTCTTTACATTGACCATACTGACGACAACTTGAAACATCCATGCGCTCATATAAAAAATGGGCTTGCAAAATGGGGGTGTGGCCTAAAGTCTATGAGAAATCGATGTAAACAACATACCCCTGCTATATTAATCACATAAATACCTAATTACAGCGAAAGGAAGTAAAAATTAAAATTGAAATCAATAAACTACAATGTTTGATGGAAAGATTGAGGCAAAAATATTTAGAAAATCTTTAATGTAATTTTTTGTAAATTATCGGGGGGCCAGATTTGGACGTTTAAATGATTCACCCTTTACCTGTAATTTGGCTTTTTAAGGGTGAATGAAGCCTTTTCAATAAAATATTTAGAAAACCTTTGCTGCTTTAATCAAATTAATATGTAAGCAACAATTTTGACTTTTCACATTGCTTTAATCAAATTAATATGTAAGCACAATTTTGACTTTTCAATTGCTTTCTTTGATATTTTGTGTACATCCTTGCATCCTGTTTGATATTTTAATCAATAGGGTCCTGTTAGCAAATTATCACTTTCTATGACATCAAACTTCATATTGTAGGATACTACTGCCCAGGACCAGGTGATACATCATACACACAGTACCCCTGTCCTAAAGGTCACTACTGTCTCCAGGGGACAACAGTCAGTACACAGTACCCTTGTCCTGGAGGTTCATATAATCCCGATGACAATTCCACCAGTGAAACTGCCTGTGTGCCTTGTCCAACTGGAAAATACTGCCCCAAAGGAACCACAGACACAGGGGTGGACTGCCCAAGGGGATTCTACTGTACTGGGGGACAATCCTCAGGCTTCCAACATCCCTGTCCAGTTGGGACTTATGGCCCAGATCTTGGATTTGACAGTAAGTTATTTTTTAGAAGAGATTCCCTGATTTATTTTTAAGAGATGGAACAAATTTTTCATATATTTCTGAGCTGTAAAAAAGGATGAACATGAAAGGAGTTATGTGTGCTGTTTTACTTTTTTTACATCTTATCCAATAATTGATATTGGGCTATTTGAAAAATACTTGTGGAAAATATTGCCAAATAGAAAAAAATATGTTTTCCTCCAGGGAAAAGCTTTTTATATTATAAAGAATATTCACTTTTTATACCATTTCTCTTCCTTTATCAGATGAGACACAGTGTATCCCATGTCCTGCTGGATTTTACTGCCCTGGAGGCACAGAATCACAGCCCACCACTGCCCCCACGCCTTGTGAACCTGGTACCTACAACCCTGATGCTAACACAGGCCACCCACTCAACTGTCACAAGTGTGACATCGGCTTCGCTTGTCCTGAGATCAACCATACAGCTTCTGTTGTTCCATGTAAAGCAGGTAAGAAGAGGTATTTGGGGGTCTTTGTTGAACTTCAAACACATGTAGTTACTGTAGTTGTTCATATTGCTCAGATACTTTCAGAGAGAAGAGGAAACTTGAAATATTTCTTGATGAAAAAAAATATTTCTCTGAATTGAGAATCCTTTTCAGAAAATAAAACAAGTCTTTCAAATGTTGAAGATAAAATGCATCTGAAGGAGGAATGATAGTAAAATTTTACTAACATGGTTGTTTATATGCTTCAGGTTACTACTGTCCCCTAGGAACCATAGCAGATGATCAGTATCCCTGTATCCCAGGGACCTACAGCGATAAAACTAACCTTTCGTCAGCTGATCAGTGTGATGCCTGTCCAGAGGGCAAATACTGTGAATGGGGCACAAGTAAGGGCCAGTGTTGTTAATAGGGCATATCCAATATAGGGTCATTAATGCAAACAGAATTATAGGAAGTTAAGACCATTACTGTATATAGGATACATCTAAGCAATACAGGGGCAAATAATTGGAATGGGGCACATGCATGTGAAAAATAAACAAATACTTTAAGCATTTTGACAACTGAAATAACAGTTATTTTTTAAAACAATATGAAATTTCTTAAATCTATATGTAAGTTCTAGAAATGGATGATAATAATATTAAGAATGTGTATTTTAAATTTTAGACAATTCCACCAATCCTCCAAAGCCCTGTTGGCCTGGATTCTACTGTCCACTGCAGTCCCCCTCCCCAGAGAAGTTCCCCTGTCCAGCGGGGACATACTCAGACCGGGCTGATTTGTATGAGGCATCTCAATGCTACACATGTCCCCAGGGTTCCTACTGTGAAGGTAAAATAGTGGTAAAATATGTTAACAGTCCTGTAAAGTCAAAATATTGGGCAGCAACACAAGGATAAAGCTACATGTACTTGCTAGTAAAAGCGGAAGTTTAATATATACTTGCTAGTAAAAGCTGAAGTTTAATATATCCAGCTGATAAATCATTACTTAGTTGTTCATAGTGAAAAAATATAACTTTGATATAAGCATATGTTCCTTCAAACATGTTTGCTGTGAACATATTTTCATGTTTAAGAGTTTTGAATTCCTAGTTCATTAGTTATTGGATGCGCATCATGTATTAAAGGTGGTGCCAGCAGCACATCTGGTATCTGTCCACGGGGTTTTTATTGTCCAAATGGCACCAAGGCAGGAACTGAGTACGGATGTCCTAATGGAACCTACAATGATGCAGAGGGATTGTATGAAGAGGCCCAATGTAAAAATTGCTGGCAAGGTAGAGTTGGAAACTTTTAACTGAAATTTATGGAATAAAATTTTGAAAGCAAATATTTATTCCCTATTAAATCATATTAGACAATGTTTTTCTTTTTGTTCCTTCAGTGTGAAATGTGAGCAGAAATTGTTCAGCTTTTCAAATCTAGTTATTTTTTTTGTCTCCACCAGGTCACTATTGTGAGTTTTCAGTCTCAGCCCCAGTGAAATGTAAAGCTGGTACCTACATGCCATATGGAGTTAACCTGACAAATAATGCTCTTGTTGGTCCAGGTATCTATAGTTTTCTTATTCTCTCTTTAAAGCAAATCAATGACCATGAAATACATGTAGAAGTGAAAAGTATACAAAGATAAAAACAACTTGGATGTACTTCATTTGATGTTGGCAGCCATCTCTTAATTCAAAATGTTTTGCATTTTAAGGGCAACCCGCTAAGAGACAGTTTGAGTGTATCACCTGTCCTGGAGGATTTTCTTGTCCACTAGGGACAATACATCCGTACGACTGTACTGTGGGTTTCTATTCCAAACCAGGACAAGAAGTCTGTGAAACATGCAGAATAGGGTTAGTATACAGGATAATAGAGCAAAGAGAATTGCATAGTTTTATTTGGGCACTCAAGATTTTAAGTCATTTAAAGATTTGCATGAACAATTCTAGATGTAGAATAATTTTTTAGAATTGATATTATCTTTCATAATTATTTGTAAGACTTTGCACTATATTTGGACAGACATTATTGTGACAACTCGTCCACCTCAGAAGATGCAATGGTCAACACAAAGAAATGTCCTCCTGGTCGATATTGTTTGGCTGGACTGACCAAGGAACCTGATGCTACTGACTGTTCTGTTGGAAGATATTGTCCTGAAGGTATACTTACTGAACTGTAGTAGACCTTTGTGCTTTTATTATACACTTATTATCAGAACACGAAAAACAGAGTTCATTCGGCAAATTTTAAATTTTATCAAAGCATCAATACCTGAGGAAAAAACCATTGAGAGCAAAAATTGAAAGCATTTTTTTAATGCCATTTCTGTAAAAAATATTCAGTAGTAAAATATTACATGTTAGAGAAATATATTCTTGCATTATTCCATCTGCTATACATAATTTATTTTCCTATGATCATTTTCATTATTTTAAACTTACCAGGAACTGTAGAGGAGCTGAAGTGTCCAGTGGGAACAATACGTCGCACCACAAAAGCACATGATGTTGACACCCACTGTGAGCCTTGTCCTGCTGGTTATTATTGTCTGGAGGGGTCGTATACAGAGACAGGACCATGTGAAGCTGGATATTACTGTCCCACAAACTTTACCAATCCATATGGTGTTCATCCTCCCACAATTGGGGCTTATGGAGCTAGACAGGTAAAATCTAAAAAGCTAAAGTTAGTAAATTTTTAAATGGACAATATTACTTGTGAAGTTGTATTATTAATAATGATTGTACTATTTGAATTTTAAGAAAAACTATTTTTCTGCATTTTTAATCATTTTGTCATTTTTCTTCAGTAAGTTATTACATGTATTTTAATTCTTTTTAATGTCAATTAACTTCATGAATATAAGCACAGTTCTTATCTTTAACGTGTAGGCATAGTACTCTTCTGTCCTCTGAAGATATTCCGAAAAAATAATTCTTCATATTTTTTAACCTTTTCTATCACAGGTGCCCTGTCCAGAAGGAACATACACCAATGTGACTGCTACACCAGATGTAGGTAGTTGTCAGACATGTCCAGCTGGTTACTACTGCCCTCTGGCCTCCAGCTCTCCAACTGACTGCCCTCGAGGATCATATTGTGTGGCTGGTTCCTCTAAACCAGAACCCTGCCCCATTGGCAGATATGGAAATACATCATGTAAGCCAGGAAAATTAAGACAAAACATTTATTGCAATTTTTTTTTGGCAATTTCCTGTAAGTTGTGGTTCACAAATGTGATTTCATGAATCTGAAAGAAAAAAATTACAATATTATTTATAAAGGAAAAATGGAATATTGAAAATTACATAAACAACTTGTTTTTATTATAAACAGTGCGTCTAACAGAAATTTGCTTGATATCCATTCTTCTGTACTTTTCAGTGTTGACGGCTCTGACTGAGTGCCCCCTGTGTGACCCCGGCTGGTATTGTGATGCCCCAGGTCTTCTACAGCCCCGCTCACCCTGTGACCCAGGATATCTCTGCTATTCAGGGGCCTCCACCTCAGCTCCAACAGATGGGGTGACAGGAGAGCTTTGTCCCAGAGGAGGGTTCTGTGTGTCAGGTAGGAGGAAGAAAATAAATTAAAATATGATAACCTCTTCTATGTAATTTCTGTTTATTATGACTGTTATCCTTTAAAGAACTATAAGAAGATACAGTATTTTTGCTTTTCATATTGTTGAAAGTCTGAAAACATTGGAACACGTTTTACCAGTATAATGTAATTGAATGTTGGTTTTATATAAACTATCCTCAATTTTTTAGGATCATATGTGGCTGAACCTTGTCCTCTGGGAACCTACAGCAATGTCTCAGGGGCTGTGAACAACTACGAATGTTTCGATTGTGATGCTGGGTACTACTGCTCCTCAGTGGCTGGTGGGGCACCAACGGGGGCATGCTGGGGAGGATATTACTGTACAGGGGCTGCCAAAACCCCCATACAACATATCACTGATCCTGGTATGTGTCTGAAGCTTTCTTTTTTATAGTAATTGAAAAATAATCCAATCGATATAGATCACCATTAGTATTACGATGTACATCTACATATACAATTTCAGACAAAGTTTAAGATATGAATTGTACATTCATGTACATTGTATATACTGCATAGTTTTATATGCAGTAACACTCTAGTGCCTATTAAACATGTATACCAGTATATTCCTGGTTTTTGCCAGGCTTACAGAATTATATCAGTCTTAAACCTTTCACAGGAAAATTTGCTCCCAATGGCTCCATGGCCCAATACGAGTGTGAGATAGGGACCTACATGCCTTACAATGGCTATGCTGAGTGTTTCGAGTGTGAGCCAGGTTTTTACTGTCCAGACAAAGGAATGACCAATAGAACAGCCTGTCCAGCTGGTTATTACTGTGGAAATGGAAGCTATGTCCCAACAGCATGTGAACCTGGATATTTCTCAAATGAGTAAGTCACTTGAATTGTAGAACTCTATTTTATTCATGTAGATTATAGACACTGTTAAGTTTGCAGTAACTTGCTGAATGTTATGAACGAAAAATTTGGTGCTTTCAGAACACATAAGACCAATATCAGTGATTGTCAGCCATGTCCCCCGGGTCGTTACTGTCAGAATCGAGGTGCTACTGAGGTGACAGGAAAATGTAAGGCAGGGCACATCTGTTATGGCCTTGCTTTGTATGACGATCCAGTCTACAATAACGACACGTCTGGAAACAAGACTGCGATCCTGTGGGGAGACACCTGTCACCCTGGTTATTACTGTCCTGAGGGGACCTCTGTTATGGTACCATGTCCTCGAGGAACTTACAATCCAGACAGAAGTGGAACCTCAGAGGCAGCCTCCTGTAAACCTTGTGACCCTGGAAAATACTGTAATGGAACAGCTTTGACAGAAGTCACAGGTCAGTCTATGAATAGAAGTACACCTCTGTCTATTTTTGTTCTTCACTCTTTGCCCACTGTTAAGGAATTTAAATCTGAAAATATCCTTTTTCTATAAAGCAAAGTAATTTGGATTTTTAAAAAATCACAATTTACATTGAAAACTGTGTCATAGAATATAGCCTAATAGTTAGTTACTGTCTATGTGTAAATATAAATTTGTATGTCTGTAGGGGACTGTTTGGCTGGATACTATTGCACTGGTGGAGCCTGGATTCCTGACCCGATAGACAACACTACTGGTAACATCTGTCCTATTCATCACGTGTGTACAGCTGGGTCAGACACCCCCAAAACCTGTTCCATTGGTTATCATGCTAATAGCACGGGAATGTCTGCCTGTCAGCTGTGTATGGCTGGATTTTTATGTAGTCCTGGGTCTGAACCAGCACTTTGTCCAATGGGTAAGAATGGAATTTACTTCTAAAAACTGAGACTTAATATTTTTGGTATTTATAACGGTGATCTCTGGATTGTAAATGACTTCCCATTTTTGGAGTAAAATGTATTCATTACCTTAGAACTGAATTTTACTCACTTGAGATGTACTTGTATTTATTAGCAATGAAAAGTTTTCAGACTGAAGAACGTTGAATTTGAATTTAATTAATAATATCTTGTATCTTATGACTATCGTTTTTGATTTTAAGGTTACTATTGTTTGGCCAGTACAGTCCTGATACCAATTTCACAAGGAACTCCTTGTCCTGTGGGAACTTTCGGAGACAAAATGGGATTGACAGAGGAAAGCAATTGTACTCAGTGCCCTGCTGGAAAATACTGTGAGACTACAGGTACATGTGTATTATAAATCTGAAACGTGTCAACTGGCAAAGTATGCTCTCACATTAAAATATCTTTTTCACAATGATTACTGAAAGGTGTCTGTTGAAATTACATTTACATGTATATGGTAAGTTGTTATTCATAAAATTTGTATGGAATAACATTAAAAGACCTGAAATTTCTTAATCTGTTTAATATGTTAGGTAAATTGCAACATTATTTATTCTGTGAGCAATGTTTGACTTGTAAATGGAATTATGCAATTAAAATTTTAAACACTGAGATGGAAGCTGTAATGATGCACTGACCTTTAACATACTGTAATTAGTATTGTTTTCTTTTGTAGGATTGACCAACTACACTGGCCTGATAAGTGCTGGACACTGGTCGAGATATGGATCTGGAACAAGAACTCCACTTGTTGATGACAGCGCAATTCTGGGAATCTGCACCAAAGGCCACTATTGTCCTGAGGGAAGTGAGATCCCCACACCCTGCCCCTCAGGAACTTATGGGTAAAGAATTCTTGGTCTCTTATGATTTCATTCTTAATTACTGGGTATATGGTTGGAATGAACAGATGTACTGCAGCAAAATATTCCAGCAATTTTTTTTTTCACCAAGTGCTGGAAATCTGAATTCTTAGCTGGATGCAATAAATTAATAATATAAACATGTAATTATTGAAGTAATTTGATGCATTCCTTGTTATTCTTAACTTAATTTTTCTGTATTCAGTGATTAAACTGTAAATCTAATTTGTTAAAAGTTATGGTCTATTTAGTATGTTTTGGTACTGTACATGTAATCAGTAGATAATTGACATTGTAATACTGATTGATCAAAAGTGTCTCTGGTGGTTACTGTTCGAGTTTGGATTGTGTTTACAGAGATAGTTGGAAGCTGACATCACTTGCTGCCTGCGACGCATGTGATCCTGGTACATACTGCCCTGTTACCAATATGACAGCCACAGGAAGTCAGTGTGATGCAGGATTCTACTGTAGTGGGGGGTCACCAGAAAGTGCCCCCGTCAATCAGACATGGGGAGATGAGTGTCCTGCAGGTACATTTACTTGTCTTTATAGACATACGTACAGATAAGTATAAGGAATCCTTATAACTAAATGCAGAATGAAACACAGTCAGTTTCTTTGCATTTTTATTTAAGAAATAATGATGGTTTTTCCCTCGTGTTGCATTTGCATTACCTTTTTGACAGATTGACCCGTTCACATTTTAACTGTAACTGATAGACACAGATATACATGCTTTGACTTCCCTTGTATATTTATTTATCAGGTTCCTATTGTCCCACTGGATCATCAGCTCCAATTCCATGTCCAGCTGGAAAGTACACCAATTCTACCAGAACGGTCACCTGCCTAGACTGTCCCATCGGTCACTACTGTGTTCTTGGAACCAGTGACCCTGTCCCCTGTCCTGAGGGTTATTGGTGTCCTGTTAGGTCTGTGTCAGCAAATCTTAATCCATGTCAGATAGGAGAATATTTAAACACTACAGGAGGACAGAAGGCTACTGACTGTCTGAGTTGTTCACCTGGGTAAATATCTTCAAAATATGACCTTCATTCCTTTATGTTTTTAAATGACTTTAGAATTCCCATTTTGTAAGTAAAATGCTCTAAGAGTCTTGTTACTTTTGTCTTTATTATACGCTTTTTGCATGAATCTGTTGCAGTAAATACTGTGAAACTACTGGGCTTTCCACACCAACAGGAAATTGTGATGGTGGATGGTACTGTACAAGTGGAGCCACTGTGGCCCGCCCAACCTTACCTGCACAAGGTGGGCAGTGTACAGTGGGTAACTTCTGTCCCAATGGCAGCTCAGCAGAAACACCCTGCTCCCCAGGAATGTACTGTGACAATGTTGGTGGGTATCTTTTAAGATTATTGCTGCTTGTTTTATCGACGGTTTTTGAAGTTTCTTAGAGAGATTTTAAAATGAGGATATTTTATGTTTTGATAGAGTTATCTGCTCCAGTTGGGAACTGTTCCGCTGGTTACTTCTGTTCTTCAGGATCCACAAACTCCACACCAGTTAGCCAGGTGTATGGTGAGTAAATTATATTTACATGTACATGTTATTGACAAAAGGGTAAATTTCTTCTAAGTCTCGAAGAGAGGTCACCATAAACTTTAGGTAAAATTTCTGATGCTAATTTTGTATATGAAGCTGTCTTTGATTTGCATTTTTGTACTATAATTCCTTTTTTTGCATGGGAGAATTTTAACATTATTTTGAATATTTAGGGTTTTGATTTGGACTTACTTGATTACAAGGCAGATAAAGTGATGTTCTGCTAGATATGATACACTCAAATTACAAAAATTTGGAATTTTACAGGTGACCTCTGTCCACCAGGAACGTACTGTCCAGCTGGAAGTTCTGCTGGAGCCAATTGTCCCCCAGGAACCTACCTTAACACCACAGGCGCCCAGAGTGAGGCAGATTGTCAGACATGTGTCCAGGGGTCTTACTGCAGTGGTTATGGGAACACCTATCCTACAGCTGAATGTGATGCAGGCTATTACTGTCCATCGGGAATGAACATCTCTAACCCATCAGAGTACACCTGTCCTCAAGGTAAATTATAATCTAGTTACAAAAAGACCAGGGATCTTCGGGGGTAACTGATATACATGCAAATGAATTTTGTCCAAAGTTTCACTAAGAAGTTTTGGTTTCATTCAATGCATGGTTTTGGGGAAAAAAATGCTTGCTTATGATACAGAAACATGAAGTTAAATGTTTTAAGGAATATGAGATCAAATCCTTTTTGATGAGTGAATTAGATTGGTCTTAACTGTAAAATATTGGTTTTGTGTGTAGGTCATTACTGCCCCCAGGGTAGCCACACCCCCACTCGGTGTAATTCAGGAACTTATCAGGATCAGACAGGTCAAGGTTCCTGTGTCACCTGTCCCGCTGGATTCTTCTGTGACAATACCATGGCTCCAGTCGTCCTCTACAATAGCTCACACTGCCCTATTGGTAAGGACCCCTTAGTTAGTCAAACGGATTATATATGATTTACTGATTATGAAATGGAATATGTCTGCCCCCCAAAAATGATATGAACCTTAACTTAAAAATAAATGATTTTTGAAGCAAAATCTGTAAGTTTGTAAACATTCACTGATGCCATATCCATGACATTCAACATATTTTAATCTGTTGTTTTAGGTTACTACTGCCCTGCAGGTACCAGGTATTCTAGCCAGTATCCATGTCCTAGTGGGACCTTCGGTAATGTGACTGGTATGCAGGCTGTTGGGGACTGTATACAGTGTCCAGGAGGGTATTATTGTGACATGACTGCCCAGACCACCTTCACACAGATCTGTCAGGCTGGGTCAGTTGTAGATCTGTGCTTATCATAATACATGTACATGTATTGTAATAACAATCATCTATTTGAGTCTAAAGTTGAACTGCATTTTTCATTTCTCACATAGTCATCCATGTATTTTCATCTTGTTTCAATTTTTGAGAGAGGAGCTATGTAAATAGTTTGATATAGTTGCTTCATTTATCTACTTGTCTGAGTAGTCTAAATCTGAAATCTGAGTATTTGTTATGCTTCTGTTTAGGTATTACTGTAGACAAGGGGCCAAATCTGGAACCCCCAACCAGGGCACAGATGCTGATGAATGTCCAGCTGGCTACTACTGTCCAGTCCAGACCATAGAGCCCCAGAAATGTCCACAAGGAACCTACTCTAATGCCACTAAATTGACCGCAGTTACTGAATGCACAAACTGTACAGCTGGTAAGTACTGTCTTTGTCTTGTATAGATTATTTAAGTTTATTTGGTATTAAATTTTAGTCTCGACCGTGTGTGTTATGCACATGATGCACATAGATGCAATTGAGAGAATTTTTGACCTTCTGTACAATGGTAGTTTATGGAAACATTTTCATTAGTGAAATTACTTAAGAAATTAAGTTGCACTCACTTTTTTCACTTAATTTACAAAAAAATATTTTATACATTACCAGGGTATATGAAAATAATGGTCTGCTTTGAAAACACCTTTTAAATATTTATGAACTCATTCAACTCAAGAGTGATGGGATATATCATTCCAACTTTCCTATTTCAAATATTAAGTGTTTATACATATTTATACTTGCACATCTATAAATATGTTTCTTTTCATTAAGGAATGTACTGTGGATCTACAAACCTAGTGGAGCCCAGTGGCACCTGTTGGGCTGGTTATTACTGTCCGGAGTCCTCCACATCACCTACACAAGTGGACTGTCCTGTCGGGGCTTACTGTCTAAATGCCAGTTCCAGTTTTACTCTCTGTCCAAAAGGTATACAGCAAAGTCTTAAAAGATTTTTGTCAATTTGTACAGTGATACTGTTTGTCATGTGTTGAGTTCTCTTTGCCATAATATTTTGTTGAGGAATTGTGAATAAACCTGAAACTGATTAAAGACCACCTTTTTATAAGCAATCATGAATTACTCAAGAACAGACACAATTGAGAGAAATCAGTTTGGTATTGTGTAGGAAATTCAGACATGATGAATTCATGTAAATACATGTACGTACAAATCTTAAACTAGGTACATATTCCAATGCCACAAACCTCCAGAATGTGTCGGACTGTAGCCCCTGTCCTGGTGGGCAGTATTGTGAAACAGATGGTTTGACCACACCAACTGGGCTATGTGGGGAAGGCTATTATTGCCCTGAGGGGTCTATTTACAAAGAACCACCAACCACCTTCTGTCCCGTGGGTCACTTCTGTCCAGAGGGAGTGTCACAAGCAGTTCCATGCAGAAATTACAGTGAGGTATGTATTCCCAAAGCTGAGATAAATTTACCAGGAATAGCAAATTGTAATAATCACTAGCCTTTATACTAATGCTTTTTCATTTAGATTTATGATAATTGAGTTTAGACTATGCTTTTGCTCAGTATTATACTTTTGCCAGCTGTTTGGAATGGTTCATTACTTACCAAATTTGAATTTTTAGTAATTATTGTTCCAGCATTCCAATCTAAAACATTTGAAAGTTTGAAACATATAACAAAAGCTGTAAACTGATTTGTCTTGGTATTTTTCCCCAGGTGAACCACACCCATGCCACTCAGTGCTACCCCTGCCCTGCTGGTTACTACTGTGTTCTTCAGGGACAGAGTGAGATCTGTCCGGCTGGGTACTACTGTCCAGCAGGAACTGGCCTGGACTGGAAGGCTTGTCCCCGGGGCACCTACAGCGATGTGTCAGGGCTGTATGAGGAGAGTCAGTGTAAACCCTGTCCCCAGGGTCAGTACTGTGATGGAGAACACCTCAGCTCACCAACAGGTAAAGAAGATAGACTGATGTCTTCATTTCTCAAGATTTACATACGTGAAAATAATGTTCCTTACATAAGATCTTTTAAATATTTGGGATTTCTCAAAATGTGCACTGAATGTATATGATATGCCTTTGAAGCATTTAGTACCAGAAACTAAAATACGTTAACTTCTGAAAAATAAGGGTTATTAGGTGATAAAACTTGGAACAATGAATTCAGTTTTAATAAATTTTTTGACAGGTTACTGTGGCCCTGGACATTGGTGTGTGTCAGGCATTGACCGCCAGTTTCCCAATGGTATCAACAATTCTGTGTCCCTCAACAATTCTTGTTATGATGACCGACAGTTAGGTTATGGAGGAATCTGTCCGGTGGGCCATTACTGTCCTGGAGGACTAGGCAGCATTTACCCCATCAAGTGTCCAAACGGAACCTACAGCAACACAGAGGGACTCTCTCAGTGTGTCACCTGTCCACAAGGTTAGATATTGCTTCTCATTTATGCTTCTAAATTACCTTCTGTTGATTTAAACTCCATTGGGTCCACAGATATTTTAAAATGTTAAGAGTGGAGGTAGAATGGCACTCCCAAACCAGAGATGGGAGATAATCACAACTGTAGAAGAATAGTAATAAATAACAGTTCAACTTTGGTATCTTGGGCACCATGACATGAATATCCGATACTAGGGATGAATAGAATATATTTTCGGGAACATATAGATTGTGTTAATTTTTTTCGGTCTTGACAAGTTCAGATCTTTCTTGATTTTATTTTAATCCAGACAAAGTGCCTTTTATGCTGCACTAAATAAAAATAATTGTTAATCTGTACTGGATTTCTCTGCTCCGTAGGGTACTTCTGTTTGGAGGGAACAGCTAACTACACAGACAGCCCCTGTCCTACTGGCTACTACTGCCCCAGTGGCACACAAAACTCCAATGACAATCCATGTCCTGCTGGAACCTTTAACAATGAAACTATGAAGACCAAACTGGCTGACTGTCTCTCTTGTACAGGTAACAAGTTATTTGTTGTTGAAGAGCAAATTTATACTTATACCTACCTCAGTATGTTGTCAATGAATGAACTGTGTGCATCACAGGATTGATTTTTTTAAATCATCAATTACATTTTTCATCTTAAAAAGTTTTTGGAATGTTTTTAACAAATTATCTTTCATGTCACTAATGAAAGAATCTTAATGGTTACATGTAAATTAAATGCTTGTATATACATTATTTTGGTACATTTTTAATTGTGATGTGATTTTTTATTCAGGAGGATCCTACTGTAACCAGGATGGGCTGTCCTCTCCCTCAGGTGTCTGCAGTGCTGGATATTACTGTAGTGGAGGGGCAGTCAATGCCACACCCAGTGGTGTGGGAGGAAACAATTGTCAGGCTGGCTACTTCTGTCCCGAGGGATCTGTTAACCCCACACCCTGTACACCTGGGTATTACTGTGTGTCTGATAACCTTAATGAAACAACAGGACTGTGTAGTCCAGGATACTACTGCACCAGTAAAGCTTCCATACCAAACCCCACAGATGGAAATGTCACAGGTCAGTGTGGTTTCTTTGGTATTTAAAAAAGCACATTTTCATGTATGGGTTAACTTTGGAATCTAAACATTTGGTATATTGTGAATGTTTAGATACATGTAACAGAGTTAACAATTTTCCATGACTGCAGACAGACATTAATATATCCTGGGTTTGGGAAGTTTATCTGAACATGTAATTGATAAATTGTGAAACATTGTTTTTTACAACTTATGTATACATGTATTTCATATCTTAGAGACCATTTTATGAGGAATTTGATAAAATTGTGAATCAGTACTTTTACACATAATTCATATGTTAGATACATTTTATTGGGAAATTCATCATTATGCTGATGATTATTATTTATTTTGAATACTTACCCGGTATTAAACGCAAGTTTTAAACCAGTAAATTCACCAATTCTGCATAATTATATACAGTGTTTTCTCTTGTATCTGTAGGAGACATATGCCCCACAGGAGCCTACTGTCCCTCAGGCAGCACCTCCCCCACCTACTGCCAGGCTGGATATTACCTCAATAGCACAGGAAATGATGATGTCTCAGACTGTAAACAGTGCACACCAGGATACTATTGTGATGGTAGTGGTAATGTGGTGCCTGATGGACTCTGCTCCCAGGGGTACTACTGCCCCGGGGGTCAGGATTCTGCAACACCAACAGGCTACAATTGTACACAGGGTCACTACTGTCCAGAGGGTAGCCCCTCCCCACAGAGGTGTTCCTCAGGATCCTACCAGGATGAGTTTGGCCAGTGGACATGTAAGGCTTGTCCAGCTGGATACTTCTGTGACAGTGTGATGTCCCCTGTTGTCCTGTACAATAACTCTTACTGCCCTACTGGTTATTACTGCCCAGAGAATACTACCAATTCCAACCAGTACCCATGTCCTGCTGGAACTTTCAATAATCAGACCCACCGCACCCAGCTATCAGACTGCCAGTCATGTTCTGGAGGTATGTACTGTGACCAGGATGGACTCTCCCAGCCTGTGGGTAACTGTCAGGCAGGGTATTACTGCACCAGTGGGGCCAACAGCTCCACACCTACACAGGATGCTAACGCCAATATCTGTCCTGAAGGATTTTACTGTCCAGTAGGAACTGTTACTCCTCAGTCGTGTCCACCAGGAACATTCAATCCATCCACTGGACGACAGGCTGTAGGAGAGTGCACCAACTGCACTGGAGGATATTACTGTCCTGATTACAACATGACTGCAGCAGGACCACAATGCTCACAAGGTAGGTGCTTTACCAAATATAATCATTATCCAATAAAACACAAGGAAAACATTTCTGCATAGGAACAGACATGTTCACACTTTGAAGACTTCAGCTCCTCAAAAATCATAGTTTTAACTGTGAAACATTTTTCTTCCATTTAAAACTGACAGTTTTGAGAATTTTTTCCTATTGTTTTCAACTACATTTTTTGTGCCTTTCAGGTTACTACTGCCCCTCTGCAGCAGACACTGCCACATTCATCATCTGTCCTGCTGGTTCATACTGTGCCCAGGGTGTGTCCACTCCATCACCGTGTCCAGCTGGAACCTTCTCCAATGTGACCGGACTGTCAGCTGTCGCCCAGTGTACCAACTGTTCAGGAGGCTACTATTGCCCCAATACAGGTCAGTTAGGCTGATGACTGGCTAAAAAGAGAGTCTTAAAAGTTTACTGTAATTTAAAGAAATAAGCACTTGAGTTAGGATTTTCTTTACTGTATTCACGTAGGAATGACAGATACAGGTTACGAATGCTGGGGAGGATACTACTGTCCCACAGGTATTGATGTACCAAACCCCACCTCTTACCTCTGTCCCAGGGGAATGCAGTGCCCTAATGGAAGTGAAATCTACAAGGTTTGTCATGCTTTCTGTTATCATTACAATAATACTTCTGATATGTCTGATTATTCAAAGTAATTCATACAATGTAGTCTTGACTTCAGGAAATCCATCAAATGTTTATTTTAATTGCAATATTGTTGTCTTCTGTTTTTCTATAAAGATAAAATTTTCTATTAACAGGAGTGTTCGGCTGGTACCTACACCAATCAGACAGGTGCCTCCTCCTGTGACACGTGTCCGGACGGTTTCTACTGTTTACCTGTACAGCCAGACAATGCTACATTGAATGCCCAGTCTTGTCCTGAGGGATACTTCTGTCCTGCAGGTAACACTCTTCCTCCAAGAATTTAGATGAAACTTGGTAATTTGGCAGAAAAGTGGGACAGATCTGAAATGAAAATGGGAAATGAAATTTATGACATTTTCACTTTTTATAGAAATATATTTTGTGTTCTTATATTGGGAGTTGCCTGATATTTACCCATTCCATTTCTTTTGAGTTGTTCTGATTAATTTACACTTGATTGATTTTAGGGACTGGAATAAACTGGCAGTCTTGTCCCAGTGGTTCCTATAGTAACCAGCAGGGTCTGTATGCCTCCTCTCAGTGTGTGGCCTGTGATGGGGGACAATATTGTCAGGGAGAACACCTCACCACACCCACAGCAAACTGCTCAGCTGGTATGAGGGTCATCTTTGATGTGCAGAGATTATTTGTTGTGAAATTCAAATTCATTATTTAACAGGGAAAAGCCAAAAACAAATTTATGGAACGAAGAATAAGATTTTGTATTCCAAAGAATTTATGTTATTCTCATTATAAATTTTAGATATTTCTCATTTGCTCAGTTTTCTGAATATTATTTGTAGTGATTTCTATTTAAGTACTGAAAATATTCTTATTTCAAAACAGGTTACTACTGTACATCAGGAGTGGACCGCCCCAAACCAGGCGCCAGTAATGACACAACTACTGCCAACTGTACATGCCCAGACCAAGCCTTCTACACAGGAGTGGGTGGGGTGTGTCCTGTGGGTCACTACTGCCCTGAGGGTTCCCCTACCCCTGTACCTTGTGTAGCAGGGACATATGCTGACAGTGAGGGTCAATCTGTCTGTTGGACCTGTCCTGAGGGTTACTTCTGTCTGGCCAACTCTACAGACTTCTTATCTTCACCTTGCCCTGTTGGTAAGTGATTGATGTCAATTATATGTATTGCATTCCAAGACTATGAATTCTTTTATGTGTCAAAAAAAATTTTTTTTGAGCAAAATTCTCGTGAAAATCTTGATCAGGAATTAAAATTAAAAATATCTCCACATAACCTTTAGTTACATACACCTACCTCTACTCATTTAAACCGGCTAAAATCTGAATTTATTACCAGGTCACTACTGTCCAAATGGAACAACCTTTGACACAGAGAATAGGTGCCCTCCAGGAACCTACAATCCTACCACCAAAGGGACACAACTCTCTGACTGTCTGGACTGCCCAGCAGGGAAGTACTGTGCTGGCTATGCTAACTCAGCCTACACTGGAAACTGCAGTGCTGGATGGTACTGTACAGGAGGGTCAGATAGCCCGAACACCACAACACACGGTGGTCAGTGCAGTGCTGGATACTACTGCCCTGAAGGTCAGTCTTATTGTCACTGTCTAAAGATTTCATATGAATTTCAAGAAGTTGTTGATTTCTAACTTCTTGTCCTGATTTTTATTTATTCAATTGGTTAAATGATTTTTTTTGTTTGCCTGAAGAGTTTTGATAATGTGAAGATTTGCAACAAACATTTAATTTGTAGGATCCAGTGCCCCCACTCCCTGCCCAGGAGGTCAGTACTGTCAGTTTGCTGGACTGGACACACCTACTAATAACTGCTCAGCTGGATACTACTGCACAGCTATGGCTACAACTGCAACCCCAACAGATGGCACCACTGGTAATGTGTGTCCCCCAGGCTTCTACTGCCTATCAGGGTCAGCCTACCCCACACCCTGTTCTCCAGGAACCTACAGCCCAACACAGGGGAACACCATGGCATCTCACTGTCTACCTTGTGACTTTGGAGAATATTGTGGTGAACACAACTTGACAGCTACTTCAGGTAACTTCTTCATTTTTTTATATTGGTAGGGTTTTAACATGATTTATTAAACATCTTTGTTTTGATAGGTGAACATTAAGATTCAAGATTTCTTATACTAGACATACCTCATGACATTTACAAAATTACAGTGTTGTGATTCCTTTTGAATACTTGAGGCTTTTGAATTTTATATATGTTACTTGTATCTGTAGGTAACTGCAGTGCAGGCTACTACTGCCCACAGGGTGAGATGACCGATAATCCCCGGCTCTGTAGTGTCGGTCACTACTGCCCTGAACACTCAGCGGCCCCAGTTATCTGTCCCAGTGGATGGTTCCAAGAGAATGTGGGTCAGTCATCCTGTGAGCTCTGCCCTGGGGGATACTATTGTGACAACAGTTATGGAGTGGTCCTCATCAATGACACAATTAAATGTCCCGAGGGATACTACTGCCCACCAGGTAATAGGGAGTGAAAACAGAATTGTCTGAATTTGATTACTAAAATGCCTGTTTGCCTAACATCTTAATTTATTTTGAAGTATGAATGTCAGAAATGGTAGAAGTTTTTAAATAAATATTTTTAACAATATTTTGTTAAGTAATTATAAGTTTTTTTTGGTATTGTCTTTTATATATGGTGTAGAAATCAGCAGTACACATATGATACTTTATTACAGGTACATCAGCCAGTAATCAGTGGCCTTGTCCCCTGGGAACCTTTAACAACCTCACAGGTCTAAATCAGAGTACAGACTGTACCCCATGTACTGGAGGATATTACTGTGGAATTGTGGGACAGAATGCACCAACAGGACTGTGTCAGGCTGGTTACTTCTGCCGACTGAATGCCAAGACATCCACCCCAAATCAGATTACAGAAGCTGACATTTGTCCACAAGGTGGGATTTTTTTTTATCAGCTTATACAGTGACATTCTAAATTTTTATCTGGATGTGAATATCCAGACAGTTTTTACTTTCATCCAAAATTGTTTGTTCTCCCATTGTCCTTTAAGTTGCAAGGTGATTTTTCTTCTAATTAAGTCCACAATTTACTTTAAATATTTTTCTTATTGAGCTGGAAAAAATTTTGTTTTCCCCTCATTGTTATACCAATGCGCTTTTAATTTGTTGTAGGATCCTACTGCCCTGAGGGAACAGACAGTCCTCTAGCCTGCCCACCTGGAACATTTGGTGCCACCACAGGCCTCCGTAACACCACTGAATGTACATCATGTACAGCAGGATCATACTGTACCACACCTGGACTCACCACAACAGAGGGTTTGTAACCTTTACATACAGAAACCTGCCTTATATTACATATTTTACCCATAGGATACCAGTATTTTTCCATTGCATGCTTGATGTAATTTTGCCTTCCTTCAGGTCTGTGTGCTGCTGGCTACTACTGCGAGGAAGGTTCTGACTCCATCCAGAAAACCATCTGTACAACTGGTCACTTTTGTCCACTGGGAACAGCTGTACCATTCAAGTGTCCAGAGGTACTGTCAGATATTGATGCTTAAATTTTAAATTTTGAATATTCTAATTAATGGATGAAAATTATATGTACAACAATTTACCAAAGTTGAATTTTCTATTAAATGGTTGACTTTGGTTTTTTTGTAGGGTACGTTCAATCCATACACTGGCCTGAACAGCTCTGATCAGTGTACCCCCTGTACTGAGGGCCAGTATTGTGAGACAGAAGGACTGAATGTCACTACAGGGCCATGTGAGGCTGGTTATTATTGTCCAGGGGGACAGAACTCCTCCAGACCTGCTGATTACCCCTGCACAGTGGGCCACTACTGTCCACTGAACTCCTCACAACCCATACCTTGTGCCAATGGGACTTATATGAACCATACAATGGCCGCTCAGTGCTATGACTGCCCACAAGGATGGTAAGGCAATCATTTTCATTTTATCATCTCCTAAAGTTTACTCTTTTTTCAGTAGAACACATAGTCTGACCTATGAAAAGTTTAGTATGTACAAATACTTCAGAATTTTTCTCAGAATATTGAGTGGAGGATTTACCATTTACACCGTTTGTAATTACAGGTACTGTTTGGTGGGAACTCTGATTACCCAGTGTCCTGAGGGTCACTATTGTCCATTAGGAACAGGATTTGACTGGAAACAGTGTCCACTTGGTAAGTTTAAATTTTTAGGTATTTTGAAAAAAGTTATATTATTTACATTCAGTATATGCAGTTGTCATGTACTATAGACTACTGTACACAGCGAAATCCATCCCCATCCCCCCCCCCCCCCCCCCCCCCCCCCCCCCCCGTTTTTGCCCCCTTTGTCCTCACATAAGTGGGCGAAATTAACACAGGATGAATTCAAAGAGGACAAAATTATTTCTCAAACAGAACTGTGACTGGGTGAATTTTAAGTGGGGAAAGGGCGAAAATAACCCTATATACAGTATTTGTGTTGAACCAACTTAAACCAGTAAGATCAAATTATATTGTTTGATGTACATAGATGAAATACCTCTAGTTGGTCTAAGTGTAATTTTTATCTGTACACAGGTACTTATAACAATGAGACTGGACTGTCTGAGGAGAGTCAGTGTAAGGCCTGCCCAGGAGGAATGTACTGTGACCAGCACGGTGCCTCGTCACCCACAGGTCAATGTCTGGCTGGGTACTATTGTGAGTATGGAGTGGATAGGAATAACCCTACTGGAGGGAACAGAACTTTAGTGGGAGGAGCTTGTGTAGCTGCAGGTAAAGTCAATAGTAAAAAAAAATTGTTGCCATATTGTGCATGTAAAACATAGATAGATAAAAATTGCCCAGTTTCAAAGAAATCACTACTTTTGATAACTGAAGTGTTGGGCATGTAATAAAGGCAGCTAGGAATTAAATGATAGCAACTTGTGTACCATGGAAGTAAATAAAAGCAAGTTCTGTACCATGGTCATAATACATCTATATATAATTTAAAGGAAAAAAAGGGCCTTTTCATAAGAAAACGAATGTATCGTGTTATTGAGAGCTTTTCCTTTGTCTTCATAGGTAATGAAACAGGAGTGGGTGGAATCTGCCCTGTTGGTCACTATTGTCCAGTGGGCACCACAACCCCCATCCAGTGTGCAGCTGGAACCTTCAGTAATGTCACTGGTCTGTCAAGCTGTCACCAGTGTCCAGCTGGGTACTACTGTCTCCTAGGGGCGGAGAACTATGTGGCCACACCCTGTGATCCTGGCTACTACTGTCCAGCAGGTACTACCTCGGTCACTCAGTACCCCTGTCCAGCTGGCACCTACTATAATCTGACTATGGCCACCACCGTGTCAGACTGTTTGTCCTGCCCAGGGGGAGAGTACTGTGCCACACCTGGTTTGAGTACCCCCACAGGAAAATGTAGTCCAGGTAAAAAAAAATCTAACAAAGTATTTAAACCTTATCACATAATCATTCTCACAGTTTTCAGGATTTTTCAGGTTTTATTCTGTGTAGTTGTAAAAATTTCCAACAGTAATCCAGTCAACGAAAATTACGAGTTTTTTAAGGTTGGAAATTTACATAGCATAAAATTGAGAAAATATTTGATCTTTGACAGGATACTATTGTACCAGTAACTCAAGTTCCTCAATGCCAAGTAGCCCAGAAGGTGGTCAGTGCCAGACAGGGTATTACTGCCCAGAGGGATCGTACCAGCCCACAAAATGTGATCCAGGAAGTTACTGTCAGACCACAGGACTAAGCACACCCACTGGAAACTGTTCAACTGGTTAGTAAATACATAAAATTCCGTAAAATTACTCTGATTCTCTGTTAAACTTGGACACAAAAAAAGGGGGGGGGGATATGAGATATTTTGAGAGATTTAAAAACTCCCAAATGTAAACAAATTGAACAGTGACTTCTGAGATTTTAGTATTTTCAGTGTATTTATTTTACTTAATACAAATGATAAAACAGTGACAAAACACTACTTGGTTTGTTTTTGTAAGTTTATTCTTAAGTTTTCAAATGGTCATTCAGTGTTTGTTAATAATTCAGATGGTATTGTGTATTCAATTATGCCAGGTAATTTTCAGTTGTTTTTAACATTCATTTCTGTAATTGTCCACTTTATGACTACATTATTTATGCCTCTCGACAGGATATTACTGCATACTGCAGGCTGACAACCCTACACCAACAGACAACGTAACAGGTAACATCTGTCCCGTGGGTCACTACTGCCCCTCAGGGTCATCTCTGTACCAGCCTTGCCCCATGGGATACTACTTAGATGTGACAGGACAGGATGAGTTTTCAGACTGTAAAAATTGCACGGGAGGAATGTACTGTCCAGGTAGTGGAGAGGAACTGCCAGCAGGAAACTGTTCCTCAGGATATTACTGTCCTCAGGGTCAGAGTTCAGCCACACCTCCAGCATACAAGTACGTGTTTGGGAATAATTTTGCAATGTACATGTTCATAGTAGAATACAATTTTATCCACATCTCTAGCATACAATTTGGTGTCTTGGAATGATTTTTCAAAGTAATGACTGTACATGTTGAATCCATTTTATTTAAATTGTTAGATGAAATTCAGAGTAAGAAAACCATGCATTTGATAAAGGATTTAAACTGTTTAAACTTTTCCTAATTTGAGAAATAACAGTTTCACGTCAGGTTGTTATAAGGAACTTTTCCCCCATCTGATATAAAATTGTACTTTATTTTTCTATTCTATAGTTGCCCTGTTGGTCACTACTGCCCTGGAGGTATGGACTCTCCAATCCGCTGTGAGAATGGAACGTACCAAGACCAGGTCACTCAGAGTACCTGTAAAGTGTGTCCAGCAGGATACTTCTGTGACAACACCATGTCCATTGTAGTACTGGACAATTCGACAACAATCTGTCCTATGGGATATTATTGTCCTGCAGGAACCAGATACAACAATGAGTTCCCCTGCCCCATTGGATCTTTCAACAACCTGACAGGTTAGCTATGTAGAAATTCTGATTCATAAGCATTTTTAGACACAAGATTATCTTGTACTTGAAGTGTATGTTAATGGGGATTTTGTATTTCATAATGTTAAAAATTTATGATTTGACCTCAGTTTGAATACAGTATATTACTTTCTCCTAGTATGATTAATTTGTACCAGAGCAGAGATAACTTAGAACTTATTTGAAATGATTTTCTTTGCTACTAGAATTGAGAATGTTTCACAGTTCTTAAAAGTTGAATGTAAGTTCATTTGCAAGTTCTTTTAGTTTGTTTGTGTTATCTGATTATAATTGTTGCTTTAAATTCGTTGTTTGCTATATCTTACTAGGAATCACTGATGTAAGTCTGTGTTCTCCATGCTCTGGTGGTTACTACTGCCCAACACCAGGAATGGTAACTCCTGTCAGCCAGTGTGACTCAGGCTTCTTCTGTAAACAAAACGCCAACATCTCCACACCAGTACAAGGTAGGATTTTGATTCAAAAAATTTAAAGGCACCAAATTTTTCATGGAATATATTAAAGTTGGGCTCTTATAGCCATTTTAGCTGAGAAAGCCAAGTTTCTGCTTGTGCTTTACAGAGGACTAAATGTTAGAAAGAGTTCCAGATTTGAGTTATTTCCCCTTCATTTTTAATGAATAAGGGAAAAAATGATGGATGATGCTTTATACATTTCACATCAATTTCTTACCTAATTAGATTACAACTTCTATTATTTCAATACAAGATAAACTTAAAGCACTCAAAAATAAAAAAAAATCTTGTAAACCACAGTACCGACCAGAGGGAAAAAAATTCTTCCTCACTAAACACTCAAAAACATCATTAAGAATGCCCTCATTTCCATAAAGTCAATTCTAGAAAACTTTAACATGACATAAGTAACCTTGTTCCGACTAAGCTGGAAGAGGATTTTCAATGTTGACAGAGGGTTTTTTTTTTTGGTCACTAGGAGTAGATGCCAACATTTGTCCAGAAGGATACTACTGTCCAGTGGGGACTACTAATCCTGTTCCTTGTCCTAAAGGAAGTTACAGCAACTCAACTGGTTTACAGGGTGAGGTGGACTGTATTCTGTGTCCAGCAGGAAGTTATTGTGAACAGACGGCCATGACAGCCCCCAGTGGACTCTGTGATGCAGGGTTGGTGTTTTGTTTTCTCTGAGAAGATTTAAGTCTTTTGTTTTCATGAATACCTTTTAAAGAGCTCTTCATTCACAAATTCCTACAGTTTATTTCTTCTGTAATGCATATACCTTTCTATATGATGTTTATTTCTCCCTACTTTCAAATTTCATCCCATGAAGAACTGTTTTAAAATGGCATAATCTATACCTTTTCAGATATTACTGTGTGCTTCAGTCCAATAGTTCCCAACAAGATATCTGTACAGCAGGCAGTTACTGTCCCCAGGGGTCAGGCAATCCCACTCCCTGCCCACAGGGAACTTACTCCAACACCCAGGGATTGGCCAATGAAACACAGTGTACTTCTTGTGATCCTGGAAAATACTGCAATGATACAGGTATAATTAATAGTACATCTAAATAATGTATGTGTGCATCCACCAGTGAGTATAGTTCATGACTTCATATATTATGCAAAGTTTGGAAAGATATTAGATACAACTGTGTTAGATAGGAGAAATTCTTATAAAAAAAGGATCAAATTGCAGCACCCCTAATTAAGCTCACACATGAATAAACAGCTATATTAAAGTTAGGTCCTCTGAATTAATATGCATGAATTCATTTTTTTTAGGTTTGACTACCTATGTGGCTGATTGTGATCCTGGATTTTACTGCCCTGGAGGAAACAGTGTACCTAACCCTGTGGCCACACCATGTCCCATTGGCCTCCACTGCCCAGCTGGATCAGGGTCACCTGTCCCATGTGTACCTGGAACTTTCACCAACCTGACTCAACAAGACACCTGTCTCACCTGTCCAGCTGGCTTCTACTGTGTTCCAGAGGAGGTCATTGCAGGTAAAATTTTATCTTGAATAGGAATGAACAGATACAGTTGAACTTCATTATCTCAAACTTCGATATCTCGAATACCTTGGATATGTTGAAGAGATTTAAAATCCCAGCCACTCTTTCTGTATCTATTTTAACATTGAAAGCTCGAATCATCGGTATCTCAAATTTTTTTAATGGTCCAATTGGATTTGAGATAATGAGGTTTGACTTTACTTCAAAAACTGAACAGAGTGGAAAAAATTTGTTCATAAAAATGAGGTAAACGGCAAACTTCCTCTACATGTTCACTAACTAAATATTCTGCTTTCAGGTAACTCTAGTTCAGGATACAGCCTCTGTTCTAAGGGATTCTACTGTCCAGCAGGCACAGGAAGAAACGAGTCAGCCTGTCCAGCTGGAACCTTCAGTGATGTACTGGGACTGACCGATGCCAGCTTCTGCCAGCAGTGCACTGGTGGTAAATTCTGTGATGTGACAAACCTGACTGCCCCCGCAGGGGACTGCAGTCCTGGGTATTACTGCACTGAGGGAGTTGATACACCTACTCCAACTGGTAACCACACAGGTGTAGGAGGTATATGTCCTCAGGGATACAAGTGTCCTGGAGCTACTGTCATACCAGAAGGATGTCCAGCTGGCACCTATCAAGTGAGGATATACACATAACACACATGTACACAAACTCTGGTAGACTCAAAGTCTCAATGAAGGCTTTTATATGTACACTTGTACATCTTATCTTAGTTTGCAGTTGATAATTTCTGGAATTAAAATATCTGAATAATGGACTAGTATTAAAGACTATCAAATAATTTTTTTTTAAAAATTGACATATTGCCCCATAAGTCAGTGTCTATAAGAATAATGAAAAAAATCTGAAATACGGACTAAAGCATAGTCTTCCAAACAAATTTCAGATAACAATGAATTGACTTTTTACAGGACCAGACAAACCAGGCAACATGTACAGCTTGCCCCGCTGGCTATTACTGTACTGCCAACAGCACCACCTACACAGACAAACCCTGTCCCTCAGGCCATTACTGCCCCACCTCCACCCAATATGACACTCAGTACCCCTGTCTCAAGGGCACCTTTAACAACCACACAGGTAAGACATTTTAAAGAAGACTGTCCTGACAAATAAAAGGATTACGTTTTGCTTCTTTTCTTTTAATACATAGAAAGCTTGATATTTGTTTCTTTGATGCTTTAATGGTTTCTGTTTGTGATTTTTAAGTTTGATTACACTGTTTTAACATTTTTAAGTAACATTAAATCATGAACTTTTAAGGCTTAATACTGAATTAATTTAGACAACATGTCATATATTAATGTATGTGTTTCTTAAAGGTCAGGCTAATGATTCTGCTTGCTCCCCCTGTATGCCTGGGTACTACTGTGGGTTCCCAGGTCTCAGTACCCCCACAGATCAATGTGACCCTGGTTGGTTCTGTACCCTCCAGTCCTACCTAGCTCAGCCCTCAGCCCCTGAGGGAGGAATGTGTGTAGCAGGTAAGTCTTCATTTCACACAGATTAAATGACCACCAACAGTAAATCTGTGGGTCCCTTTTAGCTCACCTGAGCTGAAAGCTCAAGTGAGCTTTTCCGATCACCCGTTGTCCGTCGTCCGTCCGTCCGTCTAGCTGTCCGTCCGTCCGTCTGTAAACTTTTCACATTTTCAACTTCTTCTCAAGAACCACTGGGCCAATTTTAACCAAACTTGATACAAAGTATCCTTGGGTGAAGGGGAGTTTAAATTGTTAAAATAAAGGGCCAAGTCCCCTTATAAGGGGAGATAATCAAGAAAAGACAAAAATAGGGTGGGGTAATTAAAAAATCTTCTTCTCAAGAACCACTGGGCCAAAAAACCGGAAAATCATGTGGAAGCATCCTGGGATAGTGTAGATTCTAAATTGTTAAAATCATGACCCCCGGGGGTAGGGCGGGGCCACAATAGGGAATCCAAATTTTACATTGAAATAAATAGCAAAAATCTTTAAAAATCTTCTTCTCAAGAACCACTGGGCCAGAAAAACTGAAACTTATGTGGAAGCATTCTGGGGTAGTGGAGATTTTAAATTGTTAAAATCATGACCCCAGGGGGTAGGGCGGGGCCACAATAGGGAATCCAATTTTTACATTGAAATAAATAGGAAAAATCTTTAAAAATCTTCTTCTCAAGAACCACTGGGCCAAAAAAGCTGTAACTTATGTGGAAGCATCCTGGGATAGTGTAGATTCTAAATTGTTAAAATCATGACCCCTGGGGGTAGGGCGGGGCTGCAATAAGTAATACAAGGGGGGAAATCTGGTTAAGAACAGCATGGCCAAAGTTACTCAGGTGAGCGATGTGGCCCATGGGCCTCTTGTTACACAAATGGCAACCAATAGTTTTTCCACTGTAAAAACTTAATTGCATAAGTCAGTTGAAATCATGTGTTTATGTCACATCTTTTTCCATTCATTTTAAGAGGAGAAAAAAGTTTATAAATGACAAATATTACATTTTCATTTCCTTATTTACTGAGAACCAATATTTGCCCTTTTAGGCCAGTACTGCCCCAGAGGAAGCTCAGCTCCCATTGGATGTGATCCTGGTCAGTATTGTGACAGCAATATGATGTCAGCACCACGTGGTAACTGTTCCAGTGGCTACTACTGCACCACCAACTCAACCACAGCCACACCCACAGGAACAGGTGGTAAGTATACTGTCTACAGTATCAACCAACTGTCTATGGTATCAACCAATAGATTATAGATTTGTTAGGAAATAAAAGAAAGGATAACTGTTAATTCTAGAACATTTAAAAGATGCATGCAATTGGAATACTGCAAATATTCAATGAAACAGGTGACAGATGTCCTCCTGGCTACTACTGTGTGGAGGGAAGTTTTGCTGCTGAGCCCTGCCCCCCAGGATTCTTCCAGCCCAGCTACAGTGCCCAGAACCTCTCCTACTGTATATCCTGTACCTCTGGCTCCTACTGCAATGGTAGTGGACTCAGTGCTGTGGACGGACAGTGTGATGCAGGTTTGTTTTCTATGAATTTTAAATTTTGAAAAAGGGGGTTAGGGAGAATTATTTTTGTGAGAAAATGACATTTGGTTTTGAAATATCAGTTGATTTGGTACATTTAAAGTTTGTAAAATTTCTTTAAAAATACATGATTGTATTCAATTTCTACCAGTAGGATTTCTATTGCATAGAAAGTTTTACATGTTATACTTTATGACTATAATTGATATACATGTGTACATATAATTTTTCTGTTGAATGATGAACATTTTTAAATTTACTCCAAGAGAAATAAATGTCTTTTTTTTTCAAATAATAAAAAGAATCTTGAACCATTTTCAGGTTATTACTGTCCTACTGGCCAAACTGTTCGTAACCCCAGTGCCTATGAATGCCCGGCTGGATACATGTGTCCTGTAGGATCTAGTCTGTATCAGCTGTGTAGTGCTGGATTCTATCAGGATGAAGTTCGACAGGCTACTTGTAAGGAGTGTCCAGCTGGTTTCTACTGTGACAGCTCCTTAGGACCCATCACTAACTACACTACCTATGTCTGTCCTGAGGGTAAGGTGTCGGTTCAAAATATTTTATATTTTGTTATGAAGCAAAATTATTTTATTAGAAATTAATCACCAGTTTAATAAGGAAAAAATATACAGCTAAACTTCGAAATTTCGAACACGGATATCTCGAACACCCCGGATATGTCGAAGTAAGGCCGCGGTCCCGACGAAATTTGCTTTAAGAATGATTAAAATAAACCCCTCTATGTCGAACACGGTAATGTCGAATACCCCGGTTATCTCGAAATAAAACTGTGTACCCATTCATTAAAATCACATGCATTATCTCGAAGTCAGGATAATTTTCCGCTCTGATGATCAAGTCCGTTAGGTAATCTGAATGCTCTATTGATAACACCCACCTGTCTGTCACGCTCGGGTTACCTGTGTTCCTGTGATCAACAGATAATAGCGCAATAATTATACGAAGTGTATGTATGGCTTACCTTGATTTTAATTATGCAAGCCAAAGGTTGTGTGTATTAGTCTAATGCATAAGCGTGGATGACACGTTTTGTGGCTTGGGTACGTTTAATATCTTGATAATCGCTGTTTAATTAATGCTACGTGAAATATGCGCGCATACATAGTTTATGCATAGGAAGGTGATAAATATAAACATCGAAGTGAAAAAAAAATTGTAATTTAATGCAATTAGAATTTATTTTTCCTATATGAGCGTGCAGAATTCAAATCGTCCGTAAACACCATCATGCGAGCGTGTGTCGCAGTGAAAACTTGTGCTATAGTGCCCTGTGATTCAGTGTTGTTCTGTTGTTAGACAAAAGTGCGTGATTCTTCTTTTGCATTTGATTTTCTTTTAACTGATTTTACATGTGTGAACATGTTTTTCCAATAAAAGAAAATATGTATTTTGGTTTCGTTATTCTGACAGCGACCGGTTTTAAATTTACAATGCATAGACGATATCCGGTTATGTATACATTGGAAACGATGCTAGCGGTTGACCTGCCGCATTGGTAGAAGGATTATACTTCTGTGCATATGATACAATGTTTTTATTTTGTGAATTATAAAGAGGATGCAAAATCCTTTTTATTGCTAAATACATGTACATTTATATTAAAAAAATCGTATTACTATACAGAATTTCAAACAAGATGGAATTAGACATGTTTTTACTATTAAGTACAAGTTCACTGCACTAAGTTTATTTGAAGTTCATTTGAATTATAACCCTCAATATGTCGAACCCCCGGATATCTCGAAGTTCATCAATGGTCCCGTCAACTTCGAGATAACGAAGTTTAACTGTATTTAGATATGTGAGAATTTCATGATTCTGCATCACTTGATGCCATATTAGAAGGTTTTATTTCTGAATCTTGATCTTTTATTTCTTTCCAAGGGAGCTAAATTTCAATATCTTGAGGATTTAGAGATTGAAATTGCTAGTTCTGTTTTGAAAATTGTAGAAAGAATCAGTAACTATTTAAAATCATATGTTTGTTATTTTGTAGGTCATTACTGCCAGAATGGCACCAAGGTATCTACAGAATTCCCCTGCCCCAGTGGCACTTATAACAATGACACAGGACTGAGAGCTGACTCCGAGTGTTTCCCCTGTCTCGGGGGATATTACTGCCCAGCAGCCACAGTCAATCCCTACCTACCATGTGGTGCAGGGTACTACTGCAGAACAGGAGCAAAAACAGCAGCTCCAATGCAGAACTCTGATGCTTATGAATGCCCTGTTGGTCATTATTGTCCAGAACAGTCAACAGAGCCTACAAAGTGTCCAGCTGGAACTTACTCCAACACAACTAAATTGATGAACATGACAGACTGCACACCTTGTACTAAAGGTAGGTGTTTCCTTACTACAGACAGTGTACCTTACTGGGGTGAAGATCTTGTTGGTCAGAAAGTTTTTTTAGTTGGAAGACAAATTTACAATTGATGGGAATTTAAATATAATGCCTTATTTTTACAGGTTGGTACTGTGACAGCCTAGGATTAACTGCTCCTGTAGGACTTTGTTCTGCTGGCTTCTATTGTATAGCAGGATCAGATAACATGGCTCCTACAATTTGCCCAGCTGGCAAATACTGTCCTGAAGGTGAGCCAGATGTTGTTTATGATATTAGTTTTCTAAGACACATATGTGAACATTCTGATTTTTTGTTAGAGAATTTTTATGAAAATGCGTAATAGAAATAACATCACATGTCATGTACTTATATTGTGTGTATATAAACTATGAAATGTACCTTGATAAATTTATTAATGTTTTTCAGGCACACACACCCCAATCAAGTGTCCATCTGGCACTTTCTCCAATACAACTCGCCTTAATTCCTCATCAGAGTGCACCAACTGTACAGCTGGTTTCTATTGCCAACAAGCAGGACTGACCACAGAGGAGGGTAATTGTACTCAGGGTTACTACTGCCCCACCGGCTCCACCAATAGTATGGCAGTCATATGTCCCATCGGGCTGGTGTGTCCAGAGGGTAGTGACCAGCCCAAGTCCTGTGCCCCAGGGTATTTTACCAACCAGACAGGACAGTGGCAATGCAACATCTGTCCCAATGGGTCAGTTAAAGTTTTGAATTTTTATGCGTCAGTAAAGAATACTAGGTACCAGAATTTTTTTTTTAGAATCACAGCCATTTATTCCTGTATAATACGAATTATATATTTATCATTGCAGCTATTACTGCCTGCCAGAGAATGTGACAGCTGGAATTCCAACCTCGGGTCACTTTGACTGTCCCGCTGGCTACTATTGTCCCAGTGGAACTGGAATGGACTGGAAACATTGTCCCAAAGGAACCTACAGTCAACAGACCAACTTGTTCCAGGTAGACTAAATTATTCCTTTTATGCACGCTTCAGAAAATGGTTGATTGTAAATAATAAATGACACAGATATGTAGGTGTTGGTTATATCTCTCAACATCATTTTATCATTAATTGAAAGCATGATAGAATCCTGAAACTGTTTTTTATCTTAAACTTTAAAAAAAGCATTTGATGACCTTTGACTTGTTGTCTTGTTTAGGTGACCCAGTGTAAGGATTGTGATGGAGGCTACTACTGCTCAGTAGAGGGAGCCACTAATGTGACCGGACCATGTGACCCAGGTTACTACTGTCAGTCAGGAGTGGACCGACCCAATCCTGACAATGCAGCCAACACCACAGCAAATAACACCTGTAACCTGCTTGGAGGTCATACAGGTACATACAGAAAAAGGAAAATGAATGCATTTAAATACAAAAGGTTTATCAAAAAAGTTCGTGGATTGATCTGATAAAAATAGTATTTTGTAGTCAGCGTTTACAAAATTCTGGATGCATTTTATTTCTCTGTTATCTGTTTAAACATTTCCTAGATCTATGCAAAGTTTTCCAGTGGTGAAACTTTATAGAATGTGAAATTTTTACATCCCTCCCTCCTTCTGGCATTATTTTTAACCCCTTAATTGTTTTGGCATTCCATATAAAATTTATAAGATTTAATAGAACTTTCAAAATGAGGTAAAAATTGCAAATTTTATGACCATGAGTGAATTAACATGATTATTGGATGACAAATGCTTAAATCCAAAATTGTTTTCTCAGAATCAGGTAGAAAAAATGCATTTTGAGGTTGCTCCACCCGGTCATACCATTGCTACAAATGTAACAATTTAAGGAAAAACAAAACTGGTGATTTAAAGTTAAATTTATAGATAGAAAAGACAATGCTAACTTAATTGTAAAAATTCATTGATGTATCTCAACGGTTTTAATTTTCTGGCACCAATCATGTGAACTTTTTGTTAACCCCTTGTGGATGTTTTTGCCAAATTTATGAAATCTAATTTGGAAGCTGTTGTTAAATATAGTAAAATGATAGATACTTTTAGAAACTTCTCAAAGGTGCTTTCAAAGTACATTAATGGTTAGAAGAAGGCCTAATAGTTCATTTCTATTGCACCCACAGGTTATGGTGATATATGTCCCATGGGATACCATTGTCCTCTGGGAAGTGAGCTGCCAGTGGAATGTCCAGCAGGAAAATACCAGAATGAAATTGGACAGAGTGTGTGTAAAACATGTCCCGAAGGTAGGTCAAACTAAAATCACAATATCACTTCCATAAAATGTTGACAGTTACTGTAAAAATGTTTATTGCTGATGGGTTAAAGGTTGATGATTTACAGTGTACCTATTGACTGGTTTAAAAAGTAAAAGCTAACTTACGGTTCACTACTCTGCAAAGTACTAGTATATGTATAACAGTGTGCAGTGCAGTTGTGGAAATTGAGCTAAAGAATATAGATTTACTATTGCTTGTTTTACCATTGTATAAGGGTCCTAGTCTATTTTTACCAAAAATTTAGAAACTACATGTATGTGCTTGTTGTGTCACATGATCTTCATGATCTTGCAAAATGAAAGTAAAATGGTTACTGCTAGGGAATTGCTGTCTTTGGTACACAGTGAATTTAAAATCCTTTCAGGGTACTACTGCCTGGTGAACTCCACAGACTACAGTGACAAGCCCTGTCCCTCAGGATACTACTGCCCTGCTGGTACACAGTCAGACACAGAAAACCCCTGCCCTGCCGGAACATTTAACCCTGCCCAGATGCAGACCAACTCAAGTGCATGTCTAAGCTGCACCCCAGGAACCTACTGTCAAACTACAGGGTTGTCTGCCCCCACAAACAACTGCAGGTACAAATTAGTTCATTGTATTTGTTGTTTTGTATTTCTGCATGTAGGTGGTAAAATTATCATTTCATAATGAAAAAGAATGACTGCACTAATGTACCCCAGTCTATAAGGAATGAAAAGCAGACAGCACTTTTGTTTAGTTGCAGTGAGGACAAAATATTTGAAAACTCTTAAATAGGTCATTCACTTTTGATAGATTGTAATATTAGTTGATCTTCCATAAATCATTTCAGTGCTGGTTACTACTGCTCAGGTGGTTCTGTAGCAACTATGCCCACTGATCCCAACCAAGGTGGAAAGTGTGTTAGGGGTCAGTATTGTCCAGAAGGAAGTCCGGCAGCCATAGAATGCCCAGGTGGGAAATACTGCTTCAGTGAGAGGCTAAGTGAACCAACTGGAAACTGTTCACAAGGTATGAGAAGTTCTGAGACTTTTTCTTTATAGTGATGTGATGATCAATAGTTTGATAATGGAAACTTTAGTTTTGAAAAGGAAAGATGCATATTAAAGAGATATTTCACACAAGATATGTCTGAAAATGGTGTAATGCATCATGAGTCAGCTATTAGGATTTGAATAAGTTATTTTTGTTTTGAATCTGCTTTTCAAAAAGGTTAAATTAATGCAAGATTTTCCAAAATATCTAACTTTTATGCTAAAAGTATAAAACCTCTGAAAAGCTGCCCAAAAACACCACCCACATCCTCAGAACTGTTGTTTGACATCCCCCCCTTATTTCATTAACATTTTCACAAGGAGTTATACTCTACTGATATTTATTAAGAAAAGTACTTTTTTCAGTAGAATATTTTCTCATGTGAACAAATGTATGAGATTTCATTAGATGAATTTTATTTGTTTCCAGGGTACTACTGTAATGGAAGCACCATCCTGTCTTCTCCCCCTGATGGTTCCACTGGTGGTGGTTGTCCCCTGGGACACTATTGTCCCACAGGAAGTAGTATTCCTACTCCATGTCCTATTGGTTACTATCTAGACGTGATCCTCAGTAGTGTGGTCTCAGCCTGCAAGATCTGTAAACTTGGTCAGTGGTTTAAAATCATCAGTAATATAGCATAAATGTATTCAGTTCTACTTGTTTTGAAAAAGGACTTTTATAATCAAATAACTTTCTTAGGACAACAACCATCCATTCAAAGAGTAGTACATGTATTTAACTGCATTAAATCTTCTATTAGACAAAAAGACATTATTATAAGATTTTAAAAAAATGAAATTTCTCATACACTACTAGGAAGCAGGAGTTAACAGGTTAAAACTGCAGAGTAATTATTATAATAAGGAAAATTTTTGTGTATATTTGTGTGTACTTGTACACTTAAAGATAAAGACTGACATGGTGTATGTTTTATTTCCCAGGAAAGTACTGTGGAAGTGAAGGACTGCCTGATGTTTCTGGTCCATGTGACCCAGGCTACTACTGCCCCGCAGGTCAGGTCTCTGCCACACCAGCAAACTACAGCTGTCAGCCAGGGTACTACTGTGTAGGAGGAAAGTCTGCACCAGAGGCCTGCCCTTCAGGGACATACCAGGTAAGGATTTCAGTCGGTCTCTAGTCAATTGAAAGTGACGGTGACCATCTTACTGCATGTACTGTTTCATGTTGTATGAGACCATGAGACTACATTGTACAAATATTAAAATTTAGGATAACCCTGTGATGTCCTCATGTAAAAGCTGCCCTGAGGGTTATTACTGTAATGCCACCTTTGGTCCTGTGGTCAACTACGCCAACACTGTGTGTCCTGAAGGATTCTATTGCCCCAATGGAACAGAGCATGCCGAACAGTATCCATGTCCCAAGGGAACATTCAACAACAGGACAGGTATCTCCTTTATTCTTACACTAAGTACTACTTCTACAAGTTGATCTATGAAATGAATTGTTCAGTTGGTGCATCTAAATATGAATTCCATTCCACATCAAAAATATTTGTAAATTTTGTAACTTCAAACAAAAGTCACAAAGTAAAATTTGAATTATATGGTGTAAATATCTGTGGTATATTTTATGCTTTGTTTTATATAATATTGTGAATGTTTTAGGTTTGTCTAACTCCTCTGAGTGCTCACCGTGTGTGGGAGGTTGGGCTTGTGATGTGACAGGTCTGACAACACCCCTCAGACTGTGTAGTGGAGGGTACTACTGCAAGATTGGGGCAGATTCTACAACACCTGCACAAGGTAACACTATTACATGTATAATTATGTCTTATATATAGAGTAAAAAAAAGTTTATCTGGCCAACTTTGTCATCTGTCAGAAGTACTGATTACACTCTCTGTTATGAGAATTCATCAAATATTACAGTTGCAAAATGAATTTTCTTTTTACTTAGCACCATATGCTGATCAGTGTCCAGCTGCTTTCTACTGTCCTGAGGGCACAATTGACCCCATCCCCTGCCCTGAGGGAAGTTACAGCCCGACCCCAGGACTGCTGGAGGAGAGTCAGTGTCTTAACTGTACTGGAGGATACTTCTGTAATGAAACTGGTAAGTATTTATTGATGAAACTTTTTTTAGTTAAATATTCTTATTGTTGTAGGATAATTAAAAATTTCTGGTTTGTATTTGATTATAGTTTTCAAAATCAAGAATGATCAGACATTGTTTGTGAATGTTCTTTCAACAAAATGCTTGTTCATGAATCAATTTCTTATAATGAATGATAAAAAGCATTATTCAGGACACAAACTAATAATTACAGGAATATGCATCAACATTAAAAACTATTTCTTAATTTACTGCCATGCACAGAAATGTTTTAACCCAATTACTGGTATTTATTAACAGGTTTACTGACTGTTGTTGGTAAATGTCAGTCTGGATATTACTGTCCACCTGGGTCCAAGATTGCCACAGAGATTATTTGTACTGAGGGATACTATTGTGGAGAGGGAACCCAGAACCCCACCCCCTGTCCTAACGGTACCTACTCTAACATCACTGGACTGATGACTGCCTCGGATTGTTGGAATTGTACACCTGGATACTACTGTAATGGACAGGGGCTCACTGCAGTGTCAGGACCTTGTAAAGAAGGTATGATTTAGTACTGTATAGTGTTAAAATGTATATCAAAATAACAGGTTGTCTCCTGAAAGTGCCCAAAAATTAACTGGAGATCTTTCACACCTTTAACAAAAAATGCAACATTTAAGCATATTTTCTTTTTTAAAAAAGCATGTGATAGAAATGAAAAAAAATTAACTCTAGAATTTATTTCCACCAAGCAGCTTGATATTACCAGAAATTTAAAATTTTTAATGACCATATTCCAGGTTACTATTGTCCCTCTGGATCTAGTATGGAAACAGAGGTCATTTGTCCAGCAGCCAAACACTGTCCAACAGGAAGTGCTTTACCCCAGGACTGTCCAGCAGGGACTCATGCTGACCATGATGGGGCTGCCTCCTGCACTGTTTGTCCAGAAGGTAAATGAACAATGGATAGATTTCGCCTTGTTTTTGGTGTGGGGGGTGGGGTTTAACATCTTGGTTTAAAAAAAAAAACAAGCACATTTACATGTGCAGTATCAAATTAATGTATTGACATTTCCATTGAAAATTCCAGGCTATTACTGTGTACCAGCTCTGACAGTGGCAGGAAATGCAGCTTCCTCCAAGACACCCTGTCCTGAGGGTTACTACTGTCCTAATGGTACTGGTTATGACTGGAAGTCCTGCCCTACAGGAACCTACAGTAATGTGACAGGTCTCAGCAAGGATTCAGAATGTACACCGTGTCCTGGAGGATACTACTGTCAAGGTGAGAAGGGGATTACTATCACTTGTTTGGCAAATCAACTTAATATCATTATTTCAGTATATGAAATAAAAAGCAGGAAAGGGTATTCATACACATTTTCAAGTAATTGTTAGCATTGCCCAATGAAAAATAAAAGTATGTTAGTACATATGGGAAACCTGTTTATATTTTGTGTTTGTGTTGGAGTGACAATAATGTTTTGAGATACAGTTTTAGTGAATCTTCTCTGTATGAGTGACATTTATTACTATACATTGATTCCTAATTAAAATGAATGTGCTTTTTTTTTCCAAAAATTAGAAGTGGACCATTTTTATCTTACAGGTGTGAATTTGACTACCCCCACTGGTATGTGTATGGATGGATATTATTGTGTATCAGGAGTGGACAAAGCCAACCCACTGATGCTTAATGACAGTCAGTGTCCCACAGGAACTGTTCATCCAATCATTGGTCACCAGTGTCCTACTGGTCACTATTGTCCAGAAGGTACAGAGTATCCCATTGGTTGCTCAGCTGGATCCTACCAAGATCTTACCAATGAGAAGGCCTGTAAGATCTGTCCAGTTGGTTATTACTGCTATGCCAACACTTCAGACTACTCACCATTCTTGTGTCCAGGAGGGTACTACTGTCCACTTAATACAACAGATCCACATGAACATCCGTGTCCAGCCGGAACCTTCAACAATCTGACCACCCAGCACAGTGATCTTTCCTGCCAGCCCTGTACCCAGGGAATGTACTGCCAGGGGCCAGGGAATGCTTATCCCACTGGAAATTGTTCAGTGGGCTGGTACTGTACCAACGGATCCTCTATCAGCACTGTAAGCTTAACAACATTATTAAGTAGAGCATTTCAGCTAAAATGTTCTTTATAATTTTTGTCTAGCTTTTAAAGCTTTCTTCTTTTATCTGTTGTCTGAGAAATAAGTCAAATTTTAACACCATGAATCTGTTTTTTTTTAGCCATCAACCACTGGAGGCCAATGTCAACCAGGTTATTTCTGTCCAGAAGGATCATGGGAGATGACCAAGTGTACCCCTGGTAAATACTGCCAGACAGCAGGGCTTGGAACTCCCACAGGAGATTGTGCAGCTGGCTATTATTGTCCCGAGGGTTCAACCTCTATACAACAAGTGGACTGTCCGGTTGGTCACTACTGTCCCATGAGCAGTGGACTTCCAGAGCCTTGCCGAAATGGAACTTATGGTCCTGTTATTCGCCTCCAGTCAGATGCTCAGTGTACACCTTGTGATGGTGGTATGTACTGTAATGGTACAGGCCTCAGTGCTGTGAGTGGACCCTGTGACCCAGGGTTCTACTGCCCCTCCGGTCAGTCTGTGCCTAACCCCTATGACTATCGCTGTCCCCCAGGACACTACTGCCTTACCAACACGAGTACTCCAATCAGGTGTGCCAGTGGATATTTCCAGAATGAATATGAAAAAGACTCATGCAAAGTCTGTCCAGAAGGTATACTAATAATACACATATAGTTAAATTTCAATGTTCAGTATTTTTATTAGGATATTATTCCATATATATTACAAGTACAGAAAAAAGATCGAAAACTGTAAAGGTATTTTTTTAGTGTTATTTGCTTAAGCTTTCATTTAACTTGCTCAGATTTTATTTTATGATATAAAGACAGGAATTAAAATTCTGTTATAAGATTTGTAATGTAGTATGCTCTCCACCTTAGGATACTATTGTGATAATAGTGTGACTGCTGTTGGAGACCTCACTAACTACACTTGCCCTGAGGGTTACTACTGCCCCACCCAGACGGAGCGTTACAATCAGTACCCCTGTCCCCCTGGAACCTACAACAATAGAACAATGAGGGTCAACGAGTCGGAGTGTCAGTGGTGTCCTCCGGGATATTACTGTCAGAGCTCAGGTTTACCTGCCCCTGAAGGACCTTGTTATGCAGGGTAGGTCTCGTATATTTGCATGTCTGGAAACAAGTGACTAAACTTCAATGTAAGATAAATTATTTAAATTTTGTTGCTGTAAGTTAGGCTACGCTTACTTAAAATTGATGATATTGCATTATATTTTAAAACAGAGCATGAAAGACTTGAAATCCCAAGATTTGTGAGATATTTGTATTTACAAGCATGTGATGGTTTAAATTTTGGTCTATGTTTTCATAGATACTACTGTCTTGGTAACAACACAGAGCCAAATCCTTCAGCCTACATCTGTCCTATTGGTAACTACTGCCCAGAGGGAAGCTACCTTCCCACTCCCTGCCCCTCGGGGACTATGGCGGTCAATACAGGAAATGTGAATGTCACAAACTGTGAGATCTGTAGTCCGGGAAGATACTGTACAACCAACAGCTCAAAGAATGGTAACCTCTCCACTCCTATGGAGGATTTTAAAAATTTCAGTGAAGAAGAAAAAATAACACATTCAAATTTTCATGAATAATGGAGTCTTAATGAAAGAATGAATTTATTATTTAACTCTGGAAATAAATTGATGTACATGTACTTAAAGATATAATGGATGGTTGAGTTATTTTCAGTCTGTTTAGATATTTTATGAAGTCAACCTTGGAAAGGCTGTTTTAAAATGCTTGATTATTTAATAAAATTCAGCAAATACATGTATTTGAATTATGGTATAACTGAATATTGTATTTATAAATTTTGTGGGTTTTTTCCAGGAGTGAGCTTGCCGTGCAGTGCTGGTTACATCTGTCTACAAGGTTCAGACATCTCTAACCCTGCTGATAATGTCAAAGGCTACATCTGTCCTGTAGGTCACTACTGCTTAGAGGGGGCAGTCAAGGAAACAAAGTGTGACATTGGAACTTATGGACCAACAGAGGGACTGGGTAAGAGTCATTTACACAGGGTGATATTGTCAGTAGCATTTTTGTTGGGAAAATCATATATACTGTATTATAATGCATCAAAAGTACAGATTGATTTTAAATATCAAAAAAAAAAAATTACTTACAGGTGCTTGTTTAATGTGTCCTGCTGGTAGAACCTGTCCAAACCAAGGAATGAATGATACACTTCCTTGTCCTGCTGGGTACTACTGCACCAATGGAACTTCAGGGAATGGGGCACCTTGTCCTTTGGGTAAGTAGAAATATGGGTAAATTATTCCTCCAGGTAAGAATTCTGTACCTGGAATTTTTTTCTTATTAGGAATTTAGCAAGAGAATGCTGTTGGTGCAATCGTTGATGAGTAGAAGATTCTATTATTACTGAAGTAAAGAGAGAAGAACAACAATAAATGAAATTTTTGTTATGTTGTGTAAGTCCAAAAAAAAAAAACACACACAATTTTTAGAGTTTGTTGTTGAGTCATTTTTCTGTATTTTTTAGGTACCTACAACCCTCATGAACAGCTGGTGTATGAGACAGATTGTCTGCCCTGTAGTCCAGGACAGTTCTGTAATGAGACCGGGCTCTCTGCCACAGCAGGACCCTGTAGTGCTGGCTTCCTCTGTGTGGGCAATGCTACTACAGCCACACCTAACGATGGAACCAATGGACCATGTCCTGTGGGTCATTTCTGTCTCTCTGGTAGGTAGATTTTATTGTCTTTTACTCTGTTGTCTTCATAGTCGTTTGTCATTTATTATGCAGATTATCCTTCCTTTAGCTTTTATCTATTGTTGGAAGAAAGTAAATGACAATAATTTCCTAGCAGAGTTTGTGTTTAAATTCTCATTAAAAAAAAACAACATTTTGTGTCCAGGCACCACAAATGCTGAGCCTTGTCCTAGGGGAACTTACAGGAACCAGACAGGAGGAGCAAGTAATGATACCGACTGCTGGCCGTGTCAGGCAGGTCACTACTGTGGTTCAACAGGAATGACTGGGCCTACTGACCTCTGTTCAGCTCGGTACTACTGTCCAGACACTGCTAGGATAGAGTCAGACTCTCCAACCACACATCAATGTCCTGCAGGATTCTACTGCCCCAGAGGAACTGCTGATCCTATTGGATGTGACCCAGGTATGAGATGGGAATATGTCTGTTTGATTACCTTTGAAATTTGTCAGGGATATTTTGGAATATACATGTTTTTAAAGAGAGAGGTGTGAATGTGTGATTTAAAAATTAAAAAAATTAAAAGTTTAAAATTACATTAATTTTTAACATATTGCAGAAATAATATTAATGATATTAAAATTAGGGCATGTATTCAATCAAGGTTATGCTTTATAAGACATCTGAAATTTTCTTGTACATTAGGAACCTACCAGTCATTAGTAGGAGAAGAAACCTGTGAATCGTGTCCCACCGGTTTCCAGTGTACAGGTAACACCAGTATCCCTATCGAATGCCCAGCCTACTCCTACTGTCCTGGCAATACATCTGATCCATTCCTCTGTGAAAATGGAACATACACCACTGACACAACAACCGGACTTGAGTTTGCCTCAGACTGCTCAGCCTGTCCATCAGGTAAAAAAAAAACCCAGAAATAATCCTATACATATAATTATTATCATAAATAAAGGTGGTAAATTTACTAGCAAGATCTGTCCTGAATTTTTGTTATGTTTTATTATGTTATTTGGTTGATGAGAATACATGTACCTGTTTTCGCATAACACATCTATATGCAATGTATATGTATCTTATTCTACAGGTGTATACTGTCGGGGAGGTAAGATCGCTGGAAACTGTTCTGCTGGCTACCTCTGTGTGGGAGGACAGGACCGTCCTGATCCCCCAGATGCTTTATGTCCATATGGATACTACTGTCCAGAGGGTTAGTCATTTCATAGTTTTGTTATAGTAACTGTTGAACTTTAGAGCATGTCTTCTGAATTCATGCCCTTTTTCTTTTTGAATTAATTTTTAAAATCTTAAATGAAATTTCAAATCTTGTAAACAGGTACCACCAGCCCACAATCCTGTCCCCCACAGAGTTTCATTGATAAGACAGGAGCAATGAGTGCTGGAGAATGTGGCAGCTGTCCAGGTGGGCGTCTTTGTCCTGGTGGTCCCACCTCCATCCCATGTTATGCGGGTTCGTATTGTCTGGAGGGTGACCCAGGAAATCCTTACCCCTGCCCAGTTCTGACCTACAATGACATGGAGGGGGCCAACTCCAGTGCCTCATGCCTACCCTGTCCAGGAGGATACATGTGTCCCATTGCCAACCTCACAACATACACTCTGTACCCTTGTCCAGTTGGAATGTATTGCCCTAATGCCACAAGCATTGCTTACGAATGTCCAGTTGGGACATACAGGTAAGAGTCTTAGAACTTTTTTTTAAAAATCTGTATTGTATACATGTATGTTTTCTTGATTATGTTTTGAACAAGTTTTCATTTCAAAAAGTCAGGTCACATGTTTACAATGTACAGAGTGGACCTGATTCAAGCTAACCTATTTTCTGTAATGTATGTACATGTATAATGCACCATATCTCAAGGCAGATATTATTATTATATATAGAGACACCCAGAGTGCTGCCAGTATTGATGACTGCCATCTTTGTCCAGCTGGGTTCAAGTGTCCAGAAGCCAATATGACATACTCCGGTATTCAGTGCCAGACTGGAAACTACTGCCCAGAGGGGTCACACAATGAGACCATTTGTCAGGCCGGTCAGTTACATTTCATATAGATATGTAAAACTTCATGACAGTAATCAGTAATTAAGGGGGGGATTAAAGTCAGTTTTTACAATTATCTTGTATTGCTGTAGGATACTACTGCAACAGATCCATGTCTCAGGTGCCTTGTCCCTATGGTTACTACTGTCCTGAGGGGTCAGCCACACCTATCCGATGTCCCCAGGGTCATTACTGTGGTAAACTAGATGACTGCAACATGACAGATGCAGGTTAGTAAATGGAATAGGAGTGATTAATGACAATTCAGAAAAAATGTTATTGAAATGTTGGGATGTTAACGAATTGTTGCTCAAATGTATGAAAATTTCATTAAAAAAAATCTTGCAACAATTTTGAGTTGAAACCTAGAGGTAAGCAGGATTACCCTGCATTTATAGGAGAAGTTAATATAATGTTTGCTTTTGAATACTTTACATCCTTTTTCAAATTGAAGGTGCCATAGAACCAGTGAAGTGTCCCCTTGGTTACAAAGAGTATGATGGATCTCCCAGAGCCACCTTTAATGACACCTGTGAGCCCTGTCCACCTGGAACATTTGGAGCAGATCCTAACAGAGCTGTCTGTGAGACGTGTAGAGCTGGAACAGTTTGCATGGCCCTGGCTACGTCTGACCAACCCGTCGCTAATGACTCTTCCTTGGCATGGGCTTTTGGCTTCAACTCAACCAACTCCTATATCTGTCCTCAGGGTGAGCTTTACTATAGAGTTAAACTTTTGGGGCTATGTACAAAGAGTAGGTTCATTGTGTTCTGAAGCTAAAGTTCATTTTTGGCTTTGTAAGAAAGGTCTGCCTCCCTGTACACTAGTTTTGTATTTTTTGTCCTTGCTTAAGTTTCAAATGTTTGAAAAAAATTTTATGGGGCTAATATTATGTCATGTGTACTTAGATAAATTTTCATTTAAACTAATTAAAAATATAAATATTTGTAGTTTTATTCCATGGATTTTGTATCTATACTAATCCTTTGTTTTGTACATGTAGGTTACTACTGCCCAGCTGGAAGTTCAGAGCCAACACCTTGTCCGCAGGGTCGTTACAACCCTAACTTGGCCGGTGGCAGTATTGCTGATTGCCCTCAGTGTCCAGTGGACCACTTTAACCACTTGACAGGTCAGAAGGGCTGCTTCTCCTGTGGAGGAGAGGCCTATCAGGACTCAGTGGGACAGCCTACCTGTAAATGTACGGGGGCAGGAAGAGATTTCCAGGTGAGAAGGTCTTAAATGTAATTTTACAAGCCTAGAGAATGAATAATTGCAAATTTTTATGAAGTTTTATTTTGGAAAATATACTTACGGGGAGAAAATACATGCACTTATAAATGTTGGTATTGTAGGAAAGTGACCGTCAGTGTCCTTGTGCAGCTGGCTTCCTTGAGCTTGCAGACAATACAGACTGTGTTAAGAAGGTGTATGACCTTTGTAAGGAGGGCACAACACGTGCTCAGAATGGCCAATGTCTGACCGATGCCCAATGGGAGAATTACTGCAAGAACCAGGTCAGTTAGAATTTCTTTTTTGTGGAAACTATTATTTTCATGATTAAATAATTGAAATCTTTTCATGTTGTAATTTGTAGTTCAGGAACAATTTATTCTTACGTTTAACATTTATTGACAGGTGTGTAAAGAATATGTGAGCTTTGACAGACTGATGGGAATGTGTCTATGTAAGACTGATGACCTTGAAGAACTTTGTAACCTTGAATGTAGAATAGCCCAAAGATACCAAGTGTCCTTCAAGTGTGCTGAACCCCCACTGGAGCCTCATGTTATTCTCAGAGACAAAAACAACACTATTATGGTAATGTAAAAGTTTAAGTGTAATTTTTTATGTGCACAGACAATATCTGATAAGTAATCCAAATATAGATTTACATGTACTTTATTTTTTTTTTGTTTTTAAGTACATTCAAACTCTACAGTGGACTGCAGTGCTTAATGGAAATGACAGTTTCATAACAAGTATTTCGTCATATTTTTATGGGTTTTTTTTTAAATTTCAGAAAGAATATGCTGTAAGTGGACTCCTAAAAATGATAAATGCCCGTAATGCCTTGACAGCTGAGCAGTGTAGCAGCAGAGATAATTCAGATTACCCAATACACATCGTAGAAATGACCGATAGTGGATTCCTTGGCGTATACAACCCTGACCCTAACCAACTGCTGGGAATGTTAGATTCTCACATCAAAGGAACCATCACTGGCAACATCACAGCTGACAGTAACATTAACGCTATCTACACGGGCCGTCGACGTCTACTGGCCACATCCACCAATAATGGCTCACTGTTCTCTGGGATTGAGAATCCCGTTGTGTGTCTGACATATGGAGAGTACATGTTGTTCTCTGTCAGCAGCACGCACTACCCCGTCTATGATGTGTAAGTTATTTAAATCTCAGGCAAATTAACCCCATCCTGAAATTTGTGCAGAAATCACAATATTTCCATCCAGTTTGAACATTCAAATAGAATTTACTTCCTAAATCTTTTTCTTTTCTTTTCTCCCCCCCTTTTTTTTTTTGCTGAAAAGAAACTTATAATATTTTTTGTTCTTTAAGAAACAACCTGTTTAACACAAATGACCAGTTTGATTATGGAGGATTTAGGACTTTGGTGGAAGCCATGACCCAGACCACTTCTACAGCATCTCTGTTCTCTTACCAGTTCAAGGACCCTGGAATATACGTCTTCTCTCTAAGCACTGATGCCAACAAGAAAATGGTCAGTAGCAATACCTGTTTTACTGTCAAAAAATGTGGAATTTATCCAACTGTGTTTGCTTTTAGTTGTAATCTCTCTTTGACACCAGCATCATTTTTTAGCTCACCTCAACGAAGTTGGGGGAGCTTATGTAATACCGTCGGCGTCCCAGGTTAAGGTTTTTGGAGCAGTTTTCTTTTCAAGTACTTCTATGGCCTATATAAGTCAGAGATGCATGGAGGATGCTTCTAGTGTGTTTCATTGTACCAGTCAAGGTTTCAGATGCTGCAATTTCAGCTAAAGAATGACCAGGTTAATGTTTTTGGAACAGGTTAAAGTTTTTGGAGCAGGTTAAAGTTTTTGGAGCAGGTCTCATTTCCAAGTAACTATAAGCCCTATATTGACCAAACTTGCATGGATGATACATCTAAGGATGCACACTACTGAACTTGCTTCGGATGCTGGATCTGACCTACATTTTCCAGATGAGTGACTAGGTTAAGGTTTTTGGAGTAGATCTCATTTCCAAGTAACTATAAGCCCTATATTGACCAAACTTGCCTGGATGATACATCTAAGGATGCACACTACTTGACTTGCTTCAGATGCTGGATCTGACCTATATTTTCCGGATGAGTGACCAGGTTAAAGTTTTTGGAGCAAATCTCATTTCCAAGTAACTAAAAGCCCTATATTGACCAAACTTGCATGGATGATACATCTTAGGATTCACACTACTGGACTTGCTTCAGATGCTGGATCTGACCTATATTTTCCGGATGAGTGACCAGATTAAAGTTTTTGGAGCAGTTCTCATTTCCAAGTAACTATAAGGCCTATCTGAACCAAACTTGCATGGATGATGCATCAAGGGATGAACAATCTCAAAACTTGCTTCGGATGCTGGATTTGACTTGCATTTTCTGAATGAGTGTCTAGTTTTAAGTTTTCAGATAAGTCCATTCCCAAGTAACTGCAAGCCCTATCAGACCAAAATTGCATAAATGTTGCATCTAGGGATGCACACTCCTAGATTATTAGTTTAGTGTGGGACTTTGCCTTACTTAAAGACAACATTCGTTGAGGTGAGCTCTGTAATCTCTGATTACCTATGTTTTAGGTTTATCATTAATTTAGAAAACTGTTTTAACATCTTTTACTGAATTTCTTTTTTTCTAAATGCTGTTGTAGTATATACGAGTGATGGCCCAGGGAGCTCAGTGTGCTGAGAACGGTCCATTTTTCCCTCCCACTTCTGGGTACATCATACAGAATGGAATCACAGTAGCCTCAGACATCTTAAAGACCCCAGACTGGGAGATCATTTTTATTTTATTGGGAACAGCCTTTATAGCCATGGTCTTCATGTTACTCGCTCTGGTAAGTTAATGATATGAAAGCCTGGAGAAGTGGGTTTTTTTTTTAATGCTGTCTAGAAAGTCGCTGTTTGGGTAAATACTTTGCATGTTTCAAGCACTTATTCTAGAATACTCTATACAGAGTTATTTTCACCCTTTCACACTGAAACAATTTTGCCTAGTCTTAAATTCGCCCAGTCACAGTTATGTTTAAAAAATTGTACTGTATTCTTTAAATTTGCCCAACTGAGGCTAGGTCAAAGGGGCGAAAATTTCCCGGTATATAGTATATTTAAGATTCTTTTCCAAATGAATGATTTAAATAAATTTTTATGATAACATTCCATGAAGAATTAGTCTGTGTTCTAGAGTGGTTAGTGTGATATAATTTGTTTTCTCTTTAGTTGAGGTACATGTATTTGCTCTTAGTATGATTATACACAATTTTTGCTGGGTTGGTATGAAAGCTAAAATTTTGTTTTGAAGGTTCTATTCAGGAAATATGGTTGGGCTAAGACCTCCTACCTGACTCCATTCTACCGTGCTTTGACAAGACTCTACAACTTTGACGACTACTCCAGTAAAGGTTCTACTGTACGGCCGGCTAAGAAGTACCATAGAAACATGCAGGCTATCACCTCCGGACGTAGTGACAGTGACTCGGATCTCGGAGGAATACTTGATGGTAAATTATGAATAAGACTTAGAGCACTTTTATGACGAATTAAAAAATATTCAGTTCTTTTATTGAGTTAGTGATGAAGGTCATTATAGGATATTGTTATGAAGCGCATATTAATGAAATTTAAATTTACTGCAGCTAATACAATAGAGACAAAGAATGATGAATTCTGGGATTACGACAAGCAGATTGACTTGGAGGCATTTAATTCTCGTACCCTGTATGACACGCTGTCCAAACAATCTCGTGCTGTTACCAATACCATCGGCAAACACAAAGATGAGGTCAGATACATCTTCATTGTTGTACATAATTATAAAAAAGAATGTCAGTGTTTAAATTGAGATTTTATAAATGCATATGATGATTGATTTGTGTGAATTTGATATCTTTGGTAGACCAAACAAATGTACAACAGAATAGCCAATCAGACAGAATCTCTCAAAGGATTATGGGCTGCAAAAATGAACTTGAAAGGAAAAGTCTCAATGGCTACTGATGAGGACCTTGTCAGTTATGAAAACAAATTGGAGGCTTTAGAAATTGAGCTTGAAAGAAGAAGAGACATTGGTCGTAGGTTTGAAGCCATTCTTAACAAAGAAAGGGAACTAATGATGGAAGATGAACATGGAAGAGAGAAACACCAGGCAAGTTATATTTGTATTTCCTTATTTAAAATAAAAGTGATTTTTTCGTAAATTTTGAGAAGATATTAGCAGGTCATGTTTGATTTATTTACATTTCAGGTTGCCTATCAATCCTGTCTGAGAGAAGCTGCCAGAAATTTAACTGAGCATGTAGAGAATCTGCAGCATGGTAAACTGACCAGGAATGGAGAGTTTGATATGGCTGCTCATCGTTCAGTGGGCTCTAGAGTCTCATTATTACTGCATAAGATGTCCAGTGAAATCACCGAGGAGTGTCAGAGGATTGGGGCCTGGGGTGTCCTTGGACAGGGCACAGGAGGTCAGCTGGTCAAATCAGGAAAGAACGTACCAATGAAGCGTGAAGAATTGATCGGTCCAGACATGAGTGTTAGAGCTTCAGACTTGATCAGTCAGGATGCTACCTCTGGACTCATTCGACCCAAACCTGGTACAAAAATGATTCTGGCTAATGGCACTTTGACTGATGTTCCTGCTGACCACTTTGTTCACCCTCAGACTGGACATGTGCTGCCCATCCAAGGCAATGTGGCCTTTGACCCGGTTACTTCCCGACTAGTCTTTGTCTCTGATTCAGCTACAGGTAAGTTGTTAGTGGAGAACACTTACAGTAAAACCAATAGTTTATAACAACAGAGGAAATTATAATTGTCTTCATCAAAATATTTTTTTAATGGTTAATTTCTCTTTAAGGGGAAGCTGCCAGAGCAGATGAACCATTTATTCCATTCATTCCTTATCCTGTCCATCCACAAAACAACCAGCCAATCAAAACCAAGCTCCGCCCCATGGAACACAAGAGTGACTTGCGATATGGTTCCCCAATGAATGACCCAGAGACTGGACTTCATGTACCCATCATGGGTGTCACCATGCACCCACAGACTGGAGCACTCCTCCCAATAGGTGGCACCCACATTGACCCTGTCACAGGAATGCATACCCCCATAGAAGTAGGTTCTCTTATGGTGGATCCAAACAGTGAACAACCTGTACCAATCCTGGCTGTAACTCTTGACCCAGAAACAGGTGAATTATAGAATACTGAAATATTAATAAACTTCAAATAGACATGATTAAAAGATCATTCATTAGGGCCCTGCAAGGATTTGCAGGTGCCCTATAGTAATCACTCTGTCTGTCTGTCTGTCCGTCTGTCTGTCATTCTTCCGTCCACAAATTTTCTGTTTTTTTCTAATAACTTTTTTTGTAGTTGACCAATTATGTTCAAATTTGGTATGTTGGTTGAAGAGGCAGTAAGACATATTTTGATGCTAAGTTTGGTTCTCTATGTCATCCAGTTTGGAGCTGGGGTGGTGGGATAGATTCCTTAACTTTACATTAGAATGAATGCAAGGGCAAAGAGAGATAACTGCTGAGAATGTTCCTATTGTAAACTATGAAAGCTGCAACTAGTCCCATGGGATTAATTAACTTTCCTCTTGAAGAAAATCCAAAGCATTATCTGTTTCTGTCAAATTGAGATTAATTAACACCTCTGTCTGCAAATGAAGTTTGTTTTGAAGTTAAGGTCAATTCTGAATGATGTTTACATTCTCTGAAATGTGGATTTAAATAATGTTCATACTTTATTTTGGTAAAGTATACAATGAGTTATGATTTTATTGAATTCTAAAAACGAGATATACATAAAGATATGTTTTTTTTATTTTTTTGTTTTTATTTATTTATTTATTCTTTTTTGGGAGCTGCCATATGTAAATTCAAGAATACTATTAATTTTAACGGGTAGTCCAATAATTAACTCATTCTATCATTACTGAAAGAGTTCTCATTGTAAACTTGGAAGAAAAGGATGAAAGAGCAGTATAATTAATCCCTTGGGATTAATTATCTTGTCTGGGGCAGAAAATTTTCCTGGCTTATCTTTATTTGTCACTTTAAGATAAATTAACCTTTGTCTGTAACTGATGTTTGTTTTGAAGTTAAGGTCAGGCCTGGATGATATTTGTATTCACTGAAGGCTGGCATTTTATAAAAACAGATGCTTTATTCTTGTTTAAATATACATTTAATTGAGTTATTATAGATATGATGTTTTTTATTGCCTTATGTTAATAAAGGGATACTCTTTACAGGTTGTTGGATATTTAGGAATTATCTTGAAATTTTATAAATACAGTTGTTCTTGCATATTTTTCTTCATATATTTTTAAATTTTTGTAATCAATTAAAATTCTCATTCTGTAAGCTGTACCTTTATATTTCTACCCCTCGGCAGGCTCTTGCTGACTGGTCAGTTTTCTAGTTGAAAATTATTTTGATGATAGGAATTATCAATAAAAGTAATAACCAAAAAATATGAAGTTATAAAGATTAAATAAATGATTTCAGGTGACATTGTACCTGTGGGAGGAACAAAACCTGGCAGTAGACACAATCTTCCCATCATTCCTGGGGACACATTTGTTGAACCTCTTAGTGGGAAACTTGTGAGAGTTCAGAGTGGATATTTACTGGATGCCAATGTGCTGCCCTCTGGTGGAGGTTTCCAGGCTCTGCTTGACTCAAGTGTGCTGGCTTGTGAGGCTCGAGTCATTGATACTTTGAGAGAACTCAAGGATGCACTTGCTGGTAAGGCTGATATGCTCACGGCATTTGAAACTGAGATGAGAATGTGCGAGTCTATCACAAAAGAATGATGTTTCAATGACTTGAATACCTATTCTCAATAAAGAAAAAGTTATCTTAGTGTCACAGATATCATTGTACAACTTTTATTGACAGATTCAACAGGAACCAATGTTAATGTAAGACATGAGCTCAGCAATCTGGAGGCAGCCACAAAAGAACTTGAGAAAGCACGCTCCAGGATGAAGGCCTATTTACTTAGAACTCAGCATGACGTAGAGCGCCGTCTAGATCGCTCCTCAATACTCGCTGCCACAGGAGGATGTCCAGGTACCATTTACTTAAAATATGTGTAGATGTGAAAAAATGAAAAAAATCTCTGATAAAAAATGACTTTAATATATTTCAGTAATAATATATTTTGAAAGTAATTTAAGAACATTTGTTTAAGGAATGTACGAGTTCTCTAAGACTGGCCAGTTATTGCCTATCTTGGTTGGTACATCCATGCTGGACCCCTCAGGAACAGAGCAACAAGTACCAATTCTAGGAGCAGACAAAGAGAAGAAAACTGGTAACATTAGACCTTTGGGAGGTACCATGGAGGACCCAGAAGGGGCTGGTGAGACTTGTTATAGTGGCATATGTCTTTTCTGTTGATCAATACTTTTTGTGCCCCCAAAATGAAGTTGCTGAGCAAGTACTGTAAGCCTATTACTATTTGTGATAACTTTATTCATGATTCAGCGGTTTGAAATGCATCCAAGACTAGGAATTGTTATGACTGAGGAAACAATCCATGTAAATATGCAGTTTTATTAATGGTTTGCAGTAGGAAACGTTCTCGAGTAAAAGAAAGTCAAGTCATGAATGTGTTTTGCATGCAGTTATAAGTTGTTCTACAGTATAGTGGAACTATTATAACCTTCTGTGAAGGTCTGTAGACACAAAGTCAAGCTGGGTTTAACGGTGTCCAAAGCAAACGCGTTAATGATACATTTAAGGATACTTAGTCGAATGCATGCTTTGGATACTAAATAAGTTAATGAATGAACAAGATAATATGTAAGCCTAATTTACATACATTTATTCATTAAAGGTCTTGTACCTATCAGTATTGGAAGGAAGGCTTTGGATCCTGTGACAGGGGAAATCAGTCCAGTGATAGGTATTCGCACTAACCCGGAGACAGATCTAGCAGTGCCAGTCACCATGTCCTCAGGTGGTCCCAGGAAGAAGAAGCCACCACCAGGGGCCCTCGCCATGCTGGAGGAGGAGCTGGTTGCCAGGCGAGGGTTCTGGAGAAGACAGAGACAGAAGGAGAGAGAACTTGCCCTCAAAGAGCACCAGTTCACTCAGCAACTCCTTTTCGATATGGATTCTGTGACTTCAAGAGATGTTCAGAGATTCTTAGAGGAGATTGATGCAGATGTTCACCAACTTTCGGAGGCTGAGAAACGTGAGGTTCAGAGACGAGGTGGTGCAGAGCAGGAGTATGCCACAGTGATACCACCAGAGGTCATTGCAGTGCTGACCCAGAGTGATGCCAAAGAACATGAGGGAGAGGAAGGGCATGTGGCTTCCAATGTCAAATTGGCTGACACACTTCGACGATTCTTCAACAAACTCCAGCAGGAAGAGAAACAGTACAAAGACAAGATTGGTGACTTGGAGGGTGCCATGAACCCTGATGCTGAGAACACTACTTTACAGAGGTACAAGCAGGCCAAGATGAGATTACAGGCAGAATTACGAGATTCTCTGACAACCAGGATAGAGAATGTGGATGAGGCTCATTCTACACTGGAGTATGCTAGAGAAAGGTAACAACATTCAATCTTCTGAAACTTTTTGTTTTGAGAATTATTTTTTTAAAGTTATCCTTTTTTAAATAAAGGGGAAATATTTTTGGTATGCATTGTCTAATGAAATCTGTAATGAAATAAGTTTTCTTAAGTTTTTGTGAAGTACAAAGTGATAAAAAAAATATCTGTTTAATGCTCTTACTGGAATTTTGCACTACACTTGAAATTATTCCTTCAGATCAGAATTGTGTGCCACTGAAGCTAAAACTGTCTTGACAAGAGCCAGCCTTCTGGCAGGAGACTATGATTGTCAGCTGTCAGGAGTTTATGGTGACGTTGATTCCTCAGGTGAAAAAGAATCTGAACTGATTCCCCTACTGAAACAGCTGATAGCCATGCTAGAATCTGGAGGTCCATTTACCTTGTCTTCAGAACTATTGAACTTGATAAATCAAGGCACTGCAGGCGGTGCCGGTCAGCATGTGACCAATATCAACATTGGAGGCAGTGGTGGCACCAGGGACATCCAGCGCAGAGGAAGCACAGATAGCCTTAGGAGGCGCAGGGATCAAAAGGTACGCAGCTACTTTTACTACTTAACAAGTCTGTCTGTATGACAGACTATGGTCAATGATTATGATGACATTAATGGTTTACATAAACTTCAGCATTTAGTGTAGTGTAAATATTAATGTCCTAGTTGTCTTCTAGAATCTTGCTGTAGTTAATTTTTGGAGCCTTTGCACCAAATCAGGTTAAATCATGATAGATTTGTGCAGCTTTTGACCTGAATTTTGTTTTCTACAGGAAAGAAGCAAACTCAACAAGTCAGGAGTCAAAACAACATCAAAAACGTCTGGCACCAAGGATGAAACATCCATATTTGATGGTGCACAGGGTAAAGGAAACAAAGGACAAGGTGGTGTAGCATCACAAGAACTTTCTCGGGCTCTGTTTGAGAAGCAAGCTTATGAGGCAGCCAAGCTGGAAAATGACTTGAAGAAGGAGGAGATTGAGGACATGAACAAGACTGTGGATGACTGTGAGCTTGAGAAGAAAAAGGCCATGGCTGATGCCCAGCATGAGCTGGAGAAGAAATTGGCTAAGGCCAAACAGGAGCAGGAGAAAGAGATGATCATGATGGAGTATGCCAGCAACATGCAGAAACTCAATGAAGCCTTTGAGAAGAGAAAGAGGAAACAGTTGGATAAACTCAGGAAGAGGCTCTTGGATGCCAGGAGACACAAAAAGAAAGAACTTGCCAAGTAAGAGAAGTTTAATGTACTTGTCGTGAGAAAGTTTGTTAGCAAAACCTTTTTATAATTGTTTGACATCAAAACAAATACTCTACTTCATTAGATTGAGGTAGTAGAAGCAAATGAGGGTTAAGTGGTGGATTGTTTTCTTTTTTCAGGAAACATCTATCAGAGGCCAAAGACAATGGTATCCCTGAGGATTCAGTTCCCAACATAGAAATGCCATCTTATGAAGAACTAATGAACCAGTTACTGAAACTTCAACAACAGCAAGAAAAAATGATGGCAGACATCAGGAAGAACAGTGGTGATGCTAAGGATCAAGTCAAAACCCCGGAAATTGATGAAGAGTTTGAAAGACAGATTCGAGCCTTGGATATCAGCAAGAGTCAGAAAGAGGCTCTGATCAATGAAGCCAAGAACAGACGTAAGGAGCTCCAGCAGCAGATTGAGGCAATGAAGGAGAAGCTGAGGAAGAGGAAAGACAGGAAGGGAGGGGCAGAATTGACAGAGGAGGAATTACAGAGTCTAGATGAGGAAGAGAGGAAGAACCTCCTGAAGGTGAGGGAGATCCAAGGGGCTGCAGACAGAGACATGGAGGAAGAAGCCATCCTCAGTACCATTAAAATCATGGAGAGGGTGAGTTACACTTTGAAACATTTGTATGAATTATTTCGCAAGATAATCACATTTATCAAGACATTAATTTTGCATGTTTCCCTATGAAAAAATTACTTTCAAAAATACTTTTTTTCATTTTTTAGGCAAAATTACATGTAAATAAGATCTTTCTTGAATAAAATACAATTTACATAAGTTGTGTCATAATTGGCATCATCAAATTCCCTGAAATGGTAGAGAATTTGAATCATTTTGTACACTGTATTATTTTTCTACCTTCATGTAACTAATCAGTGAGTGAAGTTGATTTGATTTGATATATCACAGGATCAGCAGAGGCAGGCTGGAGAGGTGGCTTTGAGAGAAATGCTTCAGAACCAGACAGAGTCAGAGAGAGACCGCATTCTACAGCAGTACCAGGACCAGGTCCGACAATTAAACAACCGACTGGATGACAGCAGGAACGAACAGGCAGACAAGATCAAAGCAAAACTGGCTGCTAAGAAACGAATGAAGGAGGAGTTGGACAAAGAGAGGGCAGTCAACAAAGAACTGGACAGGATCACCAAGAAACATGTAAGTCAATAATGAAAACAACATCTAGATACATGTCTAACATTGTCTCAATCTAACTATGTAATATGTAGGTGTATATGTTTTTGTGAATTTTCAAAAACAAAACTGCAATTATTGTATTGAAGGGATTTATTTGAATATGAGGTTTTTCTTAATAAAGTGTTTCTTTTTTAAGGCTGCACAGAATGATGCAGAGGCTGCAGACCTGATTATGCAGATTAATGAGAAAGTGAACGGTGACAAGTTGATGTCAGAGCAACAGAAGCTGGTGGACCAACAGACAACAGAACTGGAGCATCTTGAGGAGAAACAGAATGAGGAGCTGAGGAGACTGAACCAGGAAGCTGAGGAAGAGAGGAGCAAGGAGGAGCAAGAGATCCTCCACAACAACCAACAGCAGAAACAACTGGTAGGTTTTCAAATCCTTATTGAAAATAAGGATTATAGAACCATGTCCTTTTTGAAGGAGACCAGGAAAAACACAAGGCAGTAAAATTGTTTTTAGAATGAAAAAAAAAGGTAGTATTGTATAAAATGAATGAATATTTTACTTTGTTCTGTAGGCTCTCCAAGCCCACCAATCTAAATTTGAGCGAGACATGTTGCTGCATCATCAGAATCTGACACCAGCAGATGCTGAGTACCAAAAACTACTGGCAGCTCACAAGTCTGAAATGGAGGCTCTAGAGCGGAACCTCAATTCTGAGAAAGATCGTCAGAGAGAGGCTCTCAGGAAGAAGGTTAGGGTCACACAGGGCACCACAATTTTATTTTAACATAACTTAAGAGGAAAGTAATGAAATAATATTACATGTACAAGGGTTTAAGCTTTCAGCGGATATTAAAATTTATATTTGTTTATACACATGTATATATTGGAAGTGCAAGTTCAGTGAACACATGCTGAATCACATTATTTGATGACAAGCATTATCTGATAATTATAGATAGAGGAGAAGAAGAAGAGGAGAGAAGAGCAGTTAGAGGATAAACACAGGATGGAGATGGCACAGAAACTGTCCAGTCAACAGCAACAGAGGGACAAACAAAATGAAGAAATTGCCAAAAATGTGGAGAATTCAGCCCTTAAGAACAATGTCAAGGTAAGACTTCACTAAAAGTAAGCTTCTAATGTGCTAATATGTTTTAAAAATCTTCTTCCTCAGGCACTGAGATGAAAGACTTGTTTGAAGAATAAGTAAAAATGTTTTGATTTTACTGCTATTATATTCTTTATTGTGAGAAGTTACTTAAACATTTTTTATTTCCTTCCTAGTAAGTTGAAATTCCTCAGATCTAATCTTGAGAAATTTGTCTCACTATATTTTAGAATAAGGATAAAGATAAGGCAGAGAACATGATCTATACTGTGTTGAGGCAGCGACATCTTAAGGAGGCCATCCATCTGGAAGATCAACTGGCTCGTGAGCTGGAGGCAGCTCGTAGGAGAGCCCGAGCGGAGATTGAGGAGAGCAGACAGAAGGAAAGAGAAAGACTACTGGCTGCATTTGAACAGGTTAGTTTGAAAATGACAAGGCTGTTTTAACTGTTCCAATTGATGAAACACTTTGTTCCAAAAATATCTTGCAATGTATAAAAAAAAAAGGTAAAATAATTTTGTTTGCACATTTGCAAAATGACAACCAACATTTTGATTGAATTTGTGAACATTTTCAGGAAATGCGAGATCTGATAGCAGATTCTGGCAACATGGACCCAGCTGAATTGGCTCGTCGTAAAGAACAACTTAAACAGAGACAGCAGGTTTGGGCAAAGTTTTATTAAAGATATTTATAATTAGTACCATGATCTACAAGATTTAACATTTGTGTAAGAAAAGTTCATTTTGTTTGCAGCAAGAGCTCAGTGAGTTTGACAGCCACACTGCCCAGCTGTTAGAAAGAGCTGAACAAGATGTTAGTCCTCAACAAGAAATCAAGCAGACCCATGACCGCTTAAACCTCAAAGAAAAACAGCTTCATGAACTTGCTGATGCCATGAAGACATTCTCTCCTGCAGAAGAGCTTCACAAACAGTATGCAGAACAGGCTAAATTGGCAGCCGAGGAGGCGAAGAAGTATAAGGAGGACATGTACAGGAAGTTACAGGAGGAACTGGAGAGGAGGAAAGAGGAACAGAGACTGGCGGAGGAAGAGAGGAAGAGGAAGATGTTGGAGAAGTACAAGTAAGGGATAAACTTGAAGAAGAAACTTACGAATAATCTGAAATGCTGAAATGTTTGACAAATACATTTACCTAATGAAGTAGAATCTGTTAGTTAAAATGTTAGAAAACTGAAAAGTCAATAAAGAAATTTTATGTAAGTGATAAGCTACATGTAAATTGAAATTAGAAAATAAAACTGTTTGATGAGACTGATACTCTGGAAAATTTCTGTACTTTTAATATATTTTAATGATGATACTTTGCATACACAGTGTGAATATTCTAGCCATTTACCTGGTATATTGTTCTGTTTGACAGACAACTGGAGGAAGAATTGGAGGAGCAAGCGAGATTGGAGGAACAGAAACAAAAAGATCGTGAGGCAGAGCGTGAAAAACTTCGACAGCAACAAATGGAAGAACGAGAACGTCGTGAGAGAGAAGAGATTGAGAAATCAAACACCAGTCAGGATGAAAAGGAAAAACTCCTCAGGGAACACAAAGAGAACATGGAGAGAATCCGTGAGGCCATGAACCAGGAGCAGAGCCGCAGCAGACAGGCCCTTCAGGCTAAACTGGACGCTCGCAAGAAACGTAGAATGGACACGGGTAAAGCCAAAGTGGACAAGGACATGATCTTGGAGAAGGACAGTGAGGAGATGAGCAGATTAACACGAGCAGGTGATGATGATGATGACTTCCTGCAGGCGGGAGCTCCTTCATCAGTGTCTGGTGGTATTATGTCTGGTCCTGGAGACCAGGGATCATCTGGTATGGGTCATTTCACACCTACAGGAAACCGAGAACAGGACTGGGTCAACATGCTGATGGCATCACCTCTATTTAAACAAATCAATGACTTGGCGGACATGTTGGATAAGACAGAGGGAGGTCTGGCGGGTAGTGACAAGGTGCTAGGTAAGAAAAACAAAAAACAAATTACAGAAAACTCAACAATTGAAAGTTTAGTTAAATATTTTTTCAAATTTAAACACATTTTCATTTATTGTTTTGTTAGGTGGAGATTACAGTCGGCCATACATGGATGTTAAGGATGCTCAGTGGGTGTGTAAAGGTGACCTCAAACCAGCAGACATTAACCAGATATCACCAGCTCAGTTTGTCATTTACCGGTTCGGTGTGTTTGTAACCAGACTCTTACATCAGACAATTGGAACACCAGAAGTCAGTTTGCTACTTGCCACAAACTTACCTCCTAATAATTATGAACGAAATGCATTCAGGAATTCTGTTTTCTATGAGCATTCTCGGAAGATTCTGTTTGTAAGGAGGGAGAGAATGGACTCGATCGGTGAATTTGTGGTTGTGATTTTGCATTCTCTAGCTCACATTAAAACAGGGGACTTAAGTGATGATAGTGATACAGTATTCCTCAGGGAGTTCTACAAGGTAAAATTTTATTATTATCAAGAACCCACAATGTACATTACAACTAGATTAGTAACTATATATGGTTGATAATTCTAAGCATGTTTAGCTTTGGGTGCAGTAACAAATTTTTGCTTTACATAAATCTCAAAAATTCCCATCAAACCTTTTTGTTTGTAGCAGTCAGGATTTACTTTTCATCAAGAAAAACTATTCACAAATGTTCAGCTGAGTAGTTAGAGGGCTGTGAATTCAGTTCCTAGTAAAACAATTGTAAACCCTTTTTTCTAGGCACTACGAGTTGTGTGTCAGGACATGTTCTTCTCTCGTGCCCACAACAACCCTACACCACAGACCCGCCTTGGTCTGGAGCAGGCCCTGGGAACAGTGAAGAAGCAGGAAGATAAGATGGCTGTAGTGGGTGATCTTGTTGACCTGAGGGTGGATGGACCCACCAGGATAGATTTCTCAGAGCAGGTAAGAGAAAAAAAGGAAGGTGATCTTTGTTCATAAAAGTTATGGATATTTACATTTTAAACAAAAAAAGTGATTATCAGAACTAAAGTCAAACAACATATAATCAATCAATCAGAACTGAATAGAAGAGAGCTAATATTATGTCCAAAAATACAATATCTTATTAAAATTAATTACTAGAGGTATATATTTACTGACCTGTAATATTTGAAGCACAATTATGATTTGTTTGAATCCTGAGCTCAACGTGTATATTCTTTTCAAATAAATAGAGTATGTCTCAGAGACTGTGCGGATGTGAATCTCTAGCCAGTAATGCACGACTACGACAATTCCTCGCCTCTAAAGGAGGTTTCCTAGCAACCAGTGATTTCGTCAGCAGCAGAATGTCTGAGCTAAAAGGTGGTAAGAGTCCTCCAGTGACACCTAGACGCAGTCCACGAAAACCAGTAGCAGTCCCATCTATGAGGTCCCCTCCTGACGTGAGGGATACTCAGCTGATGGATCTGGAGGCCAAGAATGACCAACTCAATGCTGATCTTGCACAGGTAGAGGAATAGGACCATATACTTGGACTGGCTATACATAGATTTAAATGACTTCCTCTGTTATGGTTTATTGATAAATAACTAAATGTTTTTGGTTTTTGAACATTGTGCATATTGTAATTTGCATATTTATACAAAATATGAATATCTATACTTCACAGTATCTTTCTATAATCTTTTTTCAATGACATAGTGTGTTTCATCTATTCTTCACCTTTTTAGAAAAATGTTTAAACTGATTTGAATTTGAAATTTGTCTTCCAGACTCTGAAGGCAGTTTCAGAACTTGAGGAAGGAATCAGAAATATGGAGCAAAGTTCTCCCAGTGATCATAGATTAACATCAGCTAGGGAACAACTCGAGACTGTGCTGACTCGTAAAAATGATCTACTCAGGAGAATCTCAACAACAGAGGCCGAGATAACGAAAAAGGAAAGAGAACTCAAAACAAAAAAGCGATAGTCAAGTGACTAAGAGATGAAAAAGAAGAGAAACTACATATCAAAATGCCTAGGGCATAAAAATTCCAAATCACAGATACAGCATCACATTTGAATTTTTACTACTTTATGTGAGGAAATTCAATATATTAAGTGTTTTTCTTTATTTAAATTTTTTAAAGACATTGTTAGACAGTTTCACAATAAGATAGTTTTTGTTAATTTATACATGTATCTTTTTATTCAGGTCTGTGATAATTTTTTTGAGCATTCCTTGTATATTTGTTCCTTGCTTTTGACGTTTTGTGCAATTTTTCTTTACATGATTTATTATAATCTATACATTTGTTATAATCTTTTCCTATAAAATTTTGTTTTTTGTGAAGTTTATCCGTCCAAACAATATACAGTGATTTCTTGTAGAAAGCAATGTGTACAAATTTATTCATTCTTGAACCGTCCATTTATTACAAAAATTTTGGGGGACATTTTCTATCAAATTTTTTAATCATTGATTAATCACTACAACAGTAAATAATTAAGGTGATATATTTCAGGTATTTTAAAGTTGGATTATTTTTATTTCTAATACTAGTATTATTAAATATGTGTACAACTGATTTTGTACTCCAATTAAAAAAGATAGCCATTTTTTTATTTAAGTGGTGGTTTTCGAAGTGGAAACAGTAAAAGATTTTTGTTTTTTTTTAAATTGTTATTTTGTAAATTATATCAAATAAATTTTATATAAATAATTTGATTGATATTGTATCTTTATGTATCATAGAAGTTGCAAAAGGAAATCAAGGTTATTCTGTGTCCAGTATTATCCTAAAAGAACTAGAAAATACAAAATGACAGCACTCTCCCAGTATCTGTTACTGATAAAACGCCAGAATTCTTAACAGCAAAATATATAAAATACAATATCATTGATAAATCTGGACAGGAGGTTTTGACACCCTTTTGCCCCCCCCCCCCTTTCCCACCTCATAAAACAAATATCTTCAAACCCCACAAAATCAAGACTTCCGGGTCACTATTAATGAGAATATTTACGAGAGAGAATACTGTGGCATGATTTATGAAACAAAACAACAGAGATTTTACTCAGTAATTTCTGTTAAAATGACAGTAATTATCAACGTTGAGAATCACGTGACGATGTATTATTTACACATCTTTTTCCAATTACTCCTCCTTCCGGATTTCTGCAATGTAAAACATATCAAAAGTATTCAAATTTAACTTTTGGGACAGGAAAAACGCCTATGCATATAAATTAAATTGATTTTAATGTCTACTAACGTGTCCATGCAGTGCTGCATCAAACATACATCGAAGTCAAAGATCCTGTCCCTACAATGAAGATATTTACACTGTCAGTAAAACCCTTGACAGAATATAGATAATAAAGAATTATCCACAATCTTACTCATGTCTATTGTCATGGATACTAATCCACCCTCTCATCACGTGACCGGCTGGTACCGTGTAATCAACATCCCCGTCATAAGTATTGACCCAACCGCTGTAGTAGCAATTGTAGAGACACATTCCTGGAAAAGAAAAAGGAACAAGATGTGTTTGTGAAACACTGATGCCCCCATATTGCAGCTCATGGCGAAGGTTAAAGTTTCTCAAATGCAAGTCAAACTCCCAAGGTCAACTTAAATCAAAATTGTTGGTACACAATGAATGGTCCTGTTGGAAGAAAAACACGTTAAATATGAAAGCCCTAGCACCAACTGTTCAAAAGCTATGGCCAAGGTTAATTTTTTCTTAAAAGTAGGTGAGACTCAAAGGCCAAAGGGTCAAATTGTCGGTACCAAAGTGAAGGTCTTGTCACAAGGAATATATATATGTGAAATATGAAAGCCCTAGAAACAACTGTTTAAAGGTGCGGTCACACGATGCGATTTTTCATTCGATTTTCCATCCGATTTTCCCATTCGATTTGCTTTCGACTAAAATCGTACCGTGTGACCACCGAAGTCGAAAGCAAAATCTGAAAGTCGATTGGAAATCGGATGGCATCCGATTTTCAATCGACTTTTCAATGAGAATCGTGACGTCACAATGATATTTCCCGCAACGCGAAATGAATGGTCGTTATTTTTGTCATCTATAATGAATGAATGTATAAATTCTTAATTGATAAAATATTAGGATACCCAGTAAACGGCAATTATCGGGCACAAATGGCTAATTATTTAAAGCATACAAGTCATAAACTATTATTTCACCATAGTTTGCGAGGACGGAGATTCATGTGTTTATAGAATGCCAATTTACGATTTTTTTTTTTTGAATATCATATATTTACCTTGATTCAAATCATCGCATTTATCTAAAAAAAAAAAAAAAGAAGAAGAAGAAGAAGTTTTAGCTATTACTTTAAAAACCAGTATGAATGTTTATAAATCTAATCAAATCTTTCATGTGCTTATGTTGCTGTAAATTAAGATCTTTGGTACACGTACAGCATATCAGTACTTCAGCATGTTAGGGGTTCACGGCGAGTTACTTTTGACTTGACGCCGCGTAAACACCCCAGTCCTATCAATAATATGAACAAGTAGTTTTAAGTATTAGCAATGATTCTAATTATAAGCGTTCGTCAAGAGATTCAACTTATTTCATGTATATATATGTAAACGTGTAGAATAATTTAAAATGGTTGATTTTAATTGTCTAGAAGAACTCGAATAAAAGTAATAAATGAAGTGGTCAACTAGATTAGTTTTCTAATTTTTACTCCTACATGCAAGTAAGAGCCTATGTTAACGTCCCTACTCTCCTTATATATGGAACTACTAACGAAACAAAAGACTGAAAAAACTATTTATGTTTATAAGGAGATATTGCGTTGCTGTCTTTTCTCCTTGAATTATTTTCCTTATTTCTTTTCACTTCGACGTGATGTAGCATTGTACATGTACCTCTAACTACTGTATATATGTTTGTATGTTATTAATTTTGTAACTCATATACCAATACTTTGGTTTGAGTGAATAAATTGCACATGGACTTTAAAAAAGGGGGAGTCTGACCCCCCCCCCCCCCCAAATAGATTCAACATTTAATTTTTTAAAAAATTAATAATTACTTTACATATCATCAGGGGAGTTTGTAAGTATAATATATATTTAATTTATTATTATTATTATTATTATTGAGGAAGTAACATTCTTTACTTACCTACCAAAAGTTACCTTTGTTAAAATTTTAACTTAATCATTGGAGCGTCTGATGAATTTCATTTACTGTGTACCCAGTCACGCATTTTGAATATACACAGAGTAATCAATGGGCTGTAAATATTTTACCTACAGTAATTTGTGAAAATAAAATTCGATATTTCAAATGTTTTCAATAATATTGTTTCGTCAACTGCTGGTCAACGGAAAAAATTTAACTTCGCGACGTAGCTATTTTACCTTTCTTGTAAGCGAAAGTCTAGTGCAGGTTCTTTTTTAAAATCTTTTTATGCCGAAAAAAAAATACATGTGTTTTCCTTTATTAGTCAGTTTTAAAAACCCTGGAAAACATCAGATACTTCAGACAAGTTCTTTACACAGCTATTACATGCGGTATCTTTTCTTATTTAGTAAAGTGATCACAGACATAACATGTAGATTACGTCAACATCAACGTCAAAATGGGGCAAATGACGTAATATTAAACTGAATGAAGGAAAAAAATATTTTCATAATGATGCTTTTTTAGGTTTATTAATCAGAACTACTTCAAACTGAAAAAAACAAGTACCTGTTCATTTCTTGTCAAAATCGTTTATAAATCGAATGTAAAATCGTATCGTGTGACCACCCCACCAATCGACTCCAATCGACTTACCTGAGCAAGTCGAATGGAAATCGAATGAAAAATCGCATCGTGTGACCGCACCTTAAGAGTTGTGGCCAAAGTTAAAATTTTCAAAAGTAGGTCAAAGGTCAAGGTAAAAAATGTTAGTACCCAAAAGAAGGTCTTGTCACAAGGTATAAACATGTGAAATATGAAAGCCTTAGTAACAACCGTCCAAAATTTATGGCCAAGGTTAAAGTTTTTGTAAAGTGGATCAAACTCAAAGGTCAAGCCCAAGAGGTCAAAATATTTGTACCAAGGAAAGGTCTTATAACAAGGAATACACATGTGAAATATGAAAGCCCTAGCATCAACCTTTCAATAGTTATGGCCAAGGTTAAAGTGTGGTAAAATTATGCAAAAAAAGGTCAAACTCCAAGGTCAAGAGGTCAAATATGTTTAAAGTATGAGAGCTATAACTTCAACAAATTAAAAGTTATGGGCAAGGTTAAAGTTTTTGCGGACAAACAACAGACAAACAGAAGGACGGACAGGGCAAAAACTATATGCCCCCGAATCTTCGATTACGGGGGCATAATAAAATGTTTTAATATAATTTTAATATGTAAGATTCAAGAAACTTCAATCAAGAAACATTGAACACTTTCTTTTAGTAATAAGAACCTGGTTTTTCGCAGCAGTAAAAACGAAAGCGCCGATCTTCAGCCCCATTGTCATGGACACTAGAGATGCCGTCTAGAACACCGCCATTTGGGCACTGGAATGCTACTGGTTGGTCAAAGTTATTGACATATTCTACGAAGAAAGAATTGTGCACAAATACATCAACCTGCAAAATTTCTCGAAAAACTGCGACACTTGATTTTGCTCAATTTTCAGGAATAAAGATTCAAAGTATGTATTCCTGGTATCAATTTAGTATTTCATACAAATACTCTATTTATATATTATATGCACTTTATTTTCTATTGAATGGTTTGAAACATGAAATAATATACATTTTCTCAGTATTTTTTAAATATCTTAACTCGGGGGTTGCTAAATTAAGCACTTTCGAATGAATGAATGAATACTGTGAACTCACTAAGTGTTGTATTTTTAATAGGGTTAAATGTTCGTTGTTTTCGTGGGATGAAAAGACCCACGGAGTATTTTGAATTTTTATTCCACAAATTCATACCAAAGTTTTTTTGTTTTACGGGCGGGGGGGGGGGGGGGATCTGTTTACAAACAAAAAAAAAACAAAAAGTGTCATTTTACTACCAATTTCAAATGAGATTACAAATAAAAAATGTTAATATCAATCTTATGAGTTGAATTTTACAGTTGTAAAAAAAGAGCAATTAACTTTTTGACACCAGTTTTAAAATTATTAATTGATTAATAATGAACTCTTCTTTGCATTCAATTAAGTTTTAATGGCCAAAATTACTACATATGTATTAATATTGAGTTAAATGGGTGTTAAATACGCGGGAATCAAGAGTTAGCATGCGTAGTTCTTTGCAGGGTTATTACAAATACTGAAGCAAATAAAATATGACTTTGGACCCCCTCCCCTAGAAATCGTGGACCCTACAACCACCACCACGAAATAAGTTTTTTTTACGACTTAGAAAGGGATTTTATTTTTTTCTTTTTTGGTCTTTTTTTGGGGTGTTGGGGGTTGGGGGTTGGTCTTTGTTTTGTTTTTTTTGTTTTGTTTTGTTCGTTTGTTTGTTTGTGTTTTTTGTTTTATTTTGTTTTGTTTTGTTTTGTTTTGTTTTTTTTTTTTTTGCTTGTCAAGAAATTTCCGGGTTGGAATTTTTTTTGGACTTGGATGGGCCCCATGGAAAAAAAATCCTGGATCAACGCCTGAATTTTAATGAAATTGTTTTATTTTTATCTTTTCAAGACAACTTCAAAATATGTTGGTATGATGACCTTAATTATTACCTGACCAGAAACAACTCTCAGAAGCAGTTGTGTACTTGCTACAATGGAAATCGAACACACGATCTTCAGCTCCGTTGTCATGGTGACTGACGACACGGTTGATGGACTCGTGCTGAGGACACTTGAAGGTGAAAGGTCGATCGTAATCGTTCACCCAGGAATATACCCCTAGGAACAGGTTCAAACTCAGAACTGTTTTGAAAGATTAGATGATATAAAAGACATGTAATTCAAATTCAAAAAAAGGGAGTTCAAATCATAAGAAAGGGGTACATGTTCAAAAATATTAATATGAATTGAATTACTCTAATCATAACTATAAATACGTGTATGAATGCATACGAATCAGGTTAAGTCTAAAATCACCTGCACACGTCCTCATACTGCACTCCTGATATAACAGGATAATGAACATAAATATATCTTACAGATAAGGGGGCACTGCTCACACACACAGATAATGACAAACCCTGTGTAATCTTTCTAGGCACCCTGTCCAAGGCCAATCAGCTTAATTAAGGAGTTTCACTGCGTGTAACTTCAATGAATTAATTATTATCGGGAGTACTCATTTGTCAATAAAAAAGGGAGGGGGGCTAAAATTCTCCGCCAGTCCCTTGTATTACATGTAATATATAGTCTGATAAAATTCTTCATTTTGTACTTCAGATCTTTGTAAATTATAACTACATGCAAGTTCCATGTTCTCGTTTCTATATTTTTTTTTTTATAAAGGTCAAGTTAATTGTTACCGTTGCTCAGTAAGATGCACACTGACCCCCGATTTTCTTTGCGATTTTGAGTCATGCTATATGAGTACTTATCTAAAATATACTTCTCAAAGAACCCTTGATATAACTTCAATTCATGTAATATCACTCGTGACATACCTGAATTTTTCTGGCCTAATAAAATAAAGTGGATGTCCCACAGGCACTTGTTTCGTATACAGGACACCCCTTACTTATTTTTACCAGGGGGTGCCCCGTATACGAAACAAGTGCCTGCATGTGGGATGTCCGTGTGGAGAGTTACATTTATACGCTACTTTGTATTAATTTACATTCTAAGCTACTAAACTAAATTGTTACAATATCTTCTATTATATGATTGAATAATTCCTAGCTCTCTGATTGGTTGAGATCCAAGATTCTAGAAATCAAAGTTATGTTCGCCTGCACGAGACCTGCATCTAAATATTTTTAATTCATTGGGATCTTTGGTCAACGTCTAAAAACTTCATAGCCTTTATATGTATCTATGAGGTGTCATTTTGATATTTACTCCTATTAAGTGATATCACCAATTCGAATAAGTGATATCACCGATTCGAATAAGTGATATCACCTATTTGATTTGCATAGGTGATATCACCTATTCAAATTGGTGATATCACTATTTTTAATTTGAGTTGGTTATATCACTTACTTTTCAAATGAGTGATATCACCAATTCGAATAGGCGATATCATCAATTCGAATAGGTGATATCACTGTTCGTTTTGAATAGGTGATTTCACCTTTTCAAACTAGTATGAAATAACAACTGCTACTAAGGTTATACATGTACAGCATTCATTTACTCTATACAGGAATGTAAATATTTTAGTCTCTTTGTACATAAATAATAGAAACAGAAAGAAATATAAATAAGTTTCAATAAAGAGATCAAAACTGACTGCAAGTAAAAAATATATATAACTCTACAGAGATCGATAACATTTGGTGTTTTAAATTGTCTTAGACTACAACAGAGGGAGAAATGGCAGCCCGAATTTGCTTAGCGTTATTCGAAATCTAGTTTTTTATTTGTAAAATCGGGTTGCTCTTTAAATCTTTTTTGTGTACACACAAGAACAGTGCCTCTTCCCTACTTTGTACCAAAACGAGATCTTACAGCGAATCTTCTGTTTATGTGATCAATCAATGTCGAAATAATAGAATGTGTGGCTCAAATTAAGTTCAACAAATCCAGAGAATCTTTTTATAATCTTTTTTAAAAAATTGTTTAAGCGTCAAGAAAGTAAAAATTGCTCTTCGAAAGCCTTTTTAAATTTCATCCTTTACTTTGCATTGAAGCTAGATTGTTTTGAAAAGGGACATATCATCATTAAACGTTGTAAGAAATGCAAAAATTTGATATCACTCACTCGAATAAGTGATATCACCAATTCAAAATTAATAGGTGATATCACCAATTAGAATTGGTGATATCAACTATTTAAATAGGTAATATCACATATTCAATTTTAACAGGTGTTATGACCTATTCGAAATGTGATATCACCTATTCAAGTAGGTGATATCACCTACTCAAATAGGTGATATCACCTTTTCGAATAGGTGATGTCACTTTTTCGAATAGGTGATATCACTATATGGCAATAAATACCAAAAAGCCGCCTCATATGTATCGTAGAAAAGATTTGCGACTAATATAATTTGCTATGTGTCCATGAAGTTCGTTCTCAGACAAACTTCTGTCTTGTAATTTTATTATATGACACCTCTAGTGACTCTTTTGGTGCCGATTGTGTTCTTAGTAATTTACCACACCAGAAATCAAAATACACAGAAATAAATAAATACAAGATTTTATTCAAGCGTTTGATGACCCTAACACATCAGAGAGTACGTCGCTGTATTATTCACACGTCACCTTCCAATGACTGGCCCTGCAGGATTTCCCCTTTAAAAAAAGAAGTTTTTTTTCCTCATATTTTTGTCTTGAAATCTGAAGGGGAAAATCATGTTTATGGGACTTTTTTTCTCAAAAAGATTCGAACTTACACATCCTCACACTCTTGCATTAAACAGACATCAAAGTCAAAAATCCTGTCCCTAAAAAATAAATACGAGAAAATTACATTATTGATGGAACTTATTGTAAATGGAAAGGAAAAACAATGAAAAAAAAATCATTAAAAGTAACATACTCGCTACCGTTGTCGTGGATACTTGTCCAGCCTCGCATTACGTAACCGGCCGGCGTGGTATAATTCAAGTTTCCATCGTAACTGTTGACCCAGCCACTGTACATACAATTGTAAAGACACATTCCTAGAAAAAAGTCAGACTCGTACATGTATATGTATGTTCAGACTTATTTTTATGGAGCGCCAAATTAACATAATTTATATACTTGAAGATATCTTTAATTTTTTGAATTTAGTTGGCGCGCGCAATAATTCAATTAGATATCACTTCAAATAATTAATGTCTTCAAATAATTGACATTTGTCTTCAATTCTGAATAACTAATACTACGCGCATTGATTCATTTTTTTTTATTTCAATAGTCAATTTGCTGAATTGCTGTGTATATCAATTGAATTAATCAATTCAATTAATGAGAGCAATTATTGATTAGATGATCAGATTAATTAAATTATTGCTCTCTCCTCAAGTCAATGGATGCGCGAAATATTTGAATTTTTGCTCTCTTCAATTGAATTAATGATATCGTTAATTCAATTAACACTCGCAACGATTCTTTTAAAGAAAGCTGCTTTTTAATTATTGACATCTTTAATCAGACATATCCATAATTTGAATATAATTTAATTGTTACTATCTTTTAATTAAAAAAATTGATGTGCACATAAATTCCTCTATCAAAATCGTTGTAAAATAACGAAAGATATGTTCATTCAATTAAATTAAAGTGATCAACAAATTCATTTATACCGAGGTCTAAATTTATTTATCTGAGCAATAATTCCTCCACATTCTATAGCTAAACAATTGAATTGATGCGTGCATCAACTGAAGCAATGAGAGCAATAATTGGTTTGATGCACGTATGAAATCAATTATTGTTTTCATCAAATGAATTGATAGGCGCATCAATACAATAATATTGAATTGATGCGCACATAAAATCAAATACTGCTCTCATTTAATCTAATTGATGCGCACATTGCAAGAACAGATTTAATTATGCAATTATATACTAGTAATTATAAAGGAATTAATGATATCTTCACTTCAATTGAATGCTTATCTGATAATTTAGCGCTCCATATATTTTACACTTCTAAATATTGAAGAACCTGGTTTTTCGCAGCAGTAGAATCGGAAGCGTCTGTCCTCTCTGTGGTTGTCATGGTAACTACTGACGCCGTCTAGTACGCCCCCACGTGGACACTGGAAAGCCACGGGTTGGTCAAAGTCGTTCACATACTCTAGAGATAAAATACTGGGCGTTAATATTGTACCAGATATCAAGATATGTATAATACACTTCAAAATCTTCACTGCCTATATTTTTTGTAACATAAAGATAATTTGCACGCATACTTTGTACCTGACCAAAAGCACTTCTCGGAATCTTTTGTATAAGTGGTGCACTGAAAATCGAACACTCTGTCCTCTCTTCTGTTGTCATGGTGACTCACAACTTGATAAATGGACTGGTGTTGCGGGCACGTGAAATTGAATGGTTGGTCATAATCATTCACCCATGTATACACGCCCACCACTAGGCACAAAAGAACTGAGGAAAGATTTTATTCATGATCGGTTTGGTTTTAGTTTTTTTTTCACTGTAGTTTATCGTTACTTTGATGAAACGTATAAGTAACGCCGGGTGATAAAGTTTACCTCATACTTTTATGATAGAAGTTTGTTGCAATAAACAAGAAATATCACTTAATATTTGGTCTTTGATTGAAATTATACGTGGTCAACATTACTTCAATTTCATTCATTTAACGTATTGTCAAACGATCATACCACATCTTCCACTTCAATGTTTTGCTGAATACATTTTTAGTCAAATGATTAAAACTTTTTATTTTCTTTGGTTTAAGTTATATGTCTTCAACATTTTTCTAAAAATAAAGTTGTTTTACTTTTGCTTTTAATTTGTCTAAAAAAATTTCTAAAAGAAAAGTAACGTCATTGAAACTTATCATCGTCGCATTTTTCTCCTCTTCTGTTACACAAGCAAAACAATAGGCTATGCTTTCCGTGGAATTTTTTCAATGCCACTAAACACAAAAACATCCCAAAATCTTTCAAAAGTCCATTTCATCACTACATCATTTCTATCACAATTTCCTAAGAAAAATTCAGTAATTCACACACAGTGTTTTCGGATGGTTTCCCCGATATTTTAGCATCCCGATCGAGTGTCATTAACTCCAGAAATGTTCTTATTATGCCTTAATGAACTGTTCTTTCCTGGGACTTCATATTGTTTTAGATGATTTTCAAGTAACTGATTTATTAGGGGTTCAATGGATTATTCATTTACAAGATGAATCACTTCATTTAAGCTTGGCTTTAGGTTGACTTATAGTTTAAGAATGCTTAAATATGACTTTGAGAAGATCATTAGTTTAATCGTACTTTGAGCACCTATAAGTCACCTTAAAGCCAAGCTTAAAGGAAATGATTCATCTTCATCTTGTGCCCTCAGATTTACACATCACTGAGCAAGGACTCACAATAACGGTGAGTTGGTTTTGCTTTCTCACATTTCTACTCTGAATTTTCTGGATTATAGTTTTAATATTTTTCATTAATACACAACAAAATTTCTACTTTTCTTACTTAAGGATTAAATTCACTTTGTGAAAGTGCAAGGATGTGTACCGAAATTCGTAGTTTCAATAATTTCCAGATAAAAGAAGTTTCTGAACACGCTTTTATTATATTTTCGTGTGAAATGCTATAGCAACATGTAAGTCATGATATTATACAGAAAATTTGAGAAAATATTTACTTCAAATCTGTGTCCAAGCCCCTTTAAGCACCTATAATCCATCTTTAAGCCACCTTTAAACTACCTTTTAGGCTTTAAGGAGTTAGAGATGGGTTAACAGTAGCTTAATGATGGTATATACTCACACTGATTCTCGAACAGGTTTTTATAAAAGACACGTTTTCCCTAGCGTTATTTATACGTTCCACCAAACTAATGATGGACCACGGTGATTTTCCTCTCTTTTGCTAAAGCCAGGGATATTAATTTGGGTCCATGTATCTATCTGTCCGTCATTCTGTCTGTCTGTAACACTTAAGCCTGAGGAGGGTAGCATTAAAAGTTCTTTAGCGTTTGCAATAAGATTTTATATTATAACTCCTCTTGACTTAGGAAAGACCTTTATCTATTTAGAGGTGAAAAGGTCAAAGGCCAAGGTGAGAAAATCATATACATGTACATGTATTGGAAAAAATTATTTCGAGATGATTACTTTAGTCTAGATGATGACTCTAATTTAAGAAAGACTCCAGTTAGAGTGAAAGGTCAAGGTTACAAATTCATATACATGTATAGTATGAAATAGTTTCTGGATGATAAGTCAATAAATCAGTTATTCTTTGTAACAAACTCTTATACCATAAGTTCCTATGACTTAAAAAAAAGACCCCTATTGTTTTTTAGGTCAAAAGGTCAAAGCCCAAGGTAAGAAATTGAATTAACTTATTTCCAGATCGATGGTAACGTTAGTTCTCTGGAAGCTTTTGCAATGACACTTAAGATCAGGATTTTTTCTAACTTAAAAAAAATTCTTACTTATTTTAAGGTAAAAAGGTGAAAGGTCAAGGTCACTTATTCATATGGTATGAAATCGTTTTCATATTCATTTCAATACTGTCCATAGCTAAAAAAAAAAGACCTCGCTTGATTTTGAGTAAAAGATAATGGTCACAAACTTATTAGGCTTTTCATCAACTTATTTTGTCAAAAACAAATAAAAATGAATCATCAGAAATTCCCCGGATTACCTTGTTAAGTTTATCGTTTTTTAAATAGACACATACATAGATTCATGTGGAGAGATTGAAAAAGTATAGTCTTTTTGGATGAACATAAAACTTTTAACAAAATGACGAAATATTGATTACCTGCGATTTGCTGCATATTATTTCCATAAGGTGACAGTTCAAATATAAACTGATAAGCTATCTGTAACTGTGTATATAAGATCAAATCTCCTCGAACATTTCAACTAAAGTAATACAAATCACACTACATTGTTCAGCATTTCCTTGGTGATAAGTGACTCTGTTTAATAAGTTGTATGATTTTCTATTTCCAGATAACCGCTCATCCAATGAAAGTAATGAGGCCATTGACCACTACACTAGTACATGTACGTATTTCAAAAACAACTCTCAATTTCTTCCATCTGTTTTTTAATCAAATAAGCTTTATAATTATAATTCACGTAACAAAAACAAAACAAACAAACAAACAAAAACGAACAAAAACGATTCCAGCAAATTGATGCAATTTCCAAATATATTTTAATAAATAACTTTTCTTTTTCTGGAGATTAAAATAGTCTAAAATTAAACGTTAAATTATCTACAAGACAAATAATATTAATTGATTTAAAAAGGCACTTTACAAGATTTTCGTATTTAGCACGCTTAGTTGCATAAACAATTATCACTTTGTGTTTCCTAAACAGATGCCACAATAAAAATAATGCTGTGCCAAAAAAAAATCACCTTTGCATCTTGAAGAACCGCTTCATCAAATTATGCTTTTTATGCCCCCCCCCCCTTATAAAATGGCCAGGGGCATATAGCGTTACTCTGTTTCGTCATTCCATCATTCCGTCATCTTTGACTTTCCGTTCATTATCTCGACAACAAATTTGACATATGATATGGATAGGTCATAGGAATACGAAGGTCAAGTTCGAATTGGGTAATGGTCCGATGATTTTTGACAGAAATATCCATCTTGAACTTAGAAAAAAAAAATTCATTTTCCCCTCTCTAAATTTTGTTAGGATGTATGTATAAGGTTGAAATTGCTTATTTAGGTATTTTACCAGAAAATACAGGTCAAATTTGAATTTGGTCGTGGTCCAATGATTTTGACAGAGATATCCCCCTTGAACTTAGAAAAAAGATAAGAAATTTTCAGTTTCCGCTCTCTTACTTCTGAAGGGTTGTATGTCTAAGGTTGGAATTGCATATGCAGGTATTTTACCAGAAAATACAGATCAAGTTTGAATTTGGCCGTGATCCGATGATTTTTGACAGAGTTATCCCCCTTGAACTTAAAAAAAAAAATAAGAAATTTTCAGTTTCCGCTCTCTTACTTTTGTAGGGATCTATGTCAAAGGTTGGAATTGCATATGCAGGTATTTTACCAGAAAATACAGGACAAGATTGAATTTGGTCGTGGTCCGATGCTTTTTTACAGAGTTATCCACCTTTGAACTTGGAAAAGATTTTAAAATTCACAATGTTTAATCATTATCTCGGCTACAAATGTGCAGTTTACAATTTGCAGTCTCTGTTTATTATCTTAGTTATAAATGCACATTTTGTGCATAAATGTGAGTTTAGATCAACGTGCATTTTGTCCCAGACATGGTGAAGAAGACTTCCTATCCAGGAATGGAGCATCCGTGGCGTTACGACAGTCTAGTCTTAAAAATTGAAATTGCAATCTGTAATGACTACCAAAGGACTCCGTCGTCCAAATTCTGATGTCATAAGCTCGAATCTTTGAGATTGCAATCGATGGGGTGTTGTGGATAGAACCAGAAAACTGCTAATTTGATAGTTTAAATTTTGTTTTGCTTGAAACTTTGCCTTTGAAGTTTAAGTTTCATATATTTTCCCATGAACCAAGCTACATGTATTTCATTTGTATGACCTAAAATCACAACCAGAAACAGCTATTTGTTAATTTTGTACTGGAAAAAAAATCGAACACTGTTCTAGTAGGCTTCTTACCATTGTTCCGTCAAATGTTTCTTTGCAAACAGATTGTTGGTTCTGTAAGGTTACCGATGCCTGTTCCTGTCAGCATGACATTCTTCTCTGTAGGTATTCGGTATTCCAAAGACCAATCTGTTTGACCAACCAAACCCTTACTGTATTAACAGTGACCATACTTGTGAAAATAATCAGAATTAACTTGCATCGAAATTGCAGCATGGATAATTCTATGTATGAAGAAGTTTTTGCATTCGTTTCATTTTCGTCCTTCTCTTCGATGTAATATTGGAAAAGATTTGAATTACAAAAATTATCTTAATTTCAGTGGGAAAACAATATAATAATGAATATAATTTTTAAAACAGAGTGAAATATGTTTAATTGATTTTTAACGATGGAAATATAGCAGAACTTTGTTCTGAATAAATTTCAAATTCTTAACCTTTTTATTTAACTTTCTTATTCTGTTGTTATATTGTCATGATATTGTTTTCGTTGGATTTTTTTGTATATATTTCTTTAAAAATAAAATACCATCGAGATTCTGAAGCTGAGTACAGTTACTTACAGTTAGTCAGCGAATTGAATAAAAATCAAGTACACGTATATTTCGTTCTGTGTGTTCGCCATAGGGCCCTCCTATTTCTGCTGTTATATACATGTAATGAGGAATCAAATATAAGTGCTTTGAAAATATTCTTAACAGAAGGCAAACATAAACAATTATTTAGGAGTTGTACATTGTATTTGGTTGTCTAAAAGTTTTGTCCCGTTTAGGTTTAATAATTGGTCAACGTGATATAATAAAATTTGTCACTCCTTTTCAAACATGTTCCTGCTGCAATTCCATGCATCCTCTTATCAAGAGTTGTTTATCCATTAAGTCCCTTCTTCAATTTCCAATTTTGGCATTCATATTTACAATATTGTAATCAAATTATAATAGCGTTAATCCATGTCTCGATTTAGAAGTGAAAAGTTTTAAAGCTTAAAAAAAGGAAATATATATCCTTACGTAAACCCCTGTGATCTATGATACATTTTT